ACAAGTTGTCAAAGTAGATATTTGCTTTGTTTGTATGATTATGCGTGACTGAATTTTCCACGAATCAAAGTTTTTTAAACTTTGTCACTAATAAATTGGTTTCTCCCTTCTACTTCCTCCTTTTATTTATGAATGAAATGTATCAGATGTATCACATCTCTAGATTCTCGAATTTTGTTTTGCGAATTTCTATCAGTGATCAATCATTCTTCCTCCACTGAGCTGTAAAATAATATACAAATCGCTCAACCGATGTCATCGACATGTAAAAGTAATTAGTTCATTAGTGCATAACCGACTCGTAATCTATTTATTCATTTCATACACATCTTCAGAATCCGTACAGATACATTGCAGTTATCCTGAATTTGGGCCACTTTCATTTCCCGGAGTTGTATAAAGTGTTCCGTGATTATAGTGGTGAAGCCTGGGTCCAGCCTTTGAAGGGGCTCTGGCATGGGATGCAGAGCGGGGAGTGGGGGGGGGGGGGCACGGATCTTACTTAATGAATGAAATGCGAATTAAGAAGCCGCAGAGTAGGGGGAGGGTGGGGGACAGGGTGCTATCATCTTCTTCGTTCTCCGTCCTCCTATTCCTTTCACCCTCTACCTCTCTTTTTGTGTTTGTTCGTGCTGTTAGTCTCTCACATGCCCCCCCCCCCCCCCACCTTGACCTACGGCTGTGTTCGTGTCCATAAGTCTGTTATAAACGTATATGTGTAAAATGAATACCTTCTTTCTTGCTAAAGTGTAGCTTTATATTATCTAACAAACGGCACCTATTCTACATCTGGTACTTGTTGTTTACATCATGGAAGAAGGGGTCAACGTCCTGAATAGTCGGACGAATTTCACGATTACATCTTCAATTGTAGCCATTATATTTTTATCTCTGGAATGTTACAAGAGAGATTTTGAGTTTTCTTTTTCGTAGATAGTACACGACTCCGAGACAAAACAAAATGAGGAAAATGCGTGTAGTCGCACGTAGATGGCGGTAATTTTCGAAACATAATCGAACGCCTCCAAATCCTAAACAACATAATAAATTAATGTAATATTCAGGACATTCTGTTATTCAGCCAAAGCTGTAACAAAATCGATTTCGATGTTGGAATACATACAACATGCTACCACTACAATGATATAAATGTACAACTAAGGGTTATGCTGTGGCAGAATAAAGCTGCTGCATGCAATAAAAGGGAAAGTTTAATTGTCCACGTAGTTTTAAAGGAGTTAACATTGTTGCTGTTCTATTATGTTTCAAATGTTATGATTGGAGTAAAGAAAGTCATGTGGATTATGCTATGAGTGCCATGCTTAATAATTATCTATCTGTGTAAGACGGTAGTTAAAAATTATATTTATAATGTCCATCTACTTTCGAGATTGCCAATATTATAGCGCTTCCAACGATAACAAAAAAAAAACGCGATAATAATCGTAATATGCACACTCCTGGATAAAGCACTTATCATATTGATTTAGTCCCAAAAATTCATTGCTTTTTTGGCTTTTATTTGTTTTGTTTGATTGTTTCGTTTATTGATGCTGAGGGAGCTCATTACAGAGTACGCATCGCCTTTTACAGAACCCTGCATTCACCCCCATGAAAGCTGAGCGAGAAAGGGGGAAAATAATTCATATTGCTTATAAACCCGTCAATGGCGTGTTATCTCACTCTGAGGTCAACGTTATTCATATCTTGCGCAAAATCGACTTAAATGCCTCTTAAAGTACAGGTGAAAGTACAGTGTAGAAGACCCCGTCCGTGTCAATGACACAGTGACATAACCGTTTCAGGGATACTGCCACGGTCGTTCTCTTTCTTGGAAAAAATGATAAATTTGACGGTCTAAACTGTCATATTGAGCAGCGCAGAAACGTCACACGCGTTGACAAGCGAGAGCAGACGGAGTAAATTCGAATAGATTGGCCGAAACGTCAATACAACCCCGTAACAGATTTGAAGGAGAAAAGAGAGATGTAGAGAGAGGGGGTGGGGTGGAGAGAGAGAGAGAAAGAGTGTGTGTGTGTGTGTGTGCGTGTGTGTGTGTGTGTGTGAGAGAGAGAGAGAGAGAGAGAGAGAGAGAGGAGGGGGCAGTGATTTAATCAACGAGTCTCATGACTTTCTGAGATGATCCAAAGTAGGTCGTCAAATGAAGTTGAGAAATGGATTGTGAGCGATTTATCTTTGCTTTGGAAAACTGAGTGAGGGAAAACAAATGGAAATTGAAGGCAAGGAGGGTGATGGAGGGCTTGGGGGGGGGGGGTAAAGGCACAACTTGGGGGAATGGAAACTGCATTCAGGTGATGGTGGAGATGGTACGGACATGATAGCTCATAAACTTGAGATATTGAAATGCCCGTATAAGTATTAAAGTATAAATGTGTGATCAACAACACTCCATTACAGAATAAACATGTTAAAGATCATAAGGAAATCATTTTATAAAGGAAGATATGGCAATAGCCTTATGAATCCGAGATAAAAATTAGAATACAAAAATACGACGATGAAAAGATGGATAAATAAAGATGTACACAGAATTTGATTTAAATACATAAGTTTGTTTTAATTTGTATAGCTTTTTAGTTTTGTTTATTTTCATTTCCCTTTCCATGACAATGAATTCTACATTTAACTCGTATATACAAACTTTTACCGATAAAAAGAACAGCTACTTGAGCTACACAATCATCCCCGAAGAGGGCAGTAAACTAATTTTGAACCAGCAGATAGTACGTGTCGGTAGAAATCATTCGATCGCTGTTTCTATTGGATGCAAATGTAATTTATTCACCACGATGAAAACTCTCTATGCCTAAGTTATCTTAGTCTCACGTTCTCTACCTGTATTAGGAATTTCTATATGTGTTTCTATATGGTTATTGTTTTTATACATTAAAACACAGTACAAAACATTCGAAATCCAAAAATTATATTTTGAAATATTTTATATTTCTGCGGGTAAACAGAAAAGTTGGGTAATAAGACTTTATCTAATCATCCAGACACGTTATTGAACATTATGATGAACAACGTGAACAAATTACATTTCGGTGTTACTTCCTTTGATGAATTCATATGTAGACCGAGTCCACAGTCACAGGCCTATCCGCGTTCAGTTTTTAACAAAAAATGAGTAAAATATACACCTTCTACGGGCCTCAATGTTTTGTTCCAACTTAAAGTAGTCTACCGCCACCTCTTGGTGCGTTCTAAATCTGTTTTCTTTTGGAGGTCGGCAATATACTCTTGTTGTGTTTGTTATTTTATTGACGTACTTGTATATTGTTTTTGAGCGAAATTTGTGCGTAATGAGAACAAGTAAACGAAAATTTATTCAATTATTTGTTAAAAACTTTTAGTTATCTCTTATTTGTTGTCTCTTATTTGTTGGGCCTCTTTTTCTTTCCTTCTTTTTTTTCCTTCTCTTTTATTGTTCATTTTCCTCTTCGCTGTTAGTTATTAAAGGCCCGGTCTCACCGCCAGAACTTTGCTGGAGCGTTCCTGGAGCGTTGAAAAAAATTCATCACCGCTCGTAACCGTTCACCACCGTTTAACAGAAGTTGGCCCCCGTTAAGACAACGCCGTATACGCTCGGCCACCGCTGATGGTCCCTCCTACCACTCCGAAAGTTTTGAGCTGCACAAAATATTGCAAGCGGTGAGGAGCGGGCAATTTTCCACTCCGGCAAAGTTCACCACCGCTCCAACAACGCCCAGTCAAAGTTTGGCACCGCTAGACGCAAGTTCGTGGACGCTTTGGTCCGCTAGGCCAACGCAGAAATCTTGAACGCTGGACCACCGCTGCTTCGCCAGCTTTGCCCGGGTGGTGATTAAACGTTGCACAAACTTTGGTGGAGCGGTTGTAAGCGTTTTACGAGGGGACACGGGATTGCTGGAACGGTGTCGGGCGTTGAAGCAGCGATCCATTGCGGTGATGAACTTTGGTTTGGCGTTGGTATGGAGGTGTCCTAGCGGGACCAACGCTCGCTACCGCTCGCTACCGTTAAACCAACGCTAAAGCAACGCTGGCTTTAGCAGTGCACCGCTAAGGCAACGCCCGTGTTTTCGATTTGTTTCCCATTTTGTGCGCGGTGACGAGCGTTGTCGAAATTCGGCCCCCTCTCCCTACCGTTCAAGGAACGCTCCAGCGAAGTTCTGGCGGTGAGACCGGGCCTTTAAGTCTTCTTATGTTTCTGTTATCTCTCTTCAACTTCTTTTCATTTTCATGGAGGACATTTTCATGTAATATCGCAATTACAAATTGGTAATGCACTTGTTAAAATAAAAATGAATATTTACATTTTAGCCATTTTACATCCTTTATATAGAAACGCACAGACCTGTGTTAATCATTTCAAGCGATTGTTTAAAAGCAGTAGCCCTGCAAACAATTCCTTTAATATTTAAGTACGTCCCTCGCATTTAAGCCATTGTCCACTTGTTCAATTACAACTAAATACATCAGCAGGGGCAAGATTTGCATAAGTAAAAATTCGCAAACCCATCGCAGAGTAGCTCGTATTGAGTGGGGGTCGATAGGTCTTTATGCATGCTTATTGTATCGGCATCTTCCCTAATATTGATCGGGGTTATAAGAATGGGTTGTATATAGCTACCCCGTGGTTTTCTAGATTTGAGTTGTGGCAACGAAATAGAAAGATAGTCTACATGCGAAGACCCTTGACCTGATCTGGACGAGCCAAAATGATTATTGCGGCTAGTCAAAATAAAATTCGCAACTGTTTCTGTATCTTGAAAAAATTACAACGTAGGATATCATTTCGACATGTTAAATTTAAACAAAACAAATATTAGCATAACTAGTACAACAAAAACGTATATAGATTATTCAATTTGAGTCTGCTATCAAAGACTAAATGTAAGACGAAAAGGGTTCGAAATCAATAATCACTTTGTCCAGTGCGATAATCGAAAACCGAGTGCGAGCTCTGGTATGAAGACATTTATATCTAATTGTTATGAAGCAGATTCAGGCCTTTTTGGTCGATAACAAAAGTTTTGCGAAACTTCCTTCTGCACAAATATAATCTATAAAAGGAACTCGCGGCCATCTTGAAAACTGCGTGGCATTCTTTTGCCTTTATTAGCTGAGCGTTCCCTGCAGTTTCTAGCGAAATGTAGGACTTACAAGGATTTACTTCAGGCTTCAGCGTAATTATTTGATTTGTTCGGAATAACGAACTAATGTTTTTCGGGGAGAAGCTGGTATAATTGTATTGAAACACAAAGTAAGCCATGTAAGATGTTAACCGCAAAGAGGAGGTAACGGCTTTATTCCAAGGTAAATTTTTCTTTTCTTTCTTTTTTGTCTTCTCAAGACTAAACCTGATTCAAAATGTATTTTTTTTACTAGACTTGGTCCACTTCTTAGTTCATCCTTTCATTACTTAGTATGAACTTGCTGATCATTCTTTGTATCGTTTTTATTGAATTTTGTTTGCGCTTTATACACACATTATCATGTCATTTAGCTCTTCGTGACTCTTTGTCAATTCGGAATTTGCATTTGTTTTTAATTCATATAGTTCCCCCTTTCTTATATATTTATCTTGTCCTTTTATTCCAAATCTGTTGGAGTATAACTTACTTTAATTACTGTACTCCACTCGCGTAACTGCATTCATCTTTCAAATGCCTTAATCAGGTCGATGAATTTCGACATTTGTATTTTTATTTCAACTATGTTTCTATCCTCAAATTTGATACAGAAATAAATATTTTGAAATGATGAAACAAATTTCGCAATGATACTTCAGAACTTTGAATTAATTTATCAATGTATAGTTCTAAATTATTGTCTGACTAAATTAATTTTATTGTCTTTTTATAGATGTGGAGAATAATTCTTCCTGGTGTTCTATTGTTACTTTACATCAACAATGGTAGGTTATAACTCTTCAATTTTTGTCATTTCATTTAACATTTATTTATCATTAAATCAAAATGAACACAAGTTATCAATAAATATATGAAAATATAGAAAGGAGGTGAAATTACCAAAGCTTGAGGCTTGTGATGGGTTCGTCATTAAATAAAAGAAAACATAAATTGCATGAAAATTTTAACCTACATAAAATGATTCCTAATATGTTAATACTGTTAATTGAATTGAGCTGTAGTATGATCTATACATTATTACCCCGTACTAAAGATTGTTTATATTCATAACAGTCTAACAAGTCTTTTGATTAATGACGATTTATTTTAGCTAAACATTCAGAAATCAAGTCAATTTGGGGAAAAACTCAAATCATGCCTTCCACACATCACTAAAAATGATTGACTAAATCTGTTTTTTAGAACACGAAACCTCAGCCGACAGCTTGTACTGAAAATATATATAGACCTATTAATCACAAAAGGACCATGAATATCCCCACTTATTGCAAATAAATCATAATCAGTTATATCGTTAATTTGTAAAGATGGATTTCATGGTTTGTATTATTTAGGCAGATATGATAGTAGAAAGTGGAACATTCATTATTGTAAATAAGGATAATTGGAAATATGGAATACATTTAAGATTGACCTCTATCAACAAAAAAATGAACGTATGTAGAGAGAAACGTGCCTGCTCAGTCAATTTGTCAATGTTATTTCTACACAGCAGGGCCATTCCTGTTGTACGGAAATATTTAGTGTGCATATATATATATAGCTAATTGCCTTCCAGATCTTATGTTAATATTTTTCAGTTAATGAATTTGTGATTATTTGTTTTTGCGATTAACAGCTTCATCTCAGAACACCACTGACGCCCCGGGCGCGGCGATCACGGGCGACATCGTCACACCCACCGCGAATGTTATGACAACCGGCGACGAAGGCTTGAACAGAGCCGAGATCAAGTGGCTCGCCATCGTCGACGAACTCATGGCCCCCAAATCGCAGAGTTTCAACGATACGTTCTATAGCATCATAGAAACATATCCATTCACGTCGTCATGGGTAAGTCGGTTATTGTTTCTATCTCTTGTTCTAAAGCGATTTCCAAAATTAATCATGTTAATAGCAAACAAAAACACATAAACAGAAGAGAGTATAATAATCCCAGTGAAGTTTATGTTTTCTCTTACCAATGCACCTATATCCCACATCCTATTTCCATAGTATATTGTAATGGTGCCTTTTCAATTAAAAGAAAGTCTACATTCGAAACCAAGCAATGCGAATGTCTTTATGATAATATTATAGGTAAAACATTTGTTCATGGTTGCATTGTCATTATTTAGGACAAGACATAAGTCGTAGGTTCTTCGTTTGTTCTCTAAAATCCCACCCTCCTTTTTTGTTAACCCTCAAAAAATTAATAAATCTCTCAAAATATTCATGAAAAAAAGGCTATTAATCGATCTCGGCTATAAGACGAATTGATTTTGATCAGCTAGTCTGAGCTTCTGACATTTGCACTATCCATTCAAGTGCGTTATTACACTCGATCGACGGAAAAGACAAAGGTTGCAGGGAAATCGCTCTCAAACCATGATATAAAACAAGAGCTTAGACATTCCTCATTTTAAAAACTTTTTAAACATAATCAATAAATATGCATTGTAAGAGGGAAAGGGGATAAGAGAAAGTAACATAGATATTGAGATAGGAAGAAAAAACGAGGGGAGAGGGGTGACAGAGACAGGGTCAACGAGTGACAGAGCTAGGAGTAAGAATAAATCCCTCTCTCCTGGTCACCATCTAGGTCATTGAGGATGTGTACTTCAACGGCGACTTCATGTTAAATGCGACAACGCGTCCCGACATGACTGTGTTATCGGCTGACGAGCTCCTGCAGATCCTGTCCGTGGTCATTGACGTACTTGACGACAGTAACGTGAACCTGACGACCAGGGAGGTGCTGGTGACGACGGCCTTCATGCAGGATCTCACGGCCGCCATTCTCCTCGAGATGTCGGAGAACGATCTCACGGGCGATTTCGGAGAGTTCGAGAGTGTCATGTCGGTATGTCTTCAATTTCTTTTCAGTGTACATCTAAACTTTCGTGTGAACCAAATCTCATTATTGTTCATGTTTAATGAAACAAATTTTCCCTACAAAACAAAAAGAAATAGTTGTCAAGGAACCAAAAGTGAACGTGGATGTGTTGAGTGAATAAACAACTAGTTTTGCACCTTTTTCCCTCCAAAAAGAGATCACTGTGAGGGGATGTGTTTTATAATAGCAGGAGGAGAGTTCTGAAAAACATTTCTTATTTAATTTTGATTATATTCAAAGAAATTTGTACTTGTATTTCTAGTTTATGTTTGTAAAACAGATGTAAATGTTGTCATTTTCTTGCTGCAATTTCAGTGGCCTGATGAGCTATACATTTTTTTTTAATTCAAGTATGTTTGATGTGTTTCTCTCCCTCTCTCTCTCTCTCTCTCTCTCTCTCTCTCTCTCTCTCTCTCTCTCTCACTCTACCTCTATCCCTTTAACATTACTGTCTATTTGCAGTATATCATTGAGATATGTGATATAATGCTTGACGAGGAATACGTGGACTTATGGTTGGACATACAAAGAGTAAGTAATGCAATGCTGTGACGTTAAAATATCTTGAACGCAATATATTGTTATGATTTTAAAATGCTTTGATTTATCCCTAAATAAAGATTCGCACCGAGTTCATACCCTGCACTTCATTTCCCATATGAGCATGCACATGTCAAAAGCTTAGGAGATGATTATCAAGTTCAATTATAAGTTCAATTTTATGGATCATGCACAATTACATGGCATACAAATAATTTTCCGGTTGTTTCTTCAATTTATATAACATCAATTAACATACATGTACTATCAATTTATACAAAATTAGGAATAAAAACAACACACAATAGAACATCAGTACAAAATGGTGTAGACTTTGGTATAGGAAGATAATAACACGAATTACAACCGTATGATGTTCTTACCATTTTCTTCTGAAGTGTAGCGTATGAACGTGCCAAGGGTGTAACTCTCTTACACACACTTCTCCAGTAAAAAAAAAAAAAAAAAAAAAAAAAAAAAAAAACCGTTTTTCATATTTTTCTATTGGGGTCTTTAACCCTGTATCGAAGTACATGTGTGTGATTAATCCATGTGGATCTCTCCATTTCTTTCCTATAAAGGCCTACCCTGTCTATGCTACCGTGGTCGAGACCATCGACGTTGCATCGTTGGCCATCGCTAACCTGATCGACTCCCCGGGGACGCTCAAGTCACATGTCAAAAACATAAGTAAGTCTTTTCTATGACAGAAAAAATGCGATTGTAGCAGTTTACAAACGAATATGTATATTTCATCGCCAAGTTTCTTTACATGAACATGATGAAGTTGTTTTTATATAGCAAAATAGAATTCTCTGCTCGCATCATCACGAAACTTTAACCTTTAATGTTGTTACGTTATGATTTTTCTTTCTTAACTGAAAATATAAAACAATTAAACGAATTCGTAGTGAAAGAGAAATTATATGAAGTATAGCATAGAAATATTGTTACATAGATATATTATAGTTTTGGTTAGGAGATGGAGAGACTAATTTCAATATCTTGTGAAGACGATTTAGCTAATTTTGATTTTAAGATAGATCATCAATTAAGAATTCTTATCGGTGCGATGTTGTATTCTTTTACATGGTTATTTGCAGGAATGTGTAGGCTTTTGACAAAGGAATTTTACTTTCTAAATGGCATTCTCATTTCCCTTTATTTTCTTCCTCCAGATTATCTCCTAGTCAAGGATTCATGGTATAACCTTACCCAGACCTATCAGGATTATATATTCCAGGTCAGAGATAATGAGGGCATACTCATTCCAGAACTATATCTTGAACAGGCAGACTTCGATTGTAAGTGTATTTATGTACTTATTTTCACATTTCTTTTGGTTTGTTTTGAAGTAAATCTTGAATGAAAGGACCAACCCTTTTATCAATGGGTTGGTTTCTCAGTTGGAAGTTCATTAGAGTTAGGCACCATTCCCGTTATTTGTACGCCGTCTTAATTTTTATATAGTTAGGCATTGGTCATGGGAGACTAATGAGGTGAGGGAAAGGATCGAGAACGAAAGATCGGCTGCAAAAGAGGCGCACTGTACTTCTCAGTCATTAGAGTTAGGCATTTCGATGGGAGAACACGAAAAAGCAACCGAAACTCAACCAAAAAAAAATAAATGAAAACAGGTGTCAGTTTTTGAAATAGATTCGTATTCAAAGGTGAGAGGGAATACATAATTTAGCCTGTCTAATCTATATATTTAATGAAACGATCACTGTTGGATATTAAAACTATTAAAACCAAAATCATCCGTATTTATGGATTTAGCAGTCTAATTCATACCAGTACGTATTGTGATTTATTCTAGTCTGATTTGTTGATGTTCATAACAAGACTTTTACCGTTGTATGACGAATTAAGTGAAGAAATGGCGGTCGATACTCTTGTCAACACATTTGTAAAATTTTGGCACTGAGACCAATGCGTTGTTCACAAATTATATTTTAACCTACCTCTTTTGCCGCAGATTATGACGCGGTAGCCTTCGTGAGTGTGCAGTATAAGGGCGTGAGTGACATGATGGGCAAAAATCAGACACGTGTCTCAGTATCAACCTCGATCAAAGACCAAAGGTAAGAAAGAGCTTTCCAATTTTTTTCGTTAATCAAGTATTAAAGTCCAATAAATTGTATTTACAAGACTGCATTTTGCAGATGCTTCGGAAATTGAAACAGTCAAACCTGTCTATAGCGACCGCCCAAGGGAAACACAAAAAGTGGCCTTTGAAGACAGGTTCCATTAGTACATGATTCAGTGAGAAACCATTTCTAAGGGAAACGACAAATGTGGCCTTTGTAGACAGGTGGTCTTTGTAGATAGGGGGTCACTATTAAAAGCAGGTTTGACCGATATACTTTATCTTGTTATGATTTCTCCTTCTCGCATGAAACCATTATCATGTATCTGTTCTTGGTTATTAGGGACTTTTAGATTTGCACAACGACAACGTGGATTGCTACGATCGACGTCCTTTTAATGCACTGCCTTGAATGGACGTCACACGTATCAGTCCGCGCAAATCTAAAAGTCCCTATTGACCCTCTGATATGATGAACATTTACAATTTGAATTATTTTCCTGTTTCTTATTTGTCGTGTCCTTGTTCTTTTCATCGATCTAATTTTTTGGCTATTAAAGATGCTCTCTGGACGTCATTATGTAATGCCATCAATAAATATCAACACCTTTGTTATATCAGTGTTTCTCATACAAATATACAGAGATCAAAAGTGCAAATGGCATAATCTGAATATAATAAATAAAAATTACATTTATAGGACGCTAAATACAGTCTTTTCTAAGCGCACAGGTGATATTGTCTAACTCAGTTTAATTATTCAACATGTTAAAAGCTTGAAAGCAACAATATAAAATAAAATAATACTAATACAATACAATTCACTGGTAGTATGATTTGTTTTTCCCTTCTTCCTATTTATTCTTCAGCTCATCATATGACCCAAGGATATTAAACAATGATGTGATTTCCATGACAGCCATCCGAGTTCCTGACTTCAGTAGTACGAGTATACCAGTGATCTATAGATTCGGAAATCTGGAAAAGGTGAATTTTCTCGCAATAACCACATATAAATCATCCCTGTTCCATTATTCTTTCAGAAACATTCACTTTTTTTTCATGATGGCAACAAAAATATTGAAATAATGATAAAGCTACTTTTACACGAACAAAAAAAGAGATATTCCCACACCGGGAATCGAACCCGGGCCACGGCGGTGAGAGCGCCGGATCCTAACCAGTAGACCATATGGGACTACTCACCATAGTAACTGCATCTATTTAAAATAAAATGATCAAATTGACGATTCGCGAATGGATCCACTTGTGAAACATGAACTACAGATCTAGAATTTTCATTTATTATAGCATGGGATAATAGAATATTTATTACATCATCTTTATGAGCAATTTAGCTTTCACTCAAATTGAAAAAAGCCTGATTTCTTCTCTTTTTGCGAGGGGAGAAAGCCAGACGTTTCTTTTTGCGGATATCATATCAGTGTAAGCTTTACCAATGAAACATAACATCGGATTCCATCTGAAATGAAGGGGATTCCATTTCCTTTAGTCGTATAAAGTTTCAAATTATATTTAGTTGAAAATATAATTACAGGTCATGATAACCTTTACCATAAGATACTCACTTCGTGTCAATATATACCTAATATGCATTCTTTTCATTCTATAGAAACTTAAGCATTGGGACGTGATATGCGCCTTCTGGAATTTCGATAAATCGTAAGTTTCTATGATATGAATGTAAATTTTAAAAAGAAGACATGCATTTATATTTTAATACCTATATATATTTCACATTGAACAGGCTGATTACCATTGGGAATGGGTTTGAACAAACGAGATAGTACTATAAAATAACAATGACTTTATCAGAGACTTTGATAATTATATTTTACGATATAAAATACGTAACAATGTGCCATGATGATGTTTCAATTTCAATTTCTTCTTTTTCCACCTTAATTTACTAAACATTCAGAACAGTTTCTTGTTTAAATGTTGTTTTTCATATTTGATTCTAGGTAGAGAGAGATATAGTGTTAAGGCCAAGAAGCTTACGAAGGGGTACAAGAACCAAGTTTCTGTGAAAAGAGAGGGACACATTCCCGCTTAATTTCTGACAAGCGAAAACAACAACAATACAAACAAACAAACATAAGTAGTCATATGAAACCAAACAAAAATTAAATCAATAAATTAAGCCCTACAATTTGTTGCTCTTTAACTGTCTTGTTGCGAACTATATTCCTCCAGCTCTGATGAAGGTGGAGTATGGGATGACACGGGATGCAAGATGGTGGAAGGGTCATCCACGGCCTGGTCTACTCAGTGTCTCTGTAATCATACCACCAACTTTGGCTTGATTCTTCTCGAACACGATCCAGAGGTACGGACCTTTAAAGTGGAAGTCCACCCTGATATCAATTTGGAGAAATTAGAGAGGGGCTCGCAAGATACGTCACCGTGTTGCCAACTTGCGTTTCACTGATTACAATTTCAAAGATTCATAAATTTTCAATTTTAATCGGATATTGCTCAAACTTCAACTTATTTTTCTCTCTCTCTCTTTTCTGTTTTTATGAAACCCAACTTAATCAGGGTGGACTTCCTTTTTAAGTCTTAATAATATTGATGATATACACCTGATTCAGTCACCATTATCTCAAACAATCTTTAATTACTTATACTTACAAAATACCAGGTATGGCTTTAAATTGTCTTACTCAAATTTAAAGCAAGACAGCAACTTATGTTTTTGCCATCCATATTAAATAGAGAGAAATCGTAATCACAAAACACTTGGAATATCAAATAACCTGCAGTTTTCTCTTCTCCCATGTGATACATAATTAAGTTCAAACTATTCTTATACCTCTACAACAGTCATTAATATTTTACTTTGTTTTCCTTTTCATTATCAGTATATTGACTGGGATTTCATCGTTCAAACCTGGTTGTGGTCCATCGCAGCGGCTGTTTCAGTCTTGCCTCTCTTTCCATTTTTCGGATTCCTCATCTATCTTACGTAAGATTCAACAATTTACATATTGTCATACCTTGGGCCTTTGAACAAATTCGTTAGTATTGTCTTGATATAAAAGTGTCTTCCTCGCAAAATAAAAGAATTGCAACGTTCTACATACATGTTTTCGTAAACATAATCATTTTATCAAACTGGTTTTACATTATATTTGTCAAGTGTTTGTGCACCTCTATTGTAAGTCGTGTTATATTTAAATATTCACATATTAACAAAAAAGTACATTCTTATTAGTGCATAACTACAATATTTCAAAACAACTGTATTAAGATTGTTGAAGATATTTTACAAAGCATAGTGTGTTTGGGTTCTTATTTCCATTCCTTGCTAAACCCTAACCTTCATTATGAGCGCCTTTCCGTGTAATGTAATTCAATCATTCTGTTGTCTTTATTATCATTTTGCTTCTGTTTTGCTTCTTAGGACAATAAATTCCAAGCGTAGATCAGCACAAATCAACTTCGTCTTCAGTTTGATTATGATGTTACTCGTACTAGCAACAAACGAGGTGGCTAAATGGCAAAAGGTAAGATTTGATATTCCATAGTTCGTCTTTGATATAACTTGACATAATCTAATCGTGTGTGTTAGGCTTGTGATGTCGGTAATAAGAATATAAATAAGAATTTGCTCATTAAAATCATACTGCGACTACATATTTATCATTGTATTACCTTTGTTGAAAGTTTATTATTAACAATGATACTAAGTTTTTCTAAGTCGGCAATGATCATCACACCAAACAGTATGTAAATATATGCATGCGTGTTTGAGTGGATTAACTTTAGGGGTATCTAAAAAAACTACCGGACCGAGCAACACATATTGCACAATAATCACACGAGATTATAATATACGGGATGCAGGCCCTATTACGAAAAATATTGCTCGTAAAAAAACCTGTAGAGTTAGGCATTTCTTCAATGTGCTCCTGATACCAGTATCACTATCAATTCAATTTCAATTTATTTATGTTTCCACCAAAACATTACAAATCAGTTATAAAAATGTACAACATATGTAGAAATACATATTGGAAACAGAGGGGTCCACTAAAAAGCAATGCTTGTACAAATGTGAACACCTCAAATGATACTAATAGGACTAATGAGTAATTAAATTATTCCGTAACTACAAAAGGAACTACAAAATCGCGAATTTCTTCCTGAAATTTGACCGTTAATGCAATCATTTCGTAACTTCTTTTCTTTCATGATTACTCCCACATTGTATTCATTTCATCATACTTCTTTCATTGATGGCACAGAGCGACATTGCATGCATGGGTTTTGGTATAGCCATGCACCTCTTCACCACGGCCACCTTCGCCTGGTTGTTCGTCATCAGCATTCTGCTTTTTACGCGAGTCACTGAGTTTACTAGTAAAGAGGCGCCTCATTGGATGGCCTTTCTCATTGGTTGGGGTAAGTCATCACGTGATAATTCACAAACCGCCATTTTACATATGTTTTCGATATTTTTTCTTTCTTTCCTTTATGTTGCTGACAGGAAGAATGTTGTGTTTTCGACAAATGTTCTACAACATTTTCCTATATTTTAATTTATTTATCTGTTCGATTATTTATCTATTCATTCAATTAATTATTCATTCATTAATTTTTTAATTTTTAATATATGTATTTATTACTTAATTCCATCGCAATCCTTGTTCCTTATCTAAATATATCCTCTTGATTTAAACATCGATGTATATATATATTTTTACTGTTACTCTGTTTTTTTCATATTCAGGTACTCCTCTGCTGACGGTCGGTGTTACCAGTGGTTTGCTTTATACAGAATACGGAGTAGGACCAAGGTAAGGTTTATCATTGGATCAAAGTGACCAAGAAAATCACTAGATTCATTGAATTTTAGAATTTCACTATTGCCGAATTAACAACGTTCAATGAAAAATGAATAACTAGGGAAAATCTACGATAATTTCGGAAAGGTTTACTGTTTGTATGAAACAATAGAATTTTAAAATCTTCCAGAGATTTTGTTGCACTTTTAGACTCATAAAACAAAGAGCTTCAATAATGTGAACTATGATACATACATTTGTCTTCCCATTTTCTTCACAAATACCCCTTGCATAATTATCCACATACTTTATAAGGTTATCTTAGCGTGACTCACGCATGTTTCAAAACCCATGTTGAATTCGTGCGAGTTGAACAAAGTTGAATTGATTAAACCAAGCTTTAAAATTGACTCTTACTACTTTCAGATGTTGGTTCAACAACAACAGCCAGATCAAGATGGCATTTATGGTACCGACACTGGTTTACAGCTTGGTAAGCATTTTTAATTCAATCTAATTAATACTGATCTATTCAGAGTAGCCAATTCGTTTTTTTAATACGTTTGCAAACAATATAATGATTTCTTAATTCATAACAAAGCTATATTTCTGTTTATTTACCTTTGTATTAAGACATTTTCATGCGATATATGGTGTTATTCTTACTCAAAGCAAAGCGCTTTTTGTCTTCCTGCATTTTTTACATTGCTGCTTGAAGTGACCGAATAACAGTATCCCCCGATATTTTCTTCGTTAGAAGGGGACAATGGATGAGTATACAGCAGGGCATGGTATCAATACTACATTTAAAGAATACGTATTTATTTCTCTGGTTATGAACTATTTTTTCTGTTACACAGCTAACTATCTTGCTCCTGTTGGCATCAATACGGGCTATTGTGCAGGCGGGGAATATCACACTCTTTGAGCGAGAAAAGGAGGAGCTACTGAAATTAAGGTAAGTTTAAGAGGCCGTGTGTGTTGCAATACTGGTTGATCGTCTGACAAGTAAATTAACATTTATATCCTGTAAACTTAAATCGATCAAGCTGATTTTAAAAAAAGTCACGAATACGGTCTTTAAATAAAATTAACTCTGTTTGGGGAATAGATTCTTCATTCTTGTGAAGCGTTTCTAAACTAGTATTATCATGATTATGAGTTTGTACTCAACATACTGTTGTTTAAATGCCAATTAACACATTCTTGTGAATGCATTTTAAGCGTCTGTAAAATGGCGCCTGGCTGGTATACTCCCCAGGGAGTGGAGGATGTGCATACATTGTGTGCAGACAAGATTAAATCCAATGAACGGGGCAATAACATATCTGTATAACTCATAGAGACGTCGTCGATGTATTAAACGCGGAATCTTAATATTATTCACTTTAATTTGAAATACATTATATATAGCAAATTCTCCACTATTCTGGATACCATTTAACTCATGAATATGTTTTTTGCTTTTCTTCTTTGCCCTTTGATCAGAGCTACTTGTATGTGCTTCCTCGCATTATCTCCTGAGCTGAGTATCTTCTACTTCTGCGGCCATTTTTCTTTCATCAACCCCATGATCGGTTATGCCTTTGGTGCACTCATGCCGTTCCAGGTTCGTAAATCTACTTATATCACTGCTATCATAAATACATTTCCAGGGGGGGGGGGGTGTTTCACAAAGAGTCGAAGTCGAACTTAACTCTAAGTTGGCTTTAAATTATGAAGAGCCATTTGTAGCCTTATTTTGAAATATATTCAAAAGCAAGAATTTCAAGTATTTTAGGTTTTTCATAAATTCCAGATCAAGAACATGAAATCTCCCATGATAATAGATAATATGAATGATTTGAATCAAGATTTTATGCCTTTTAAAATGACTTTTACAAAATATTTTCAAGGTTGCTAATGGCTTTCCATAATTGTTAAGTCCAGCTTAGAGATAAGTTCAACTTAGGACCTTTGTGAAACGCCCCCCTGATGGCAAATGTAGTTTGTAAATTGGAGACCTAAGTCTAATTTGGATAGAGAATCATTCAAAATCGGTGCGGAACATTGTTAAACCAATGCATTTATGCACGCCTTTGTACAGACAAAATAAAGAATGTAAACGTTTTGCACTGAATTCGTTGATTTATTTAGCAAACTGTGTTATTTTATAATTAGGACAAGGAATCAATTGTATACTGCAACAGTAAATACACAATATGTCTTTTGTTGTGTTTTGTTTACCAACACTACTTATCTTTACTTTTTTTCTCAACAAAACCTTACGCCATCATATTTTGACTGCCCTCAGAGTCAATTAGATCCTATTTCCTGTTCTTCCCTGAAATTGTCAAGATTGTACTGGACCAGCATATTTACCACACAGAAAAAGGCATTGGTTGTATAATCCAGTTATTGATATCTATTTACTACAGAAGTTCATATTTGATATATTTTTTTAAAGATAATTGCTTCATGTTTTGCTTTCTTTTTGACACTCACAGGGTCTATTAGTGGTCCTCCTAGAGAAACATTTCAACAAAGAGGTAAGGGTTTTCGTTCCAATTTATTCATCTTTACTGTAATTATTCCATGTGGTTGCCACCCCCATCCCCCTCTCTCTCTCTCTATCTCTCTCTCTCTCTCTCTCTTTCTATCTTTCCCTCTTTCTCTCTCCCTCTCTCTCTCTCTCTCTCTGTCTCTCTCTCTCTCTTTCTCTCTTTCTCTCTCTCTTTCTTTCTGCCTGCTGCTTTCTATCTTTCTATGCCATCCCTCTTCCTGTCTAAATAGCCATTATTCAGTTATTCAAACCTTTTCTGATCATATCACCTCATAATCATCCCGCAATGGAATCTCTTGTAAACGATAGACAACTTAATATGATTTTGTTTAATGACTATGATGAATCTTGTATCAATATCTTCATGATTAGTCACTGATTTATTTAGTAGACATTAAAAACTGTTATATTTTATAATAAATATATCGATTTTACGTTATAACTAATGGGTTATTTTCACATTTTGCACACACAGCTTGAAGAAGCATACAAGCTCAAACTGAACCCACCAGAAGAACTAAAGGATGAATACGATATTTGGGTAAGTAAATGATTGATGCTATTTTTCTCCTTGTTTCGTCACAACTGGACACTGCTTTGGAACGCCCATCTGAAGTTTTAAAGATATCTCATTATAAGAAATATGATCATTTAATCATTTGATGTTCATTGATCACTACTTTTTTTAAATCACACTAAATATTCTAATTGCTTTTTTAAAAAACATCGGTAGTTACATGTATAACGCAATACCGTATTATTGTCAGGATTTTTTAATGTACGTGTATAAATTAATTAGTAGCTAGTCAAACAATGTCTTGTCCGGTAAGGTTTTATTTTATAATAATATATTTAAAACTCCCGGTGCAATGAGAGATCTTCACTTTGAAATTAGAGTAACGTTTTGTTTAAATCTGAATCGTTTCATTGAACCAATTTTCTCTTCTTTTATACAGGCTGCAGAATTGGATGATGCAGTCAGAGCCGATTCATGTGAGTTTCTGTACTTGTTAAAGTGTCTCTAAAAGAAAGATGAATTAAATGAGTTTGAATATTTGGAATGATGTTTGATAAAGCTTTGATTTCATGTACATAATATTACTTTTACAAACGAACGTAATAATCGTAAACATTTTACCACTATATCAGCATAACAGCAACGAAAACAGAATAATATATATCTTAAATATTACCACAAAATGTTGCAAGCAGTGGTTCCAATCCCCCCCCCCCTTCCCCTCGTTCTCCATGTTTCTTTTACTCCGGTTTCCAGCTGGTTATGTCTCTACTTCTATTTTATTTGAAATTGTATTAGTGCATTTCATACTTTACCTGATCATGTTCATGTTTTTATTCTGATTGCAGCTTTGGCTAAGGAGGAGGAATATTTCAGTAGTGGCAGAAAATCTCAAACGGTAAGCTGATAAACATTTACTTTTGCATTTAATATGATCTTTTATTTTTTAAATATTTTGTCATTCTTCTTTGCATTGCACATAATTTCTCTTTATCTTTTCTCTTTGAAGGGTTGGTAAAATTTAATACGTTTTTGTATTTCTGGAGTCTTTTAACTTTGCATTTTGATGGAACATGAATAACAATATGAATATGAATAATGATATGAATAATTTTTCAAATTATTTCTTTTCGTTTTATGTACAGTCGGTACTTTCGATGCGAGGAATCAAACTAGCACGAGCCGTACGGAATGCCAAACCTCAAATGGTAGGAGGTAAAGGAACCAAGACTACAGGCACCAAGAAAAAGAAAAAGAAAAAGAAGGCGGCCAACGAGACGCCTACCGAAGTTCTGAAAGAGTCCGCCGTCCGAGAGCAAGCCGACGGCGAGAGCCGAGGTCGCAACTCTACCGAGCCGCCGTCGATGCCGCCTAGCAAACCGAAGATCGGGTTCATGAAGACGGACTATTCCGAGCTCGATGAACAGCCGTTGGTCAGGACAAAGCAGACGGCTAGGGAGATCGCAGCAACACTGCCAAAGAGCGCTACCCCAAGAACACCCGGGGGTCGAAACACGCCGGGAAGGCGTACACCAAGCGGGAAGAAGTCCCCTCGGAAAACCCCCACCCCGAGAAAGAGCCCGATACCCCGAAGTCCGTCCTTACCCGGCGCGCCTGACGACCCCGACGAGGATTTTGGTGCGCTGCTAGCCCCACCACCGAGGGGGGATCGAAAATCCCCCGAAGGTGCTGTGGTCAATGATGCTTACGAGGACGAGGACGAATACTATGACGAGAACGGAGAGTATTACGGCGATGAGGATTACGACGATTACGGGGAGTATGATGAGAATGGGGATTATTACGACGAGGATGGCGAGTATTACGAAGATGGGGATTACGACGAATACGAAGAAGAATATTAGTGATCATATTCTCCTCAAAACTTACTCTCGATGGAAAGATTTGTATCGGCGTCGATGATGTTAATTTTGATATAAGACGGCCAACCGTGATGCTGTCTATCCGAATAATTATGACAAAGATGAGATGTTTTTACCGTGAGATAAAGACTCAGGAAGAATGCCAATACATTTTCAGCAGGGATCGACAAAGAAGAGCAGACTTCCAATGGCTATTATTTTGTGTGTATAATTTAAGTTATACAAATCGTTTCCCCCACCCCCTCTCGTTCTCTCTCGCCTATAAAGCTTTTTTTATTCTAACCTTAATATATTTTTAAGCGATTCAATAAACCTTATATTCCATTCCTTTTCCAATTTCATTGTGGCCCTTTTGTACTTTAATTAATTTTATTTTAGGTAACCTTAATTTCATTTTTGGGGAACCTTCTGTTAAACTTGATTTCTTCAAAGATGGACGTATTGATCACTTCTATCTAATAATCGTAAAAGAAAATACCTGTATCGGGGCGTAAGCTGCTAGCGTAAAATGCTGAAAGGAATTTCATTTGTAATTATTTATACATAATAGATTATTGTACGAATATAGAGTTCATGTGAGAATGCCAAAGTCAAATAATTGTAAATAAAGAAAACTTGACTAAAACATTTCAGTGCCGGTCCGTTTTGGAAAGATGCGTGTTAAGTGAGACAGTGACGATGTCAGTGGTGATCGGTGATGGTAGCGGGTGATAAACAATCTGCCGTTGTCGTCGTCGTTACTGTTGTTGATGATAGCGATGACGATGAGGAAAATGATGGAAATGATGTTGATACTTGTGATAATGGTGAAGGTTGTGGTGCTACTGCTGATGGTGGTGGTTGAGGACAATAGTGGTGGTAGTAGAAGTGCTCGATAACATGACGTTGGTCCTGATGATGAAGATGATGGTGAAGCTGTTAATTTTGATATTGAGAATGATAATGTAGGCGATGCTGCTTTTTATGATGGGTGATGACAATGATGATGGTGGTGGCGGTGTTAGTTTTGGTGATGGTGGTGATGATGATGATGATGATGATGATGTTGTTGATACTGGCGGTGGTGGTGCTGTTTATGATGTTGTGTGATGACAATAATGGTGGAGGAGGTGGTCGTGATGATAATTATGATGATGCGATGACGATGATGACGATAATAATGATGATGATTATGATGACGATAATGATGATGCTGACGATGATGATGATGATGATGATGAAGATTTTACTAATGGTGGTGATAATTGTAATGCTAACCATGACAACCATGGTGATGATGGAGATGCCAGAAATGTCTTTTTACAATAACAGTATAGTACAAATACATTTACTCATGCTTTAATGCCATCTTTAGACAAATAAACGTTTGCACTATTCACTGTTTCAGCTTTTCCTCTACCCCTCCCCTCTGTATAACCCTCTCTTTCTACCCCCCCCCTATGTGTGTGTGTGTGTGCGTGTGTGTGTGTGTGTGTGTCTCTCTCTCTCTCTCGCTCTCTCATCCTCGCTTGCAATATATGATTCTTTGCCTCTTTTCGTTGTGTAATCCCATGGTTATATTTATTGACTAAAAACCATTTGGTAAAACTTCCAACCAGTTAAACATCCAGCTAAAAAAACTTAATTGTTAGAATCCTATGTATATTATTACATTATACTAGTTGTAAACTGACCCCTTCAGCCTATGCTGGCGGTCATTTGTTTTCTGCACCAAAAATAGATATAAATGAGATAAACAAATTATCCATATTCTCACTTTGACATCATGTTACTTGATTCTAAATTCTAGATTAAAGGGTTAAGGACCTTTATAGATCCAAGTTGTGTGAAAGGTACCAGATGACGTCATGGCTTCAAGAAAGAAACGCGATGAGGCTTTCGAAGCATTTCTATTCAAAATATTATTATTAGTATTGATGATGTAGTGTCGTCACAATTATACGAATCGGCCTCCCCCTTCTCCCCCTCTCAGAGTCTCTCTTACAACCCCCCCCCCTCTCTTTCGCTCATATTTCGGTCTTTTTCATTAACCAGATATTTAAGACATTTGATTTATACTTCATTTATTACAAAACCTGAGTATGTAGTGGGATTTTTCTTGGTCGTTTCTAAGAGATCTATTTCTAACTTTATTAAAATATGTGGGGAGAAAGTCTTATTCGTCAACAAATATGATATTCCATACTATGACATAATCTCCTCATCTTTTGATCAATTACTTTTTCTTTACTTATTCATTCCTTTAATAGAACAGACTAACAAAAGGGGTCAAATTATACACAGATGCATGGATATAATGATTTGATTCAATGACCTATAACGTGTGCATATTCGCTCCTGCTAACCCTCAGTGCTACGTAAAAATTGACATCGACATTTTATTTTTGCGCAACGTTTGTGTTCTTACGGTAAATTAATCTATTGAACGAGTATTCAGTGTAGCCGAGGTCATTTTTAATTAAGGCTGCCCTTTTATTAGAGTCTTGTTTAATTCAGCGCGTGAATAATCTCAAAACGGAAAGCTCTCGACACAACAACGGACTTTTTCTTGAACTTGCACAAATGCAACACAGATTTCTGATTGGCTGCAATTCTGGACGCTGTTCATCTGCAATACAATGGCAAAATAATGGTTTCTCAATTTGATAGGGGGTTTGTGTTTCGGATGGATCGTAGAAACTCAAAGAATTGATTTGATGACGAGTAGACCTGTTAAAACGCATATGCTCGTCACATGGCGGAACAACTATAAGAGGACATTTGCCGATCAAGTTGATAAACCCCTGCGTTTATGCTTCTGTTCTTCCTTGTATAAGGTTGAATTCATCGTCTGCACATGATATTTCTAAAACGAAAATGAACGTTTTCTTCAAGGTGATTTTTATGCGAGACAGACATGGATTATCATTTTGACTTATATTGAGGAGTTCTTGTGATCCTGTGTAGTGACTTGCGCTGTTTTCATCGAAGTTGTTTTGTTTTTGGCTATCCTCATGATCTTAAACGACGTTGTGATAAAAGAACATCCAACATTGTCATATTTTTATCGCGTTTCGACAGTGACAAATCTAAGGACGTGGATTTCGCGGGAGATGTGTTTACAACAAAAAAAAGCGGAAACGGTTGAAATTGTTGTTAAAACCAGATATATAACGTGCAGGTTCAGTGCTCGGGAATTATGATCTAATAATCATTGCTGATGTTGTTAGTGACATCAACTTGACCTTGATACTGTTTGTGTTGTGGATGGTGCTGATGTGGTGGTGATAATGTAGTAATGTGGTAATGAAGTTGACGACGACGGTGATGACGATGATGATGACGACGACGATGATGATGATGATGATAATGATGATGATGCAGATGTAATGATGATGATGATGATGATGACGATCGTGATTTGGATGTGATGATGATGATGATAATGGTGATGATGTGGTGGTGATGATGTTGAAGATGGTGATGTGGATGTAATTCATGATGATGATAATGCTGATGATGATGAACGCGTATGAGGCATTTAATAATTGATTATCGCCACTGCATGTAGAATATTTCTCATTGTGTATTACACAACGAAAAAATAAAAGAAGGGCATCAGCAATAAAGATAGGTAAGTACATGAACTGCATTTATTTTCTCCCCATACCATTTCTTTAAGAAAATTGTAAATACATTTATATTACGTTCTATTGTTTAAAATGTAATAGATATTTTGTTAATGCGAAACGTTCATATCGTTTTTCAATTATTATCAATTTAAGAAATATCTGTTTAATTTAGCTTATAATTGATTACCATTACCTTTCATGTCTGTACCTTTCTTATCGCACTTTGTATAAATGTATCATGTATGTATTTCATCTTTTGCACAAGCTGCGCCTTGAGCATTTGACTGTCAAGTGGATTTGGCGCCTTATAAATCATATGTATTATTATTATTATTATTAAAATGACCTTTTCTACGATGTATTTCTACTAATAATTCAATAATCACTTTCTATTTTAGTTGATTTTTTTCTTTCTTTTTCAATGATCAGGCTGCGCGCGAATCAGTGTACCCTTTTTTCGTAATTACATATTTGTGTTTGTTTGTGTTTGTTTATTTTATGTTTGTCTATTTGTTTCTATGAACAGTCTTTACGTTCTGTATGTTTATCTGTATGTGCATTCGATGATTTTTTTTTGTTTTTTTGTACAAGACTAATGACATGAAGCAGCCCGATTTGTATGGGTGTTATAAATGGGTGATGGGGTATTGTGAGGTAGGACAAGCCATAATGCCTGTCCTTACTAGTAAAAATTAATATGTACATGTTATTCGCATTCTGACTATTGAAATACAATAATTCGTAACAGGTGAATTATCGTGGCACTTTACAAAGATGTGTGCATTGAATTAATCACATTACAAAACTAGTCTATTTCACCAGACCAATAAACCATTTTCGTAATGTAACTGAATTTAGTGCATGCGTCTTTGCGAAGTGCCTCAATACAAATATTTCATTCACCTGTAATGAATGATTGTATTTCAATAGTCAGAACGCAAAAATGCATATGTTAACGTGTTGTTAGGAAGTATTATAATGTTTATCCAACCTGGCAACAACTAATGTATGTAGGTTCGCATTCTGACCCCAATTCTGACTATTGAAATTCAATTATTCATAGACAAATGAATAGGATAATTCGTATCGATGCACTTCACAAAGACGTATGCATTAAGTTTGGTTACATAACTAAAACGGTATATTGACCCAATTTTATCGACAATCAAGACTTGCAGACGACACCAGTAACCACCACTACGCCTGTAACCACGGTAACCACTGATCAGATATCGACATCTTTGACTTGCGTGGGTTCTTGCAACATGACAACAGCAGGTAAGACTTTCGATTTATTTTTAATCTATAGGCCTGTTTGGTGTCGATATCGGTTGTCTCCCCCTCCCCGTGTTACACCCACAAATGTAATAACACTTTACCCACAAATGTAATAATTTTGAATCACCCACAAATGTAATAATGACTTAACCCACAAATGTAATAACACTTTACCCACAAATGTAATAATTTCACCCACAAATGTAATGACCACTTTACCCACAAATGTAATAATTTTGAATCACCCACAAATGTAATAATGACTTTACCCACAAAATGTAATAATGACTTTACCCACAAAATGTAATAAATTTGAAGGGATATTTTGTCGAATTTGTTCAAAACTAAAACCCTGTAATAAAGCATGGGTATAGCGCGCTGTCTTTACTCCAGACCCGGTTATTTCAAAAATTTAAAAGAATCTTCAAAACTAAGACCCCATGATCCTTTTCCTGTGGAATAACATGAGAATCGAGCGTAGTCTTTCCTCCAGACCCGGTTATTCAAAAGTAAAAAAAAAAAAAAAAAAAAAAAAAAAAAAAAAAAAAAAAAAAAAAACTTTTAAACTAAGACCCCACCATCTTCCAAACTAAGACCCGGTAATAAAGCATGGGTTTAGAGCGTAGTTTTTCTTCCAGACCCGGTTATTTCAAAACTTATTAAAAATCTTCAAAACTAAGACCCCATCATCTTATTCCTGTGGAAGAACATGAGTATTGAGCGTAGTCTTTCCTCCAGACCCGGTTATTCAAAAGTTTAAAAAAAAAAAAAAAAAAAAAAAAAAAAAAAAAAAAAAAACTTTTAAACTAAGACCCCTCCTTCTTCCAAATTAAGACCCGGTAAAAAAGCATGGGATTAGAGCGTAGTCTTTACTTCAGACTCGGTTATTTAAAAAAAAAGATGGTGAGGTCTTAGTTTTGAAGATTTTTAGAAAGTTTTGAAATAACCGTGTCTAACGTGTCTAACGGGCCGTTTGACAAAATGTGTGTGGGTTCACTAGACCGACCGACCTGATAATTTTCTTTCTTCCCGTATGTAGTTCTCCATGTCCTGTCGCTCATGTACGTCTTCTGTTTAATGAACCTTTTGGACCCCCTCCATGCTTACTTGTGTTGCTATATTTCTTTGTTTTGTCAGGCTCGCGAGCTGACGGTGTACTGGGATGACCCCAAACTTGGTTTTCAAATAATCAGTGGAGACAATATTGACTTTAAAATCCTTCATATTGCATGCATTTTAATAATAATTCTAATCGGGATGTCTTTTCAATATGATTTGAAATGTAATTCAAACATTTACCTTGTATTTAAAGGCAAAGACCAGTATTGGAAACGCCCCAATTTCAAAAAATGAAATGGAAGCTCTTATTACAAATCATGTGAAAGAATATGTTTTGAATAATACATGATGATAAAAATGTTGACGGGAAACTGCCTACTAATTGATATATTTGGTAAATTAGTGTATCTCTTGCCTGTTGAGCGATACAAATGCAAGTGTCGCACACGTGTGTGTAGTCCCATATACATCTTTCTGTGTACAGTGATTCTAACTTCATGAAGACTTGGCCAAATTTCTTATCATTTTGATGATTCCAGAACCTTGCAGTACATCTATGCTAGATGATCAACCTTTTCTGATCGATTTCACAATGTTTCTTTCACAATGCAATCGCATGACCATAACTGGTCTTTAGTTTTAATGCTTAATGCTTTGAAATAATGTATGTTGGTAGATTATATTCATTTTCAATTTAATTAAATTTCTTAGCCTCGGATGAGATTTTCTCTTCGACTACAATTTAGAATATAAGATTTCAAGTACGTCATATCACGCGATTTATCCCCCTTTTGTCTATCTCTCCCTCTCTCTCTCTCTCTCTTTCCCCGCTCACACCCCTCCCCATCTCTATATCTTCTTCCCCTTCTCTCTCTCTCCCCCTCCATCCTCCTCCCCCGCTCTTTATATCTCTCTCTTCGTTCATTATCAGCGGTCAGCTCGTGTGGCAGCAACCCTTGCCAGAATGGAGCTACCTGCTCGGAGAGTATAGGAGGATACATTTGCGAGTGTCCATTTGGTTACACGGGGATTCGTTGTGATACAGGTAGGCTATTAATGCGTCATTATTCCAAAGCGTTCTTCTTTCACTTTTCTGTAATGCCAATTTGTCTTACACTTCGTGTCACAGGGCTACACGGGAAGTGATGTCATCCTGCGCTTTTCCCAGTGTACTGAATGAAGAATTCAGTTCCAAAATGTGATAGATAAAATAAAAAATGAAAATCAAATCCAGTCAAATCTTTAATCAGTTTAACTTGCAGATGATCGATTGTTGTATGATCACAATTACTTTTACTTATTAACTGCTCTGCCTGAATCCTTTACAGATTTGACGCCGAATTTCAATTTCTCCCAAGCACGTGAACTGAGTCCGGCTGACTTTGGTGAGTACAATAATCAGTTATCATATTTTGATCGCAGTGTTTGAGATCACAGTATGGATCAATCGTAAATAAAATTTAAAATCGTGAACATGATTTACAGGCATCGATTTTGAATAGTAAATGATACAGAGCGCGTGTATTAGCAAAAATAAAACGTGTAATATTGACAAAATGGAAGTATTAATTAAACCTCCGTCTTTTAATAATTTCCAGGATGCATTTTTCTTATTTAGGATGTAACATGTTTTGGCACTGTTTGTGCACCGCACTCAACTTTTCCAATATTCTCACCCTTTCTTGTACAATTCCTTCAAAGTAATGAATCAAAAGTAAGATAAACAAAATTGAGGAACAACATGTAATCATTTTTTCCTAGATTAGAGCCTATATTTAGATCGATTCGACACAAATATATTCTTCACTCTTACTTTTCTTAATATCATTAACAAATATGTCTCTTTCATCTTTGAACAGGTGTAAACAGAAGTGCATATCAGCCGTATTACACGCTGGCAGATCATTACAATCCATTACAGACCATACTAGGGAACGAACATCAAGCCATTTCAAAAGTACCATGTCGTGACAATATGATGGACTGCATTAAACTTACAGGTTTGTAAAATCAATATTAATACATTTCGTATTACGCGTTACTATCTGCTGACGACTCATCGAATATATGTCAAGGTCAAGGATGTGTCATACAAATAACAATATATTGACAACGGAAGCATTTCTGTCCGCTGACAACTCATTGAATATGGCAAATATGGATCATGGGTTTTAGAATGTATTCGCAACGGATGCATCAAGATTATGAAGCGTAAAATCATAAGCAATGTACTTGACAATGTAACCAATAACATTAACGTACATGTATAATACGTCATCGTTTCGAAGACCGGGACGCATGCTGGGGGCTGGTGGGGCTGCGGGGTCTGCGGCACTCTCTATTCAGAAGTAAAACGGTGAATTAAAAATTCAATTAAAGTCTCTGAAAATATCCATACTGATTGGCTGTGATGCTGGCCTGGTGACCATTTTCCCTTGACAAATCTGTATTTGCCCCATGTGTAAACACAGTCCTCAATCAGTTACGGGTTGAATGGAATAGAACTAAAGCAGACAGTGCTTGAGCCTCTCAATAATAGGGACTTTTAGATTCCGCACGACGAGAACGTGGACTGCCCTTTTAAAGCAATGTGACGTCCTTTTAAGGCACTGGCAGTGACGTCACATTGCCTTAAAAGGGCAGTCCGCGTTCTCGTCGTGCAGAATCTAAAAGTCCCTAATACTCGTAATAGCAGACGTGAGATGAGAGTGAGGGAGGGGTGATAATTCCTACAACGCATCCAGGAATCGCTGCCTTATCATTTGCAACCATCCATCTGATTACCGGCATTTTATCATTCAGATACTCACATTCTCTCTTCCACAGGGGCCACTTCACGATTGAACCCGATGACATCAGTAACAGGGATCTGCATCCAGGAGCTGGAGAACTGTCCTCAGGGTTTCGCCATATCCATGTGGCTCTTCCTAGACTCAGAAGCCATTGACGGAGTGCCTTCCAAGCTCCTCTCAGTCGAAGATGGAACTCTCAGTGTTCCTTACGCCAGGCTGATGATCACCGCCCAGCGAGCAATAGAATTTTCAGGTAAATGTAGTCTCGTTCTGCAAACCGGAAGTATAGATCTTCTAACGTTTCCCAAAACTACTCCTATCAGGTACTACATCAGCAATTACTATCCCTATATAATCACCAAATCTACCTTTCATACATTTCTACAATGTATTTATGAAATATGTTAAATAGACATGAATGTTCATAGTTTTAGGCTGTCTATTATCAACTGTTTATATCGTTACCAGATTCCTTCCAGTGAGCATGGTAAAGAGACAGCAAATGTGTGTTATGGTATAGTTTTAAAATGATGTTTCGATATATAGTTATAGTATTGTCTTCAGCACGTATACATTTTGCTCTTAATTCAGTGAATGATGGATTAACACTAGCCAAGACAACAATTCTCGCTGGCAAAGTCCGATGGAATCAGTGGTTTAACTTTGGAGCGAGCTGGAAACCCGGATCAGCCCCTCTCGTGTTCGTCAACTCTAAACCCGGAGGTCAAAGTTCACAGAGTGACGTCACACAGCTAATGGACACGTCAACTAACCGGGAGGTGTGGCTTGGTTCAAAGGAAACCGCGGATTCTGCAGCACCTGTAACCATGTCAGACTTCGTGTACTGGGATCGTTTCTTGTTCGATTTTGAGAACCATCGTTACCTTGGAATGACCGGTAATACTATTATTTCGGCATTAATTAAATCCACGATAAACACGATAAATAGAGTCACATACGTTATAAGGGTTAATGCGTCTAGTCGAATCAGTCTAAATGTATGTTTGAAGATACTTCCATATTTTTAACAATTCATAATTCGCACCAAACCATGGCCAGATGGGACATGAAACCTGAAGTGTAACTGAGGTATATCACTTTTTGAACAAGGTCGAGATTCAACAGCCTGCTTTATTAGGATAAACCATTCCTGGCTACCGACATGGTCGATATAGTTGCCATCCCGAATTAGATGAGATGAGTCGCTAGAACATTTTGAATATATAAGGGTTGTCTCGATCAGAATCCGCCGATAGGTTGTTGAAAAATTCCTACCAAGTAAAACCAAATGAGCAAACAATAATTGCCATTAGACATTTTGGATTATATAAACTGTCCAACAACAAATCCATATTTTCAAACTATAATTTAAATAGTGAAAGGGGGTATAGCCACAAATCTCTCTAAATGTACACCCTTTTCCAATTGTTGTAAATAAGATTCTCTTTTTTTTTATATAGATGAAGAACAACACTTGCTTTTTACGGCTGATCATTGGTGGACCGTTGACGGATTTACGCGCAGGGATCATCTCCTATTGGCTGGCCATATGAACGATGTCGCTTCGACCACGCCCATCCGGACAGACGAACATGCAGTGACCGTGTTGACGTCTGGACGAGATGGCAAGGGAAGGACCCTCGACGTCAATGGAGAGGACGGATTCTGGTTGTTCTTTGGTAGGACCTAGGAATGTAGAATATTCTCATGATGATGATATGAAGTACTGACTACTGATTATATTGAAGCCCCACTGCACTACTTGCGCCCTCTATATAGCAAACAATGCCTGAGCCGTGACCGTTGGTCCCCTATGGTCCCCCTTTTTCTTATGTTAATTGAGAGCTCATTTGATGAGATAACGACCTGTCATTGACCATGCAGGGAGGTCTAATTCCTCCTGGCCAAACTAGTGCTAAAGGCTTTAATCAACACCCCGAAATGAGATACCTCGGTATGACCTCGAAACATCTGAAAACGAAACTCAGTTATCCATTCTATATAGATCTTAAGTAACATTATTGATAAGTTTCAAAGTTGTTTTGTAGGTTATTAAGTAAGATTTTGTTGTGTATTGTGTATTGTATAAAGTTACCCTATACAGACCAAAGGAGACCGTAGTACCAAATCTTCCTTTCTATTTTTTAATCTTTCGTAAGTCATCTTTTACATATTCTTCTCTGTTTTTTTCTCGAACATTACCTCTTTGTTTATACACAACGCTCGTGTATGTTCTCTTCTCCGCCCACTCTCTTTCACCTCTCTATTTCTCCTACTTCCTCTGTCTTTCTCTTCCTCTTTCTTTCTTTCTTTCACTTTCCCTTACTCTCTCACCCTTGTTTCTCATTTCTTGTTATCACCCTGTACACAGGAGAACATGCCGGTACGTGCATCAGTGATCCAAGCCTCTGTGACGATGGCATCACCGTCGCAACGTGGATGCGGCTAACAGATCACCAGGACAACGAGTTCCACTGTCTCCTGAGTTCGGGCGGACAGACGACACGAGGTTTCGCCATCTACCAGACGGGCCAGAAACTGCGCGCGATGGTGGCGAACGGAGAGCGGCAGTGGATTGTCGAGGTTCCCTTTGACGAGTTTGAAGGTAAACAATTGCTAGAGCTCGGCAGTATTAAAAAGTCTGTCCTGGATCGGAAGAACTCGAAATGACACTCGGGAGACTTCGGAATGACTCGTATCAACTCGTGAATTTGCTTGGTTTTTCTCTCGCCGAGATCTTCGGAAGTATCTTTAGGGACCGGGAAATCTTGGAATCGAAGTCCGCAATGTTTGAAATGAAGTTTACACGTCATTACTCACTAGAAGACGTTTATTAAATTATAAATTTATTGCGATAAATAATCAATCATCTAGATCAAAATAAATTAATCCCAAGATTTATGTTAATCATTTTTTTTAAAGGCACATATGTTTCTATACACTCCAAAATTACACATGTTCATCATAATCATCCTATGCCAATTATCCGATGCTTATGATGAATTTTTGAAATAATCTTTCTATGGTTTAAAGGCTTTTTGAGAGAAAAAACAACAACCCGGTAATCATCAGATAATTAGCTTTAAATGAATGAAATTAAAAGTAATTTATAAAGTAATATAAACTATTAACGCGCAATGAAAATCAACATTTAATTGAAAGTAAAGAACGTTTGAGACTGACAAGGGTATTAACCCTGTGTTAATGATATGAACTGACGCCTTTCTTGCTCTTTCTCCAATCCTCATCTAGAATGGACTCACATCGCTCTTACATGGAACCTTACGACTGGTCTTTACCTGTATCTCGATGGTAACACCCGTGGCATTGATAACAAGGGGGTATACAGGGTACGCGAGGCAGATCTCGACAACAAACTCATTGTCGGCAGGAGGAACGACTTCCTCAGTGACTACGCCCGGGTGGGCTTCGAAGAACTTGCGATCTGGGAGCGGTTTGTGGAGCCATGGGAAACAAGACAGGTCTTTGGCTTGATCGGTAAGAATATGTATGAGGTAATTTTTATAGTTTTCGTTCCGCAAATGGTGTCTTTATGGGCATGTTTTTTATCTGTCTCGGTTTTTGCCTTCGAATTTACCCAGGCGTTAAAACGACTCCAGTTTTGGAAATTCCCCCTCTCAAAACTGAAATGTAAGTTCTTATTACCAAACATGTGAAAGAATATAGTTTTTGGCTAATACGTGATGATACAAATTTTGCCGGGAAACCTCCTACTAATTGATATATTTGGTAAATTATCATATCGATCCAGCCTGGGTAGATATCGCGATATTTCTGCTTTTTTTGCGAATTTAGGTTGAAGTATTGCCATCTAAACCTCTGAAGGCAATTTTTAAACAATATTGAATGGATATTTTGCACCCTGGCAAAACCCTTCAACCGCAACTTTACCACTTCCGGTCTTTACCTATTAAAGAGAAATGGGATTTAACAGTGATTTCAAGATGTCAACTTTAACTGCCTTTGTTGCCGGTATACCTTTACATTTTTGATTTAAAAATGCTATCCAATAACTTTCCCTTTGGTACTCCTTCAAATCATATGATTTCCTCAGCATACTTGCGTGATATGAAATCGCTTCTTGTTCCAGCACACATAACATAGCTGTGACGTGATAATTATGTGCACTGTATGTCAGGTTCATGTATGACATTTTATTCCATACGTATTGGATATATTGATCAAACAATTAATATTTCGTATTCATTTTCAGAGAACTCCGTATACAGTAAAGCAGCGTTCTACTGGACGAGTCAGTCAATGATCACAAGTACTTTCGACCTTCTTGAAGCTGGGAAGACGGCTGATATTATTCCAGGACCGAGTTCTGATGTGACCGTGGTGATTGAGGACGATGAAACCTTCGTTGAGTTGCATCCTGATAGCTACATAAGCCTGGGTAAGTTTGTATAAATTTATGAAACATTAAATATTGATTTATTTTTTCCCACTTAAAGATACAATGGGTGTAGATCTATTGTCTATTTTACTTCAAATGTATTGTAGAGGAGGCGCGTAAGCTCAGTTGGTAGAGCAGTGGTCTTGTAATCCGGCGACCCGGGTTCGAAACGAAAGCGATGCGCTAGTGCCCTTTGGTGAGACATTAATCCTCATTACCAGGTCTCTCGGAGAGGACCTAACAGAGCCGTCGGTCATCTGGTTGCTTACTAACAAGCATTTATGATTTTTTTAGCAGTCAGGTAAAATAACCACCACTACACAATTTCTATTTCAATTTCCTAGAAAGGTAGTTTTCATGTTTATTGATATGAATGTTTCAATTTTTTACCCAAAATTCATAAAAGACAATAATTATACAGATTTAAATAAGTTCAGTCCCCGTTACATCGTTTAATCAATAAAGAACATATACATTTAGATATACATGACGATTTAAGTGGCTTCCAAGGTTTGACCCAAAAAAAGTACGGGTATGTGGATAATTGAAGTGCCGTATGTAATTGAATTATGCCAAGGGCTAGGGAGTTATTGATCAATATAGAGAATATTGATCCGTGTTTTCGAGTTGGTGCATAATTTCAGAGAGTGTATATTGAATTTGATTAAGAAAGAAAATACTTAATAATTAGAATCCAAAATGGTGGAATGATGAAATAAAAGACACGTTCCCATTCGATGATGAATAACAGTTTATTGAGATACATGTATAAACAGATATATGCATAGCTTTCAAAGCAGGTTATAGTTTGAGATGAGAAATCCATAGTGTAAGCTACTTAACTACATGCTGTACATGCAATACAATATTATGAAAGGGAAAAATGGTAAAACTAATTTTTAACAAAGTAATGAGAGAAATGTAAATATGCAAAAACACAGGGGGAGGCGGGGGACATACACTCCTCCCCTGTGCTTGTGCTTATGAAATCAAATTTAATTTACTTGAAAATGTTCATGTCGATGTTGTTGCTGTTTTTAGGTACGTTCCCGACCTCATGCCTAACAGTTACAGATCTATGTCTTACTGGCTTTTCGCTCTCTATCTGGCTCAAATCACCAGTCAATGCACCTATCACCGGACATCATCTTCATATCGAGTAAGTAACAGTGACTGCGTGACTTAAGCACGGTGGCGACGATTTGTCGTCATGAAAATGTGGTTGAATATATGCTGTAAACGCGTGGAGGCACATCTCCTAAAAGTCTCTCGAACAAAGAAGGAGATGATGATGATGAAAGGAGAATATGATGATGAAAGAAGAAGAAAAAAGGAGGAAGAAATCGAAGGAAAAGAAAAAGAAGAAGAAGATGAAGAAGAAGAAGAAGAAGAAGAAGAAGAAGAAGAAGAAGAAAAGAAAAAGAAGAAGTAGATGATTAAGATGAAGAAAAAGGTGGAGAAGAAGAATAAAATGAAAAAGATGGTGATGATGATGATGATGATGATCTTCTTCTTCTTCATCTTCTTCATCATCATCATCATTATCATTATCATCATCATCATCATCATCATCATCTTTTTCATTTTCTTCTTCTTCTCCACCTTTTTCTTCATCTTAATCATCTACTTCTTCTTTTTCTTTTCTCATCATCATCATCATAATGAAGAAAAAGAAGTTAATCACATGTTTAAGGAAGGGGTGGGGTTATTATATATGTCACAGGGGGGGGGGGTGAGTACATGCCCCTTGCCCTCACACTCAACCCACCTTCCTTACCGGGTTCTACCACTGTGCTGGCGTATTTCGTTCCTGTAATTAATTAATATCTCAATACAGTGGTATTCATTTGCGAATACGAACATATCTTTAATTCCATCATCATTTTGGTTATAATGAACAAGTGGTTTCTTTCATAATCAAAATCAATATGCACTCTCCGAAATATGAACCAGCTCGAAATACACGGATCAATATTTGTCTGTATTGGTCAATAACACCCTTGCTCGTTAGTCTAATTTAATTACGTAGGGTGACCTATCAATGTGCGTACAATCGAAGGACTTTTATCGATTTAACAATTATTAATTTTCAAATAATATTGTGTGAAATTACTGCTTCCGATTTCGACATTAATACTGTTAAATGCTACCGATATCACTGAAGCATTCATTTTCCATCTCATCATCATTTGGGTTATAATTATGAAGTGGTTTCTTTCATAATAAAAATCAATTTACACTCTGACACTGAAAAACGCACCAACTCGAAAGACACGGATCAATATTTGTCTGTATTGGTCAATAGCATCCTAGCCCTCAGCCTAATTTAATTACATAGGTTGACCTATCAATTTGTGTACGATTGAAGAATTATTTATTTTCAAATAAAATTGTGTGAAATTACTGCTTCCGATGTCGACATTAATAATATGAAGTCGCTGCAGCATTTTATTTCGATTTCTCTCTTTCTTTTTAAAATTGTTTATAGGTCTCGCAGTTTGACACTCACAGTGACGTACTACACCGCTGTTGCCATAGTGATGACTTCCGATCTGGTTTGGACTACTACGGTGCCCGTCGCAGTGAGTACCCTTCCTGTGTCTGCACTTGGGAGCAATGAATCTATGATATGATGACAACAAACAATAATAACATGTGAAATCGCATTTAGGGATATATTCATGGAACGGAGATGGCTTACCTGCAGATAACATTAAACCTTCCCTCAAATGATGCGAATTACTAAGCTCAACATCTTTACTAATTGATTTTGACAATGAGTAATGCTTGTAACACATTTACAAAGTTTTACTTAAATATTACATTTCAAATCATTACACTATTCAGAAACATGGGGCGTGGTACAACATCGCCGTCACATGGAACCGTTTTGAAAGTCTGGTGGTCTACATAGACGGCATTGAACCCGAAGGAGCGACATCAACCGTAGAAACGAACATGGACGTACAACCGTCATCAATGACGGAGGTCGGTATCAGCTCGACTACGGAAGGGACGTTGATCACAGATCTTGCTCTTTGGTACCAGTTTACGTACCCGCGAAAAGCCTTCACGCTTCTCGGATTAACCGGTGGGTTTTCTGACAAGGTTAGGTAATTAAGAGCCGTCTTGAATGACTTAATTCAAACGGTCAAACTAGTCAAACGGGAAGAAGGAAACCATAACTAAATGAATTAATATAAAACGAACAACAGGCCTTTACTGTAATGTATTCAAATTTATGCATTTGTCTTTATGAAGCCCTCGATACCAATTATTTTATTCACCGCTTACGAATAAATGTATCTCAAAAGTCAGAATGTTAATTGCATACATTAGTTGTCGCTAGGTAGGACAAATATTATGGCTTGTTCTACCTACCAACGTGTAATGTATGCAACTTGCATTCTGACCACTGAAATACAAGTATTCTTCACTAACATGGGAATGAAACAATTTGTATTGAGGCACTTCACAAAGACGTATGCGTTAAAGTTTGGTAATATTACGAAATGGCCTATTAGATAATCGATAGAATATCTAACAATGTTCATTATCATTCAGTGCAAACATGTATTCGACACTTTACGTCACCATTACAGGAGTGATAGATGAATAGCAGTGTGATTACAGATTAAAGGTTTTTTATTACCATAAAAGGCCACGCTGTTTCTATTATGCGGAAACCTTTGTTGTATTTCGATTAGATTCTGAGGGCTACTGCCAGAGTTTCGGGCGTTACTGCTGGACTTTCCAGCCACCACTCAGCCGTGTCGACCCTTTCACCGCGTCCGACACCGACATCGTTTACACCACGAGCTCGAACTACACCGGCAAGGCCGTGGTCACTGACGGTGTCGAGGGTTTCCTTACTCTGGGCGACTTCGAAGGCGTGTGTCCCAGCGATCCTGCCGAGTGCGAGCACGGATTCGCGCTGGGACTGTGGGTGAAACTAGAGGCTCCTGAGACTGAGGATAGCTCTGTGAGGCACATCGTCAGCCTGGGTGCTGACAAGAATGGTGAGCATTTTTTTCCTTTGAAATGTATTGAATGTCTTTCTTTTGCCTACAGTAATCATCGGTCCTTTGTGTAGGATAATGTTCGAAAATAAGACACAATCATGTAATTATATAATGGAATTCATCAAAGGATTAACTCTCAGAATGGTTGCTCAACTCATAATGATATCAATATATTTTTTAGTGACTTGACTCCTGATAAAGTCTTAGTTCATAATACCACCATATTAATGTAGTTGCCTGATAGCTAGGCGGATAGGCATATTTATTTTAAATGCTTTCATCATTCATGTAATGCTTATGATTATGCGATTCATAAATTAAACTTTTAAATATATCAAATGTCTCTCTTGTGCCTACAGTAATCATCGGTCCTTTGTGTAGGATGATGTTCGAAAATAAGACACAATCATGTAATTATATAATGGAATTCATCAAAGGATTAACTCTCAGAATGGTTGCTCAACTCATAATGATATCAATATATTTTTTAGTGACTTGACTCCTGAGATAGTCTTAGTTCAAAATACCACAATGTACATGTATTAGCCCATAGCTAGGCAGATAGGCATATTTATCCAAAATGCACTCATAATTCATGAAATGCTTATGATTATGCGATTCATAAGTTTATCATTTTTTCAGGTGTCTCTTGGGTCGAAAATATAGAAGGAGGAGCAAAAGAACAAAATGAGAGGGCACATTAATTATTCTGTGTACCACATCGTTTCTTTGATGCGTCAAGGGCCAGTATTGCCCCCCCCCTAAATCTGCTATTCCGTTCAGGCCATTTCTAAATAGAGAATTTTTTTTTTAAAATTTTTATTAACCTGCAGGTGAAAAAGGAATGGCTCTGATTCAGGCCGAGGGGAACATCCGGGCTATTGTTGCAGACGGCACTAAAAGATGGGAAGTGGATACTACGGAGCACAACGTAACCTATGGCAAATGGATGTACATTGGAATGATCTGGGAAGCGACGAATGGACTCAAAATCGTCTTTGATGGCGCAGAGACGGCAGAAGAGGTATGGAATTGACTGTATTACTTCTGGCGAAACAGCGGGGAGCATGAGTGCAGGCCTCCTCCCAAATCGAAAGGCGAGAAAAGGGGATAAGAGAAAAGAGAAAGAGAAAGAGAAAGAGAGAGAGAGAGAGAGAGAGAGAGCCCCAAAAGCGGTGGGTAGCGGTAATATAACCGGAATGTCCCCTTTTTAACTTAGCTTTTTGATAATTCCAAAACTTGTTAATAACCAAACCCTTCGCACATGATTTTGATTTAATCTTCCGGTACAGAAATCTGGAACAGTGAGCACAAGAAACAAGGAGGCATACTCGGTAATCACCGTCGGAAAATCAGCAGTCTGGCCCATAGGGTACCAAGCAGGCGCCTATGACGAGATTATGCTGATTGTACCAGAGACTGCCGATGCCATTCCGTTACCAGAAGACCTGAATGGAGTTGGAAGTATGTTCACGTTAATGTACTGATGTATTCTGTGACAATCCTATTAATTAGGTCAGCTTTTTAAGAAAGATTTGACGCATTTATAGTGATGAAATAAGGATAAAAACTTAGACTAGGTAGATAGTCAAAAAGAAGGATAGGAGGATGAATGGTTAAGGAGGAGGAGGAGGAGGAGGAGAAGGAGGAAGTGTTTTTCTACAATTAAAGTTCTGATATTCAAACGGGTGTTCATTCTGCAGATTTTTTTTTGCACGAAGGAATATTTGTCTTCATCTGTTATTATTTGTTGCACATATTCTCGTCAAATGTATATCTTTTATCCCTACTTATACTCGATTCCTGTTTCATCCTGTATCCCCTTCCGTCTTCTTTTTCACTACTTCCCCTCCCTCACGATCCTCTCATCTGCTCTTCCATCCCGTCTGTCTCTCCCAATTTTGTTTTCTCTCTCTCCTTTCTCTTTCTCTCTTTATCCCCTCCTTCTCTCTATCTGTCTCCACCCCTCTCTCTCTTCGTTCTGCTCCCGTCACTCGATCTCCTTACCAAGGTGTGCGCTACCGCTCTGCCGACCAGTACTTCGACGTGACAGACCCGTCGGGCCCGGTGGAGGCAGTTAACACATCTCTGGTCGAAGACCGCTTCCATTCCGAGAATGGGGCTATCTCTACAGGCGATCCGGTCAAACATAACTTTGGATACGTATCCATAGGTATATAGTCCGTCAATACACTTTGAAGACTATACATTTATGATATAAATTTAGAATTTCAATATCCTTAAGTTTGAGACTGGAAAATTGGGAAAGTAATATGAGGTTGCATACAAAGAGTGTAAGAACCTTTTGGACTGGTAAGTAGAAAATTAAGCTTAGAAAGCTGATATTGTTTTTAGCGTCTATATATCATTTTCTTATTTTAAATGCATTCCAAATTTGTCTCAATACGGGGATACAGCGAAAATAGTTCATTTGCAATGCCGTTATTGACAATGAAACGTTATTTTGTTGGATTCGACACACCCCGTGTCTCTTTATGAAAAACGGTTGTGTACCAAAGTAAAGGAAGGTTTATTTTATGGCAAATATGAATTTTAGTTGTCCAGCATACCTTTTGCAGAAAGCCTCATACCTTATTCACAAAACTCTGGGATTCTAAAAATATTCCTTTTCATCTTTTTCATCTTTTTCATCTCTATAAAGGTGACTATGCTGGTAAATGTTTAAGTGACCCGTCTATCTGTAGTCCAGCCGGTATGACGGTCAGTTTCTGGGTCCAACTTGACAACATTGACCATTTCCAAGATGTTGCCACCAACCCCGAAGGGCTAGGATATATTCTAAGGTATGAACGTCTATATTAAAGGCATCGTTTAACAATGTTAAATCTGAGATGCACGGCCCTACGTGTTATCAGTGTCTGTGATATGGTGTAATATTAAAGCCCTAAAAAAAAAGCGATTCAAATGATCAAGAAGTGCCTCAATAGAGCAAAAATCTTTGAGTGACCGGTTTTTACCATACTCATTTTCCCCAATGGACTGTAGTGTTATGAAAACCGTTAGGAAAACGCAAAATTTGGTTTCGATTTCCAATCATAAATATCTTGATAATCAGACAAGCGATCGGCTTGTAAAAGTCATGGAGTTCTTGACTGACCTAAAGGTTTATAATTATCATTGCAGCATGAGCTAAATTCTGGATTTTGTTTCAGAATATGAGAAAAAGTTACCGGATCCCTTTAAGATCAAATAATACAATGAATACATACAATATTAGTCCGTCGCCTTACGCCTTTCTCGATTTCTTTTTCTTTCTTTTTTGTTGTTTTAATTTTATTGAACATAATCTACATGCTTAATTGACTGCTCTTACAAGGGAATCTACAATTTATAAGCTAAGCTTTTTAATGGATTCCCCCAAATTGCACTACATATATATAATTATGTCTAATTTCAGTTTGAATACCATGCAATTGTATTTATATCTCTGTATGTTATTTCGACTGTATTATTGCTTTCATGGCCTTATATGATTGTATGTACTTTTTACTTATTGACAGAACAATTCTTGTCATTCTTATTTTAATTGCTTATGATTTTTGTCATGAATGTAAATGTGAAATATTAAATAAAATTAAAATGAAACTGAAACTGAACCGAACAATGGCGACACCATTTGGACGTTGATCTATCTAGAGACAAAGAGAAGTCAATTGATTGTATTAATGCTCTAAACTTCTAGGATGCACATGTAACTTCTGAAATGATTCGGGGCAACTGCGACTATCCCCTTACCTCGAATAATTGGCACTCCAAGCCTAAGTTGTAAACGATACCTTATGTATACACCTATTGCACATGTATTTCTATCAAAAAAAGAAAATAATGATATGCACAGCAAAGATTTTTTTTCTAAGTGGACTCAATATGCTTAGATTAATGCCACAATAATATCTGACGATATCTTCGAAACTATAGCATAATACTAATACCCCCCCCCCCGCAGCATGTCAACTAAATAATGTTCTGCCATTTGCGTTCATGGTATTTACAACGGCAATGGACAACAACAGGAACTAATAGGGGCAATAAACATTTTATGGTGTATTTTCTTCCCCTGAAATTGAAGCTCTGGTGCACAGGTCGCCAACAGCCGAGGGTTTTCAGTGACCTATGACGGCACTACTGTCACTACAGAGGCTGTAAGCTCCAACATCATGTGGACTGCATCTTTCGATGACGCAGATTTTGGCAGGAATTGGACCAACTTTGCTATAACTTGGAGCTCCGTTTCTGGCCTCGAAGTTTTGACTGACGGCGAACTAAGGGGTGATTATATTTTTTTAAATTTAGATTTTTTTTTTCGATGTTCAGATCTGCAAAAGGCATATTCCATCAAAATTCGGATCGAATACAATTCGAGAACATTTGTACATACAGAAATAGCCTTAAATGTAATGCTTTGCAAATTAGGATTCGAAGTAATTACATATCGTAGGGTAGTCATATTTTCGTGGGGAGGTTTTTGAAATATTTTAAACTATTTTCTTTCCAATTCATCATTGGACAAGTAACGTGTTGAATTTAAAATCAATAAGCAAGTCATAGCTCACGGATACCACTATTTCTTGCGTTTTTTCAATGATTTGTCATGAGTGATTGAATTTGATATATGTTGAAGTGAGAATCGAGCAGGTTAACGAATCGAGAGCTGGCATATTCAACAGAAGATATTTGTATTCGGCGTGTGTGAGGTGCTTTAAATATGATGTGATGAAATTGTGAAGGAAAATGAACAAAGATTTGTTTATTTTGAATGGATATGTTGTTGAGAATTTATTTACCCATTGCTGAATTTATCTTTTTACTTTTACTTCTTGTTGTTTACCTCCCTCCGCACAGCCACCGATCCACTTGGAACTTCATTGTCCAGTGCGACAACGGATACGCACACCGCCGTGCACCTCGGCAAACGGAACGACCAGGAGAGCGGGTACCTCGGGGGCGCCTTCGACGATGTCGCCATATGGATATACACCATCGATTTCGAAGACGACGACGAGCTCAGTCAGTTGCTGGGCGAGTTGGGACTAGATGATCTTTGTAAGGAATGTTTCCCTTTTTTTAATAATTTTGCCGCATGTATCCGATTATTCGGTTCCTGAAGTACCATTGTATAAATCATCATTATCTGCCTTAAATGTATTGCTATAAAAAAAAACTGTGCCACACTTAAGGGATTGTCGTTATATTCTTCTGCGTTATGTATTTTGTTGTAAACAAATATGCCAATGTGTATCGTTATCAGTATTCTAAGAAATTAAAATATTGGCAAGATATATATCTATGGCATACACTAGAATTTTCTTCAACGACTATTTTGTAGTTATTCAACTTTCTTAATCCAGGATCCTACTTTCCGTTGAGTTACTAAAAATCGTTTTCATATATTCGCGTGCAAGGTATCATCATTATTTCCAATTTAATAACGATACTTCAATTCCTATGTGTTACTAACAGTTATCACTGATGATTATACACAATTGTTGAACTCGGGACCGACCACTGGTAAAGAAGAGTGCCGAGTCCTGCATGAGGCCGACTGTGCGAGATCACTAACAGAACTAGAGGATATTGTAAGTACAATAAGTCAAACCAGACACATATGTGTTCCTTTAGCAAATGATTTTTGATGACAAATATTCACAACAATTTAATGGTTATTGGAATAGATATAAGGGTTCTTCTTGATGAGAACTCGTGCATGAAATAATTACTTTTGTATATGAATTTCCTTTGTTTTTTCTGTCTGCATGTTGTGTGATGAATTCGTGATCGCGGAAACGTACTTTTGGGAACAAAACGGGCGGCTCCTTTCAACACGTTTTAACAAAAGAGAGAGAGAGAGAGAGAGATGAAATGAAAGATCGAGAGAGAGAGAGAGGGAGAGAGAGAGAGAGAGAAAGAAAGGGAGAGAGAGAGAGAGAGAGAAAGAAAGAGAGAGAGAGAGAAAGAAAGAGAGAGAAAGAAAGAAAGAGAGAGAGAGAGAGAGAGAGAGAAGAAAAAAAGAGAGTATATGGGAAAAGTGTGTGTGTGGGGGGGGGGGGGTGACAGGGGATAGTGATAAGAAGAAAAGGGATAGATGGGAAGTAAAAGAGAAAGAGGGGTTAAGAGATAATAGGGAAACTCTTGAAATAAATGAAATAGTATGATGTATATTCATCTAACACCCAATTTTTTTCTCACAATATAGACCAATGAAGAATTATATTTCGGTAATACCGCTCAGACGAGCATGCGCAGACGATTGCTGCACCTTGCCCAGTCTGAAGATATCCCATCAACCAATGAATTAGCCGCAGCCGTCAATATAGCTTCCACTCTAGCCCTGGTCGTCCAACCCTTCAGTAACAAAACGTTAGCCGAAAATGCAATTAAGGTATAAAAGGAGTAAAATATCGAATATAACACCACTGCATTTTTAGCATTGACTGTTTATTTTCTCTAAATTTTAAACTCTTTTCAAACTGGTCGACAGAGGACTTCCACAATTTAGTTTTGTGACGCATACAGTGATAACCAATCAATTAGGAGTTGAGTTCCATTTATAACCTTTGAAGTTTTTTAATATTTTGTATAGTGAATGACAATTAAGAGGGAAACAAATTCCTACAACTTTGTTATCTTAGTTAATTATTGTGAAAAGGATGCTTTGAAACCACTAATATTTATTCTTAAATGTTTTTTTAATACGTTCCGTTTTCTATTTTAGGAATTCATTCAAACCGTAGACGCACTGCTTGATGCAAACCGAACGGAGAAATGGATCGAGCTACAAAAGGTAAACAAATTTCGGATATAGATGTATTTTTCAGGGGCGGATCTAGAATTCCATAAGTGGAGGGTGTCGAAATAACAATGATTATAAAAGTGATGAAAGAGATTAGATATACATGTAGTTGTAAAGTTTTTATTATGTTTTTTCGCCATAGTTTACCCAAATACAAATTTGTCATGTGCCTGGGTCTAAAAGGGAACTGGAGGAGGTGCAAAAGAATGAGAGGCACAATTAATGTGTACAAAAATGTATGACAGATTGAGTTTAAAGGGGGAGGGGCGCTTAGTGCCCCCTCAAAAAGGATGCTGATGTTGAACTGTTTGTTCTCCTTTCGGTCAGGTCAAACCCGGTTCGACGGATTTGGTTCACAGTCTTGAAGACTACATCACACAGGCCGCTAGAGATTTTGAAACAAGTGACACGTTCCAAGGATGTCAGGAATTCTTCGAAACAACTACGATTGGTATGTTCTACTTACTTCAAAGCCCCGCTGCACTACTTATAGCTACTTGCGCCCTCTATAAAGCAAACAATGCCTAATCGGTGACCATTGGTTTCCCATGGTCCCCTTTTTCTTATGTTTAGTAAGATATGATTTGATGAGATAACCACCAGTCAGTGACCATGCAGGGAGGTATAATCCCTCCTGGCCAAACTAGTTCAGATAGTCCTTAAATTATGTTCAAGTACGAACATTTTGTGAAGAAAAGGCATTGCAATTCACCTTGCTTCCTTAAGATTCATATTGAAGATAGCTGGCTATAGTCATTTATTTGTTGTGATTTTCAGAAATAATTTGCCTCTCCTGGATACACCGATACACATTTTACGTCCTGCTTATGGCCATATCTAGGATATTTTATCATTTAGTGTCCTATATATATATATATATATATACAAGGCTTTATCATGATTGTGGTATTGTGGTATTCTGAAAATAAATTGACGCCAAAGGTATCATTTTACTCGATTGTGGTCACATCCAAGCTCTAGTGGGACTTCTAATTAAATACAATCATCAGATACACTCAATTCTTATGCGTTGGTAACGAATGGAACAGAAAAGCCTTGACTTATACTCGTATATATTTTAGGGGATTTCCCTTTTGACCTTGATATAGCGAATACACCGATTTTGTCGTTCTTCTTCTATCTTTTTATTGAAAATTCTCACTCACTCCTCTCTTTATATACCCTCGTCCTTTCACCCTCTAAAGTTTATTGGAGAAGTAATTAAATTCAGCCAAAGATTCTACCAGATAAATGACAACTAAAGGTGTTTCTTCAACATTCTTCTTACAGCTACGTGCGTTGATAAATTCGTCTCTGAATCGTTCGGCTCCAATGGGCCCGTTACCCTACCTGTGTACGGCAACGAGTCGGCTTGGAGAGGGGTGGAGGCTAGATGGAGCAATCTCAAAGAAGAGGTCACATTGCCCCAGAATCTATTCGACTTCACCATTGATGGTAAGGCGTTTTTTGTTTACACTTCTAACCTTTTAAAGGTCATGTTCGTTCTTAATACATGACATCAATCTCTTCTGTGATTCCCCCTACAAACAACAACAACAACAAAACAGCAAGATCAACAACACCAACGCTGCCAACAAAAACATCTACAACAGAAGCAACAGCACCAAACTCATAAAAAGAGCATTAACAGCGTCTTCATCGCATGTCTTCATGTTTTCACCAACAGGTAATGAAGGGATTCTGGTCCTCTCTATTTATGATGCTCTGGATGAAGTCATACCACAGAACACATCAAAGGAGTAAGTTACAAAATAGACATTGAATCTCTCACCGTAATGTTGATTTCTCACCTACATTTTTTGTACAAAACATGCCAAATTAAACATCAATGTTTTTTAATTACAAAATTGTAAATAGACATATTTTATCTGAATTTTTTTTGTGTGGATAAATCTTACTTGCGAAAATGAACTTGTACTGCAGACAATAAACATCAGTAAATCAAATCATATTACACAAAATATATTTTTATTTTGTTCTCTTCCGATAATAGTTTTGTTTCGACATCGACGGCTGAGCCTTGGGTGAATAGCCGTGTGGTATCCCTGAAAGTATACCCATCTTTACGCCGGGAGCTCTATAACCCGGTCAGATTGGTCTTCGTCCATACCAAGGTAAATGTTCCTTTAAAGCCCCACTGCGTTACTTGTAGGTACTTGCCCCCTCTATATAGCAAACAATGCCTAATCGGTGCCTGTTAGTCCCCAGTGATCCTCTTTCTCGTATGTTATTTGAGAGCTAAGTTGATGAGATTACCACCTGTCAGTAACCAGCAAGGTGGTCTAATCCCTCCTGGCTTAACTAGTACAGACGGGCTTTAATGGAACTCGCACTCATCTTCTCTACGTTGAGTCCACTTGATTAAATCATAAACGCGGTATGATGTTTAGCTTTAATGGCGAGGGAGATTATGTAAAACGAACTGGAGGATAGGTACAATAATATAACGTGATATACAGTGCGTCCCAGAAAAAAACGAAACCTAGAATTGTCGATGTTTTATCATAACTTAATCACAATTATAATGAATAAATGACACATATTTGTAAATCTTAGATTCTCCTCTTTCATATTTCACGTATGAGTGATTAAATACAATTTGAAGAAAGGGTACCAACAAGACATTTGGCGAACGGTATCTGAATTTCACATTTCAAATGACTTTTTGGCAAACTTTCTTCAATTTGTTTTGATCATTCATATGAGTTGCATCAAATCATAGAGGAGGATCTAACCTTTACAAATATGTGTCATTTGTTAATTTTCGGTAAATATCGGTTTCGTTTTTTCTGAGACGCACTGTATACATGTATTTAGGTGTGAAAATAAGCACCGTTTACATGTAAAATCAGGATTTACACAGTGCCCCTCATATAAAATTCTTTGTCTATAACATATCAATGTTCCGTCCATTGAGATTCAGAATAAAGTAAACATTGCATAAATCGCATGGTTTAACGACCTCCTCGCTCTCAGCAGACAATGCAATTCAGTTTTGATATGAGAGTATAAACAGTGGCCAAATATAATGATATCATTGTTTAAGAGGCAGAGAAAATTTCAACTGAAGGTATTTATTCTCATTACAGGGCGTATCCGGCGAACCGGACACCGATACACCAGTTTGTGCCTTCTGGAATTACTACTTACCGTAATATCCCAACTTTCTTTATGTAGTTAATGGGACAATTGTATATTTACCAATGTTTCGAAAATAATGCTTCTAACTCGAAATGACAGATACAGTTCACCTATGAACACATCACATCATTTTAAGCACAACTTACATTATCGACAATTCCAATGACGCTGTTCGTAGGCCTCATTCATTGCTTGCGTCAAGTAGTATGGAACATTCAAACTTTAACATAACAATAATACTGTTTTACATGTAATTTATATAATAGAAGTATAGATATCATATGGGTTAAAAGCACGTAATTTCGTATGAAATCATTTGCTTTAAAAATATCTGCAACAAAAGACATTTCTATTTTGAAAGTAATATGAAATTCATATACTCAAAATATTTGTAAATTCATGATCCAGTGTTTTTTTTTTAACCAAGTGACACCAATGGAGGATCTTGGGACAAGACAGGTTGTGAAATGGTAGCTACGAACAGGACTCATACAACATGCGAGTGCACTCACTTTACGCACTTTGCAGTTATAATGGAACCACCACCACCACCTGTAAGCTTTCCTACACCCCCTGGTCCTACACCTTACACTAACACATACTTCTGCTCGATATTCGACCCTTGTTTTACTATCGTGTTTGTGACGTAGGATCCTGAAAGAAAATATTTGATTTGGTTGTCATCGTCCTTTCATTAGCAAAAATGTATAGAATATAATTTCTATCATTAGTTCTCTCTGGCGACGGTTTTTATATTCTGTTTGTAATTAAATGAATTTCCTTTTATTTTTGGTTCCATCTAGCCTAATGAAAATGACTGCGCCTGGTGTTTCAGTTTAGTATTATTATTCCCATTCCTAACGAATATTTGCTATGATTCATTGTTCTATCAAATCAAGCTTGATTGTTTATACAAGATAACTGACCAAAATAATATGTCGAAACGTAACACGCACGCAAATTAAATATACGGTGTAAAATTTAAACAGGCGCAAGTCTTGGTTACATTTAGAAATTCTGAATACACGATCGTTTTTTAAATAAATGAAATCTGTCATTACTTTTTCTTCAGCCACCCGACATTGTAGACATGGTGTTCGTGTGGTCTGCGAGAGCATTGGTGGGAATCTCGGGAGTATTCCTCCTTCTACTCATCTGTATTTTCATCTGCTTCACGTATGAAATATACAATATTGTTCCAATTCAGCTATTTACAATATCCATGCCAAACTCTCATAGTTTTGAAATAATTTGTAATGAATTAAGTAGCATCAAAGATGATCAATTGATTTAATAAATAACAAACAATTTTAAAAAAATATATCTATGCATTCTCTCACCACTTTTATCGAACGTACCATCCGAAGCATTTAGAGAACAGTGGTAGAGTTTGTATATACATTAAAAAGTGAAAGAAAAGGCATTCTGGCTGTGATAACCATTGATTCTCAAAGCTGATTTCTTTCGAAATGTGGAATTTGATACAGTACACTCTACTAAACCAAACTAAAAAACAGGTTTCTCTAGAAGAGAATTTACAAACAGATTAGCCATTTGATTTTGTTATCGTATTTCATACTAGTACAAGAATTGTAAGTATCTTCAAATATCTTCTCCTAATTTCCTACAGACGTGTACGCACACTTCGTCATCTGATCCATGCTAACGTTGCTATATCAGTTATGATAGCCATCGTATTCTTGTGCTTGGCGACAGTTGAGTGGTCACCTGTAAGTTAGCTTCAACTTTTGCACTTTTGATTTACTCTGTAAAGAGTTTACAAGGTTATGAAGGAAAAAAAATCCATCGCACAGTTGATAAATCTTGCATAGACTTCATAAACGATGCCTGGATGATGAGAAAAGGTTCCAATTCATATGTGCTGCTGCCTCTTTATTGGTGAACAAATGTTTATGATATTTCATAATGGGGAGTGTTTCACAAAGACTAAGATCGACTTTAAGTTGGACTTAACTATGACAGGCTGTTCATGTCACTAGTTGCTCTCACCATTGGTCTCTCAATTATGATCTTTAAATTATATTTTTTCCTACAATAATAAAGTATCAACAAATGTAAATTCAGTAGATTTGTGACCACGATTGGTATGTCGCTTGAGAAACCAATGCCAGTAAATGATGAGAGAATATAGTGGCATGAACAGCCAGCCATAGTTAAGTCCAACTTAAAGTCGATCTTAGTCTTTGTGAAACACTCCCCTGTTTTTGTATTCATTCCAGCTAATATGTCGTGTGATGGCTGCCTTGTTTGAATACTTCTGTCTCGTCTTCGTCTTCTGGCTCCTGATCGAATCCATCCAAGCCTTGACCGACGTCCACTTCGGCTACGGACACGCTGACCGCATCATCAGCTCGTGCCCACTGCCAGATAGATATTTCGGGTACATGTGTCTAGCATGGGGTGCGTTTACATACATGCTTTCATGTGGAAGTGTCGTTTCTAGGACACCCACCCCCTGGACATCCAACCCCGGAAAACCACCCCTAGGACAACTACCCCCTAGGACAACTAGGACAGGTAGTTGTCCTAGGGGGTAGTTGACTGGGGGTGGTTATCCGGGGGGTAGTTGTCCTAGGGGGGTGGTTGTCCTTGGGGTAGTTGTCTGGGGGTAGTTGTCCGGGAGGAGTTGTCCCGGGGGTAGTCGTCCGAGAGGATGGTTTCCCTAGGGGGTAGTTGTCCTAGGGGCTAGTTATCCTAGGGGGTAGTTGACTGGGGGTGGTTATCCGGGGTGGATGTCCAGGGGGTAGGTATCCGGATACGGGAAGTGTCCTCTTATAGTATATAGTATTTATAATATATACAGGCACTAACGTTCTTTGGCAAGATATTAATCCACTCACTCTCAACCCAGGTGCGAATGGGTAACCGATATACCATATACTGTATGAAGTTTACAATACGTTCCTACTGGTTACCCACCACTGTGACGCTAATCTTCTGCTAAATCTCCTTGTTTCTCCCTTCCGATCCCATCATTTTTTATGAACTCTCTTACTATCCCTCCACCTTTCTCCCTTCACCCCACACCCCTTCTCGTAACCTCTCTCATTTTTCCCTCCTATAGTTCTTATATAATTATGCGTCCATTTGTTTGTGATAATTTTTTCTTTCATATATAGATATATCTCACCTGAAAGTGGTTGTACGCATGCAAATGATTATTAAATCAATTGGTGGATTGATTGTTTTGTCCAGTTGTTAAGGTTGTTTCGTTCATTTGTGCATTGTTTGGTTGATGGATTGATCGACTGATTGCATTATTAATCCATTGATTTGACGCAGGTGTCAAATGGGGAATTATAAGCCTGTTTCTGACGCCCGAAACATTGCTTTTATGAAATACATGAATGATTTAAAATCGCATTATACGCTCTTATATTTGTGTAAGTACTTAAAAAATATAAGTTCACAATTGTTTTATACTTAATAATCATCAAATCAAAGTCCACCTTCAGAGAGGTGCAAGCTTTCATTAGCAATGTTGAGCATTCGTATTACACTGCTTTTAATCATTTGCCTGGCCTTCTCAATCTCATTGTAATTACAAGGTGCCCCGGGACTCATTGTGGGAGTAACAATAGCAATCAACATTGATGCCTACGGAGAACTCGACTGTGGACTGTAAGTAAAGTTTCCAAAAGAAGATTTGGCATTTAAAGTATTTTGTTTAAACATCACTTGTCAATGATCAAACTTGCACAACAAAGGAGACATAATAATCAAAGGCAACAAAATCATATTACTGGTGGGTGCAGGGCAAAAAGAAGGACATCTTAGACAAAACAGTGCATTGAATCATTGTTATAAAGAAATACAAATGACTACATTGAAATGAACAAGAGACGGCATTGCACACTTTTACAGGTTCCTGTAGATAAAGTTGCCGGTTATTATTCGAAGTAGAATTGAGACAAGTCTTCAAAAAGTAAATTCATCTTTGTGCCATATTATCGGATGCTCATGAAAGCTTCCATGGTTCTGCTACGAATAATATTGAAAAGACATGAATCATTATGAATCACTGCTTTCTGGGTCAACATGTCGTCGTTCATCACTTTTCAAATTTTATTAGGTTAACATTTTCTTTTCATTTACAGGTGTTGGGTTACTGATGAGCATGACTTATACCTTTCATTTTATGGACCACTTGGTCTTTGCTTCGGGGTGAGTAAAAATGCATGTTAATTCTTTCGTAGATGCCAACATCCGATTTTACAGATTGGCTTGCTGTTTTGCTTTTGAGAAGGGATCTAATTCATATAATTTTAGTCGAGCCTTGATTTAGCCATTTCAAGACATTGAAATTAAAAACAAAATTATAGTGCATTGTGTTATATGTTACTTTCAATTATTTTCGTTTTTCAGCTTACCATGTTGTTTCTATTCATCGTGAAACGTGAACTGGACAAATTTAAGAATACAGGTCCTCTAAGGTAAGAAATTAATGCACCTTGATTAAAAGCACTTATTAGCGAATCGATAATTTATCTCAAGGTTATCAATCTTCACCTCTTAAATTGTTTCTTCTTCTTCCTCCTCTACTTCTTCTCCTCTTCCTCTTCTTCGTCCTTCTCCCTCTTCTTCTTCTTCTCCATATTCGCCTTCGCTTTATCGTCTACCCCTTCTTCGTCTTTTTCTTTCTCTTTTTTTTTGCTTTCTGATCAAGGCCGTTGTCATAAAATATGTGCTCTTCTTCTAATGATAACAATATGGATAGTGGGGTCTTTTATAGTGCTCATGTCTGGCCTATTGCCACTTCTGGTGCTCCGTTATTAATACCCTGGCTTTATCAAGGCTACCATTACATCAAACAAATTTAAGGGATTCCTGCCATGCATGTACTACCCATTTACATCACATGGGTGGAGCGTGGCAAATGTAGATTTACATCTTGCCAAGGGAAGATAGCGTTGCGACAGGGATTCGAACCCGTACCTTATGGTTCGAATCTCTAAATGCCCCTCTCTCCCTGATTTGTAATTAATCATAAAGTTCAGTCTACCATACGCTTTTAACAGGATTTACATTTTTTAATTTGGGGGGGGGGGGTGCTTCTACCTGCGTACTTGGGTAAAGTAAGGTAAGGTATGGTATTCATTCATCAACATATCGCAGCCAATGGCTTATTTGCATGCATGATTTACAGAGATTTGATTTAAAAAATAAAAAACATCATATACTTTTTCATTCACCAGTAGTTGTGTGGGTTTTGTTGTTGTTGTTGTTCTCGCGTCGTGTTCACTTTTGAAGATTCATTTGCATTACATGGATATTCCTGTAAAATTGCCAACGCCTCTGTTTGTTTTTCTTACATCATGATTTACATATAAATCACCTTCTCATTCACAGAGACATCTAAATTACCAAATGATCCCAATATCATCTTTTTTTTTTTATCTGCCACTACAGATCAAGCATGCTTGCGACTTGCGTGATTTCTATAGTGAACGTAGGAGCCTGGGCAGCTGGCTATCTGGGCTTCTATGGCCCGACTGTCATTGCTTACTACGTCTTCCTCCTCACCTTTGCATCAATGGTATGTTTTCTTTAACAAATTGACAATAATAATTTATATCTCGTTTTTTCTCCGGCAAAAAAATATGTCTTTGGATAAACAGTCAAAAACTAATTTATTCATACCTCTTGTGAATTTAAGGATTTATTTGTTTTTAATTGAAGGACGAAAGGTGGACTGGTAGAATTGTAGGGCGTTTTTGTAATACGTTTAGATGCAAGCTTCCATATGTCACATTATCAAGAGACGTCAAATGGGACAAATCAACTGTTTTCATATTTAAGAAATTACGAAACTTGGGAAGGGCCCGTGGGCATAGATAATTTAGTTGTTAACTGTATATGCTAATGCATTTTTCTCACCATATATATTTATATATATATATATATATATACTGTACAAATATTACTTTTTGGAACAGAGTGAATGATTGGTAGTAGGGTATAGGATAGGTTATTTCGAATCGACACCAAGTAATATCATTCGAAAGACGTTACCACCTGGTTACTTTAACAAATGACGAGGAGTGACAGCATAATATGAAAAATCCACTTAAAAACAAACTGAATTTCTTGACGTTAGTTTGTTAGATAAACCGAACATTTGATTGGCATGATGTAGACTTTTTACGATCGAATCAATGGCGTCGACATCATACCCAGCAGTGAACGGGTCGATCGCTAACATTGACATTCACGGAACAGTTGGTGGGACAATCGATTGTGAATCATGAGAACCAATTTTTTCTACTTCTCGAAAGTCTTTTCTCTCTCATATATATCGAACCAATTCATGATGTTTTGTCTCCTTTCAGGGTATCTTCATCTTTTTGATGTATGGACTATCAGCTGGACAGGTAATAAGTACTTGATTTTGTCCTCAATTAAATCGTGACATGTGGGTTTAATCTCTGTTAGTTGTTTCTGTTTCTGTTTACAAAATTTGAGCTCTAACGAATTACAATCTAGTTAAATATACAATATTTTGGTTGAGGTTCGTGTCGATATTCCCATCCGATGAAAATGGTAATTGTAATACAACAGGTGAAAAAGTTGCACCGGTCATTTGACTCTGTTTCGAACTTAAAACATGTTCTTAGAGCATTGCAATATCTAATGAGATGTTGTGCCTGGGTTGGTTTTGAAATTGTGGCCTCCCAATACTCAGACTACTCTCGTTTCAACTGAGTCATTGCGCTACCACAGGCCTTTTGAAAAATTAATGATTTCCAGGAATAGCATAGATCCGTCTTTTCCCTTGCTTTTGCTTTTGTAATTTGTTAGTTTTCTTGTTTTTATCAATTTATATAAATTTACTCCGTTATCAATTCTCACTCTTACGCCACTCTCAGTTGAAGTTACTCTTTGGAAAGAAACTCAAAGGGCGTGGCAAGGTCAGAGGCATTGGGAAAGGCAGGAACACCCCTGTCCAGGCGATCTCTATCGTAAGTATAGAATGATGTTTATGATCTTAGGCATGTATACAAAAAATGTCGACCGAATATTTATTCATGTAAATTCGAAATTATGTATCTATTTGGCTGTTATAAAAAGATGCACATACAAATACATCGATTGTCCCGTATACAAATCGCTGGGGCTAAACAAGTGTGATCGAATTGTATATTCGTTTTGGCGGTAATTCATTTTCCTTTCTCTAAATATAAGAAATGTAACAAAGTTTTAAGAACTAAAGTGAAATATTCAGTTTTCGTCTTTTTCATTATATCGGAATCTCAGAAAAAATTAATCAAATCAAAAATAAAATCAGCAGGCTTAATGTACATAATACAATTATACTCAAATTGTGGCGGAAGTAATATTACATGCAATATGGTTGTGACAACAGCGGTAACAGTAAATTGACTCTCGCATGCATGATTGTGAATCAGTTAATCAGAATAGACTAAAGAGTATTTTATATCATCATTTCTTCCACACAGGCACCAGGCCAAGAAAACAAGGGCACAAAGCAGAGAAAGAAGAAGAAGAAAGGGAAGAAACCAATTTCATGTAAGTATACGAACGATTTCTAATACGCTTCAACTGGTAATTTTGATTAGAGTTCATGTATTTATACAACTAAAAAAGGTCTGCGGTTATATTGCCATTGCTTCTTTTCGTACTGTCATGTGTGTTACTATTACCGTTACTGTTACCAGTACTTGTACTCGTAGTAATAGCAGTGCTACAATAGCAATAAGCAAAACAATGTTAATGATAATATTTCTGTCACAACTTATACGGCTGCTATACGTGTACCTAACTAGACTGAATAACAACGGCAATGCCGGTAGTAAAATATAAGATGAATTCATTGCACAGGAAAATTTGACCACAAAATTAAATGTCCATTGAGTTAATATGATAGTAGCTCTAAGTTTAAATCATTACCTTTGATTACCTTTCGTTTGTAATAGTTTAAGCAGCAATGTTTTGTCTCGTTAATCATCCAAATCAATTCATTCTAAATTTCTCCACCGATGCATTAAAAAAAAACTGTTTTTTTTAATCAATGGATTATTGAAAAACACTAGAGAAATTGTTTTCCCGTATGTTGCTATGACAAGTTGATGTGTCTGTAAATGAAATCAGAGTTGATCGATTTTATCTGGATTATTTTGACTAATAATGCTTAAACTATATACCAAAGGAGAAAGCATTGGTTTCATGAATCATCCTATTCTAATCTATCATCGTGACCACCGGTGTATCTCTCTCTCTCTCTCTCTTTGTTTCTTTTTTTTTCACATCGTTGTAGAAATGATAACGTGAGTCGACTGATCAAATAATTATAGATTGCACGACCGGTGGACCCTATCGTTCCCCTTAAAATCATCAGAGAATATCCATTACCTTACAGATATTGTTTTTCGCTATTCATTACAAATGCCAAGTTGATCATCTTATAGGGAAACAATTCAAAGTGAATTTAAAAAAAATGACAGTATAATCTTTGAATATTTTTCAGATGTAACAGGTGGCAAGGACAACTGGTCACGTGAGTCATCCAAGTTGCCTGGGAGAACGAACGCCTCTGTCAGGATCCAGCCACGAGCTGGTCTCGAAAAGAAAATTATCTTGTCGTAAAATTGCGCATCCGGACGGACAACTACACCCTATAGGGCAGCTACCCCGGAAAACTACCACCTGGAAAACTACCACCGGACAGCTTCCCCTAGGGTGGTTGTCCGGGGGTAGGTGTCCTAGAGGGTGGTTGTCGTAGGGGGAAGTTGTCTGGTGGGTAGTTGCTGAACTAACATTTTTTTGAAAGGAAATGGACTTGCGTATTATCTAATCCAGTTTGGAGTGTTTTGAAATAAAATGTCACATCAATTATACGAGTGGTAGGTTTTAAATCTATTTCGATTAATATTTATATGATAGGATTTTAGGATCTGTTCATATTCAATTAGGGTATATTATAACATTGATCGAGTAATGAGTTGGTTAGAAATCCTTTCTCGTTATATCTTTTTGTTTGTGATCAAATGTATCTCCTTTGTGTACGTTTTCATTTGGTTGGTAAAGAAAACACTAAAACTCAATTGGAAACTTACGGCATATTTAACTTCTCCTATGTTATCAATTTCTTCATTTCATAAATTTGCACATTCTCGAAAACTCGTCGTATCTTTGCATTTAATACTGATAATTACCTAGTAGCTGCGTTAAACTGGAATACATAAAGGGCAGAAGGAGTATGGTAATATTTATTATTCATATATTACTACAATAATTCACAAATTCATATGAAAAAATGTGCGATTCTGATTATGTTTTGAGTAAAGAATGTAAAAAGAATGATGAGGATAACAGTCATTAATCATAATAACGACTTAGCAATGATGCAATATATTGTTGAATACGGGTATTACATTATGTTATGTCTTTATCATGTTCATCACGTGGAGGAATAATTGAATTAACCCGAGACGATACATCTGGAATTAAATGTTATGAATACATCACGAATCCACAATATTTCTATCTTTTCTCTTCAAAGCAATGGTAGACTAAATTCCTTCAGTCGTTTACTGTATATTGCACGTTGCTTAAAATGTAGGTCTATATAAACTTATGTGTGTGATAGTTCCTAAAGCGTTTCAATAAACGGTGTGTGTATAAAACTTGGTAGAATCGTCTGTTTATTGACTGATTGACTGATTGTGGCGGGTTAATATCCTTGCAAATTAATAAATTTTGTTTATTTATCATGGAGGTAAGGACGACACAGACGACGACAACTTTGATAACGATGATGATTGTGATATAATAAAGGCGAAGCTGGTGAGAATGGTTGGCGATGATTAAGATGCACGATGTTGATGATTATTATGACTGTTATGATAAAGTTGTTGTTGATGATGATGATGATGATGATGGTGGTGATGATGATGATGATGATGATGATGAGTATGAGGATGATAATGAAAATAGCGACAACAATAAATCTTTATTCAATTTCAATTCAATTTTCAATTAATTTATTCAACGATATAAAAAAATAGTACAAAACAATAGAACATGTTGACATAATCATATACATGTATAAAGTTAACATATCGTAAGGGGCAACCAAAAAAGATCAAGATCTTGTAAACTGGTGCCCCTTTTTGCAAAATCACCAAATCTAACAAATTACAAGTAAAACATTAATAATATGATACTGATGGCGATGATTATAAAACGGAAGGAGCTAATGGTGTATAACAATCTGGATTTATATAGCGCTTAATACGGAATACCGTCTCTAAAGCTATGGTCACAAATAAGAGATCTGTAGCCTGCTCGGTCGCTGCTGGAATTTAGGCATCGCCCAACGATTTTTTTTTTTGAGAAGTCGAGCAGGCTGTAGAACTCCAGCGATGCCTGGACGGTGCCCTGTCGATTTCCCGTCGGTCGCTGGACGAGTTTAGGTCAAAAACTGGGCGAAATTGGCGAGCTTCTCCGGGCGGCATCCCGGCAGTGACCGACTGATGGCCCACCGATTCCCGAGCGGTCTCCCATCGGTCACCGGCTGATTTTAAAGAAATTGCCCACCGGTGATCGGCGGGGCACTAAAATACGCTCGGTGCCCGGGCGTTCGCCACCCGGGCACCGACCTAATCGAGCGTTCGCCGTCGAGCGATTTAGGTCAAACATCGAAGCCGCTAGGTCAAAGGCTGCCAAGCAGTCGCCGTCCTGTCGCCGCCCGCTCGTTGCTGTGAGATCAGTCGGTCACTGGGCAGCGAGTCCAAAATCGGTCGGCATCCTTAAAGGGACTCTCACACTCTGCCGTGTAGGCCTACCGTGTGCCACCGTGCGCGAAAATGTCTGCGGACGGTGGAGAACGGCGAGGGCACACGGTGGTTCGTTATCAAAGTGGGCAACACGTTAATAGGGCGTTGGCGCTTATTTACACCCGGTGGGACCCGGCGAAAGTTTTGGGCATGTTCAAAACTTTGGCCGGCTGGCACCGGCCGCAAGTAAGCGGCAAGAGGACGGTGTTGAACGGTATGAGGACGGTATGAATACGTTATGAAAACGGTCACACTGTATGAACACGTTCACAACACGCTCATAACCCGTTACAGAACGGTGATGAACGGGCAAAAAAAAATCCACCGTCTGCAACGGGTTGTAAGCGGGTTGTGAACGTGTCATGAACTAGCAGTCCGGGGACTCGCTCACAGGACGCTCCGAGCGGTGAGGGGACGCTAAGTGACTGGTAGGTGGCTGCTACAAACCCGGTGCACACGTTCGAGACCCGGTATGGGCCCAGTATGGAAACGGCCAAAATTTTCAACAAAAGTCAATCTGGGCGGTGAAGACGGTAGAAGCACGTTCAGCACCCGGTATGCGCCCGATGAGAACGGTCAGAAGATGGCAACGAAACGGTGAAAAGATTAATTTTATGATTTTTTTTTTTGCGCCCGGGGACAAGTTCGCTCAAAACCCAACGTTCTGGACTCTGTTGTTTTTTTAATAGCCCGGCATGTGGACGGTAGGCCTACTCGGCAGAGTGTGAGAGCTCCATAAGGTCGGTGCCCGGGCGGCGACTTCCCGGGCACCGAGCGTACTTTGGGCGGCGAGTGAAAGTGAGCAGGCGCCGCCCGAATATTAACTCCGCGCTAAAAATTCAGCAGCGACCGAGCGATGCCCTAAGAACAAGCGGTGCCCGGTCGAAATTGGCTCAAAACTCGCCGCCCGGCCGCCGAGCAGGCTACTTTTAGATATTGTGACCATAGCATAAGCGCTTTACAGATATTAGGGACTTTTAGATTTGCACGTTTACAGCTTTGACTGCAACGTGTGACGTCATCTTAAGGCACTGCGCATGCGTCACGTCGAGAATGCGTCAACCTTGATTTTCCTAAATCTAGTACGGTACTAGTATATGCCGCGTGCGCATAAAATATACGGTTCCTCAGGTAGACAAAGAAACATCCCTTCCCTGCTATTATGTAAAATGTGTAGAACAAGTGTCACATGCATATTCACCTGTTCTACACATTTTTACATAGTAGCAGTGAAGGGATGTTCTACCACAGCAATAGGCCATTTTCGTAATGTAACCAAATTTATGGCATAGGTCTTTGTGAAGTGCCTCAATACAAACTATTTCATTCACCTGATAAGAATAATAGTATTTCAATAGACAGAATCCTAACTGCATACATTAGTTGTTGCCACGTTGGACAAACATTATGGCTTGACCTACCTAGCAACACTTAATATATGCAGTTGCATTCTGACTATTGAAATACTACTATTTCTATCAGGTGAATGAAATAATTTGTATTGAGGCACTTCACAAAGACCTATGCATTAAATTTGGTTACATTAAGAAAATGGCCTATTGTTGAGGGTAGAATGAGGAACTGTATATTTTGTCCTCTTTCTTTGTCTGTCATGTAATTCATAGTGTTACTTCCTGCATGCATGTATATCGTCGAGTGCAATCTAAAAGATTTCTAATTGTAGTCAACATGGGCAGTTGAGCACGTTGACACGCATGATCAGTCGGCGTTCGTCGTGTTCTCGTCTACTCAATCTAAAAGTCCCTATTATTACCCCAGTCATCAGATTCATTCACGCACAATGTGCACCATCTCCACTCCATGGGGAGTATTCCTACCATATGGTCACCATGAGGGCATAGGCAATTACTAACACAAATGCTTTCGTCATCCTACCGGGGCACCAATTCTCTCTTGGGTATTGAGTGGCAAATGTAGATTAATGATCAGGCCCGAAAAAAAATGTGTTCCTCATCCAGGCAATGTTTTAATAAAATTAATGTTAATAAAAGCTATCACAAGTTTCGAAGAAATGTCCTCCAGTCAATCAAATAAACAATTTTAGTAGCTAATATAAACTTGTTATTGATAACACATTTTGGGGAACAGGTCTTCTTGCAATAATGACCGTAAATTCAGTGCCATGAAGAAACTTATACATGGATGAGCAATTGTAACGCCACGTGCATTCGTTAATGTTTCTTTTTCTATTATTCCTTATCGAAATAATAGGTTACTTCAGTACAAATATGTAATCATCTATTTGGCAGCTGGAAAGATTAGTCAAAGGAATTAGGTTCATAAACTGATTTTTTTTTTTGAATAAAAATAATGATTCCATATTCCATTAAAATATCATGGTATTATTTTCATAATTAAATACATAAAATACGGTGAAAGGGGGCAACAAAAATTGACAGACGAGTGTTAATCATACAATCATACTTTGTTGAAATGTCTGACGGCTGTGACATCACCTTTCCTTCGTGTCAGTATCATATGATTGGCATCTATCAACTCTCTCGTTCCTACAACTCCATTTGGATCCATCTTATTCGTGGTGACAATTTTATCCCCATCCCGCTCAACCAGCAGCATCTCTTCTCTTCCCGAGAGAGGATTCTTGAACTTGAACTCTCGGGCTACAGTGAACTCCAGTGACTCTGTCTTGATCGATGTCTTATTCGTGACGACGAACTGGTCTCCATTTTGGGTGATCTCCTGCTGAGGTGACAGGGCGGTGATGGCTTTTCTTTTGATTATGCTGACACCGAGAGCCTTAAGGAGGTCGTCGAACTTCTCGTCTTTGGTGTGCTTCCATACACCTGTGAAATTGACCTTGGCCATGGTTGCTGTTAGAGGTCGAGCTCGACGGACTGATACGTTAATGATAATTCAATGTGTGTGATGACGAGATCCAGTTGTCACACGAGCTAAACTTGAGTTCTGGTAAAAAAAAAAAAAAAAAAATGAATTCTTACAGAATCAAACAAAACTTACACTGAATGTTCAAGATTACATATAAATGTAATGTGCCGAACAATTTTATAAGAAAATGTATACTGGCTGAGTAATGAGCATAGAAAGATAAGGAAATCAAGGTATGGTAGCCCCTACATCATTTGTTTAGTCCCATAGACATCTGTTTGTGTACAGTGCTTGTTACTTTACCAAGACTGGGCCAAATTTATTATGATTTTGATGACTCCAGAACTTTGTAGTACACACCATTTGCATGCTATATGATCAACTTTTCTGATCCATTCCACACTTTTTTTTCACAATGCAATCGCATGAACAGAACCCATCTTTATCTTTAATAACACCACGGTCACAGTTTGTGTAGGGTGGCAAAACTACTGGAGTTCAACACTGACCAATCATGTAATATTCTCGTTCAGAGCTGAAGATGACTCGCAGTATATTACACCACGATTACACTCCCTCGCTCATCAGGTACTACTATTGGACTTGTACAGGACATGTGTGTTCGTATATGTTCCAAGTTCACGTTCTTATAGATACTCCTCACACTGTATTTATTCCTTTGAGTATTACAGATTATCACAATACAGCTTAAATGTTTTCTTTTGCGTTTGGTACACCAAAACTCGATGACGACAATCCTTTAGAGTTAGGCAAAATGACGAACGCTCTTACACGCTCTCTATAAGTTGTGACGAACAGTACATTCGCGATCGATATTACCGGTGTGTCGAATCGATATGTGGCAGAGCAGGTTTATAGTGTCGTCATGTTAAATAAAGACTCGGACGTGTGTTGCAACTTGGGGCAGGTTATAAAAGGAAGGTACAAATCAATATCCCTCGGACGTCAGTTTGATGGACAAATATTTCGTATCGAGGATGACCATCCCTCAAATTATTTCTGCACAAATAGTATTTCCGATACAATACCCTTTTTTATAGCCTGTCTTTGCTTTCTCGTCTATAATTATAACGCCTGATTCTTATTAAAATCGTAACAAATAAATATGAATAACATCTTGTGTTCCTTTCTTCTCTCTTCATCCGTGAATTTACCCCTCTCTCTCTCTCTCTCTCTATTTACCCTATTCTTCTCCTTCTCTCCTTCTTCCCCATCTTTACAAGTATATCTCCCATTTTCCATTTACCTTATCATCTCCTCATTTTTTTCTCTCCCTTCTCTCACAGCAACCACTCTTTCTCTTTCTCATCCTCTCTTCCGTTCCTCCATATTTCTTTCTTCTTTCTCTCGCTCTTCTCTCTCTCTCTCTCTCTCTCTCTCTCTCTCTCTCTCTCCCTTATATCTCTTATTTTCTCTCATTCCTGTCCGCTTATCGATATATTTTCTCTCTGTATGAACATTCCCTTTCTAAAATGGTAATGATCTTGGCTTAAAGAAAAGTGTCCAGCATCGTCAATCATAATATCAATCCTTTCCTAAGTATATCTATGGCTGTTGGTTCCCAAGACGGGTTCTTGTTTTCATCCCGTAACATTCTAAATCCCCTGGATATCCATTATCCGGGGAACAAAAGGGACGAAGTAGTCGAGTATTGATCCGTACAAGGAGGGGTTGAACGGTAATCGTATATTGATAACACCTCTTACACCACAACCGCAGCCGCCATGTTGGTTTGAAAACGTACATGGTCGTACGGAACACATCTTGAAACCCCTAAATGCAGTTTAAAACTCACCTTTGTTGGTAGTATCTTATTCAGTTCCATGATTCCATTTCTTAGTTTTATTCGTTCGTTATAAGAAGTGGAGAGACACCTGTTTTCCGAAACTTTGACGGAACAAGCTCGCTTTTATATCACATCAAAGATTCATCTACAAAAGATGACCTGCACTTAAGCTGATGTCTCTGCTCTTGATGTCTTCGCTGGGTCGGTATGCATTCTTTATTGTATGTTTCGTTTTTGCTGTGTTTATCAATTGACATATTAAATGTTCAATTAGATAATGAATAAATATATATATATGCATTGAAAAGAAATGTTATAGTTTTTTGTTTAAGATATAGGCTTAATGTCAACATGACGAAATTGTTGTCACATGTACCTGTAATACGGCATCCATTTTCAAAGAAAAATCACTGAATTTTGGGCATATTTGACGGGTAGAGTATACTGTTAAATTTAAGAACATAATAACAATATAATCATCATCATAATATTCAAAAAAGCAAGTCGTAACTTCATTTATTAATTGAAAATACGGTAAATGAATATTCATATGAACAATACCAACATTCCCTGTAATAGGTAATTGTTAGTGTATATTGTAAAAAGTTAGATATCAAATCGTTATCTTCTTAAACTCATTATTTAGAGCGTTAATAATTGCATTTGGCATTCTAATCGTTAGCATTTTTTTTATAATAGTTGAAAATGCGATTCTTGAAGTTGTACTTCAGCATGACGAGATGATATTTCAAATAATGAATTTATTGTTTTTGTTTACAGGATTCTATATGCAATATGTACAAACCTGTTGACGAAGGGATCGTTTCATCGACTAATCCTATACCAATCCCTTGTGAGGCTGAAGGAAGAAGGAGAAGATCGTCTCATTCGTCTATTATTCCTTCTTCAAAACCTCTGTACCTTTCTCTTTCTCTCGCTCTCTCGCTCTTTTTCTCTTTCTCTCTCTCCCTCTCTCTCTCTCTCCTCTTTCTCTCTCTCTATTTCCCTTTCCCCCTCTCTCTCTCTCTCTCTCTCTCTCTCCCCCTCTCTCTCTTTCTATATATATATATATATATATATATATATATATATATATATATCTTTCGTTCATCATTTATTTTTAACACAAATAGTTATTTTTTTATTTAACGATGCTTTTATTGTGATTAATCATCGATACAAGTTTTACCGTATTTGCTCGTTCATTTTCTGTGTATATTTAAATGAAGCTTTTCATTTTAATTTACATGTATTCGTCGAATTTAGAATTGATCAATGTTATACAATTTGTTTCAATTATCATGCTTCATGTGTTTTTCTTCTCTTCTCTCTCTTATTCACCTGATAAATCTTATCCCAACCCATTCCCGCTGCTTCCCTAAGCGCATATCATGCATGCGAGAGTCGATTTACTTTTACTACTGTTATTATAACCCTATTGAATGTGATATTGTTTCTTCTACAATTTGAGTCTTGTACTATGTCCGACATGCCTGGTAAGTTTAATTCTCATTTCATTTTTTCCCGTGATTACGATAATGCTTAAACTATATACCAAAGGGAGAAAGCATTGGTTTCATGAATCATCCTATTCTAATCTATCATTTACATTATCTATTTGTAACGATATTTACATGTTGTGATGTTTACAGCCAGAGAAATTAATTTCCCACACAGTTCGATCACACTTGTTACGCCGAATTCCTCACTTGTTTTACATAACAAGCATAATGTGTCAACTCTAACACGAAGTCATTTTAACAATTTACCAAGATTTAATTTAAACGTAATTCAAATGATGATTTCTCTATGTCAGTGTCCAGAAGCAACGAATTTGAACTCTATCATATTAATCCGATCTTCTTTTTTTTTTGACCGCTCGATTTAGGACCACCCATTTGTATTCTGGACAACCCATGTGTGCGTGGTTCTTGTAGCGGTGACGATTTCGGGACCGATGATTTTGTATGCGACTGCACTGGGACTGGTTATCAAGGATCAACCTGTATTATAGGTAACGTGACCATTGGAGGATAATTATTTTCTTGTCCCCAGGACTTTGATATGATGCTTTGAAATATCGTGTGCATATTGTGTATTTAAAAAAAAAATCTCCTTTGGGAATTTGTTGATTGTGGGGAATGGGTAAACTTAGATTAAAATACTTTACTGTAGTAATAGCAGTAGTAGAAGTATTAATAGTAGTAGTAGTAGTAGTAGTAGTAGTAGTAGTAGTAGTAGTAGTAGTAGTAGCAGTAGTAGCAGTAGTAGTAGCAGCAGTAGCAGCATCAGCAGTAACAGTCACTATGAACATGACAGACAAAGAGAGCGGACAAAATATACAGTTCCTCAGGTAGACAAAGGAACATCCCTTCACTGCTATTATGTTAAAATGTGTAAAACAGGTGTCCCATGCATATTCACCTGTTCTACACAGTTTTACATAATAGCAGTGAAGGGATGTTCCTTTGTCTACCTGAGGAACTGTATATTTTGTCCGCTTTCTGTGTCCGTCACGTTCATAGTGAGTAGTGCTAGAAATAGCTGAAGAAGCTGTAGTAATAGTATAGGCCTAGTAGTTAATTCAGTTTATTGTTATGTTTTATATACATATACTACATATTACACATTACATATTTTGGAGACATTATCATTATTATCATAACCAACAAAAAAGAAAAAACCCATTATGAATTCAAAACAAAAATAATGAAATAACTGTGCAGACGATCGTAGGTTTTCTAAATATAAAAAATCAAGCCTCTTAAAATTCAACCCTCTGCACAAGCCCATGATTACATTTACATACATGAAATTGTAAAATGCTCGTAATTAACATATTATAAGCGTAATGTAATGATCACATAATTGTTTATCACCATGTACGACGTTGTTTCTACAACTACAGATTACGACGAATGTGCGAACGATGACTATACCTGTGACCCTGTATCGGAAGAATGTTCGAACAATGTCGGCTCTTATGACTGCGTATGCGCAGATGGCTTCGAGGATAACAGCGGAACATGTGAAGGTACATTACAATCGGAGTGCAATTCTTTTCATAATTTCTAGTGAAATTTGATATTCAAGTATTTAAGTGGATAATTGATATGTTGTTTATAGTCATATAAGTAGAACATTTGTTAATCCAGAATCGTAGCAAATTATGAAATAATAATCTTGTACCCAGTGGCGTTTGTTGTTGTTGTTATTCATCATGATCATCTTCCTTTTTCGTTACATGTACTTGTTCTTCTTCTTGCTTTTGTTCTTTCGTTGTTTATTTCTTTCACATTTCAAGGAATTTGCTCAGAACAAATCAAAGTCAGTAATGTCAATAACCCATTCAGGCTTGTCAATTATGATAACATTTTATTGATATATCAAGTTTTATTGAACAGCGCCTTAATCAGTTCTTATTTATTTCAATCGTCCCAGATATCGACGAGTGCAGCGACGGTACAGATGACTGCTTGTCATCACTCAGCACATGTCAGAACACACCCGGAAATTACACTTGCGACTGTGACTCAGGCTACGAGGGAGATGGACTAAACAGTGGCAACGGGTGCAGCAGTAAGCTTATTTATTTATCTTTGTATTAATTAATTTATTTGTTTATCCATTTATTTATTTATTTGTTATATGAAACATATCTTAAATTAGATTCAGACCTGGGGAACAAATCCGCCCCTCCTCACCTTTGAATTATATTAAGTACATATGAGTTAACTTAACTGGGAACGGTGGACTTGCAATATTGTTCTCCTCACTCCCCCCCCCCCCCCACTTCAACACAATTCTCCCTTGTAATACTTCTTAGCAATTTAAATCCAGTCAAAGGTATTTCCTGCCAAATTTTCATTTTCAACGATGGACTGTTGAACCTCCCGGAATTGTCATATTCATTTTGTAATGAGATACTAAACATATTTGTTTGTAATAAATGACAAAGCATCTCGATGTCATGCTGAAAATACCATATTTTTTGCACACACCCATAGCTCGTTTATTCCTACGCAAACATCTATTGATAGATTCGTCTTATACTTTAAAGAGTTTATCCTCCATTCTTTTATTCCTTTCATTATAGGCTTACATACATTAGTCAGTCACAATTGTGCTTCATCAGAACGTTGTTCATTTTTAGTGAAATTTTTTCTTCTTCACTTTTATTATTATCAAAAATGATCTATTTCGTCAGATATCGATGAATGTTCTGAGGGGACTGATACCTGTCACTACCGAGCCTCGTGTACAGACAGCGTTGGTAGCTATACATGTGACTGTAATGCTGGGTATACCGGAGATGGTGAATCGTGTAGCGGTAAGTCATGACGGTGACCACGGTGATGATTGCGACGATGATGATGATGGCGACGATGACAATGGTGATGATAAGTAAAAGATGTTGATGATGGAACTGATGATGCTGTTGCTGATGGTGATAATGCTGATGATGGGGATGATGGTGACGAAGAAAACGATGATGACAAAGATAATGAAAATGATGATGATGAAAGAAATAAACATTTTCTGCTAATAATGACCATGGCGTGGTAGTAGTGACGTTGATGGTGATGATGGATGGTGATGACGTATACAGAGGTTCTTTTACCGACACCATGGGAAGCTTAAATGCTTGTAATGCTTTATAAACCGGAGATTGTGAATCGTGTGGCGGTTAGTCATGGGGATGATGACGTAGATGACGACGACGAAGATGGTGATGATGGTATAGACACTGATGATGATAATGATGATGACGATGATGATAATGGTACTGGTGGTGATGAATATAATTAAGTCCAACTGGGTTGACATCCAATAACCTGCAATAATGTAGAAATTATATCGAAATATTGATGTCAAGCGTAAAAATAAGTCATTGTTTTTTCAACAGACGAGGATGAATGCACTCTCAACCTTGACAATTGCCTCTCTGGACTCTCCAATTGTCTTAACGGTATCGGAACATTCTCCTGTGAGTGTGTCAATGGTTACGAGGGCGATGGCGTCTCAAATTGTACAGGTACTTGTCTACCATTTTGTTTCTATTTTCTTCCCTAATATCTTTAAACACCTCCATTTCGTATTCCCTCCATTCGCTTTCTTTTTAATGTTATGCCCGAACATAACAAATAGCAATATTGTTTTATATTATAGTGACGAGGATAACTATCATTTCATAAATCACATTCATCCTGAATTCACTTGACTTGGAGTCGAATGACAAAATTAGATATAGACGACTAACCGTCCAGGGATTGGTCATTAGATGATAATATTGACCGGTCATTATCACTTTCTAATGACCCGTTAATACGAGTTAAAAAGAATGCATGTCCCCAGGTATATTATCAACCAATCACTTGATTATGATCTACACGTATATCATTATTTTATAACTCAACTCTGTTTGTTGGTGTGAATGCATGGTATTTTGAAATATCATGTTAACTTTGATATCGTAACCTTAAACTTTTATTAAATGTGCTTTTGAAATTTAAGCGATTGAAGAAATTAGATGAAAAATTACGCAATAAATTATTCTATCGCTGTTTCCATCATTCTTTTATTGAATAAATCTTTTATTTTATGTATTTTTGTTTATTTAATTCACAGATATCGATGAATGTGGCGAGGGCACTGATTCTTGTCACGCACAGGCTCAGTGTAATAACACCATCGGCTCATATACCTGCACATGTGACTCAGGATTCAGCGGATCCGGCTGGGTATGCAACGGTAAATCACCTTTAATTATCATATTCTTCTTTAATTTATATTTATTGAATCAACCAGTAATCAATTGTTCGCTATATTTTACAACCATCAGTATAAAGTAATACTTTTAATCTTACACGTTGGCCAGCCTGAACTTAGAAAATGGAACATATGTCACTTTGCTAGAGAACAATGGATTATATTGGCCGAGTAATGTAGCTATTGTTTAATTGGCCAAACTATGGAAAGCAATGTGTGCAACGCTTTGTAAGTGCAAGGAAAATGCGCTGTAACAAATACCTATTGCTTTTGAATGGACTAAACTAGAAGTTCCAAGAAAAGAAAACTTCCCATTGATTTTTCTTTCAATATAATTATTAGTAACGCCATCACGCTCATTTTGTTTATTTGGTCGTTCGATTGGGGGACTGTATCACAGTGATATGTAATGTTTTTTGTTATGCTTATTAAAAGTTGGATTCGTTCACACAAGACAATTTCCAACATTTGTTTGTCTTTCAGATATCTACGAGTGTACAGTGGGTACTCATAACTGTTTAAACAATACCGGGAATTGCACCAATACCTACGGTTCCTTTGAATGCGCCTGTAACAGCGGTTACCACGGTGATGGCATTACGGTTTGCAATGGTAAGACGGCGGGATGAGAGAGAAAATCATGATGATGATGATGACAGTGATTATAATGGTGAGGGAGAGGAGGGGAAGAGGAAGTGAAGGAGGAAAATATGGGTATGAAATGTGAAGAGATGATAACAACGATTTAGTTCTATGATTTTGAATTTAAGATGAAGATAGTGATAACGATGATGATGGCGATGAGGAGGAGGAGGTGGGCGAAGGGGAAAGGGATAAAGAGAAATTAATTAATGTTAAGTACTATGATTGCAGTAATGACGATGTGGACAATAACAATAGTTATGATACAAGGTTGTAATGTTGCCAATAATGGTAATAAATATCATGGTGACGATGATGGTGACTATGCTGATTGTTATGATATGATAATGTTGTTGTTGCTGTTGAGGAGGATGATGATGATGATGATGATGATGGTGACTGTGATGACGGTGATGATGACGCTGGTGAAGATGGTTATGACGTTGACCAGATCATTTATGCCACTGGACGATTTTCCTTTACATTTCTCAAGAAACCGCTAAAAGGGTAAAATGAAAACTTGTTTCCTGATGTAACGTCACATCCTAATGCAATACCTTCTATCTCACCAACTACTATTTATATTCATCTCGCCTTCTTTTAAGATACTGACGAATGCACAGAAGAAATTGATAACTGCCACCCGTCTTTGGCCAACTGCACGAATACTATCGGTGATTTCATCTGCGCCTGCTTCGCTGGTTACTCCGGCAACGGGGTGAGGTGTGAAGGTAAGTAGGATTAATTGTGTTTTATATTGTTTCTTATTTTTGTGCCAACGTGGTCATATCTTGATTTAAAAAACACATAAACGAATCAAAACGAAAATTAAGCAACAACAACAGCAAAAACAAAACATCACATAGTATGACTATAAAGAATGTTTAGAAAACAAGAATCAAAACAACAAGAACAACACTAATTACCAAAACAGACCAAAAAATAACATTACACATTTTGAGAATATATTAGAAAACACTTTGTAGTATTGCAGTTTTAGGCATTCTGGAGTTTAAGGAAACTCTGCTATAAAATGTTACTCGGGTGAAATATTTATACAGTGTTTGGGAGTGGTGAGGAATAGGAAACATATTAAAATATATTCAGGAATAACAAATATTCACTTTAGGGCTAATATATTGAAAATACAAACATGTACACTGTTTCCTTTGATATATTCATACTCTTGTTTTCATTGAAATCACCATTACTTCGACAAAACTGCACACCTGGTAAATGGGAGTATTTCTGTGACAAAAAAAAAACCGTGGATTTTTCTTAAATTTCCTTGAAAAGTGTAACGATCCTCGGCTAAGCTCTTGCTGTTTCTTCCCTCTGCAGAGATAAATGAATGTATAGATTACAATGTCACGTGTTCTGATGTCGGGGTCTGCGTTGATCTCATCGATGATTACATATGTGACTGCGAGTACGGCTACTGGGATAAAGACTGCGACAAAGGTAAGTTTTAAAAAAAGAACATATCTTTTTCGACCAAGTTGTACCGAACTGGGTATTAGAATAGCCTAGTTGGTTGGCGTTGGTGCAGTATATTGATAGGCAACCCTAAAGCTGGTGTGATGTCTTAGCACGGGGTGATATTGACAGGTGAATGTGAGGACCACATAATCCATTATGATGCATTGTAAATTAAAAATTAATCAAATTATTACTTAGGACTTGATCTGAAAACAAATTCTGATCATTTTGCACACCCCTCGGGTTTGTAATCTGGTCTTCTTGAACACTATTGATTAGATGATAATGCATACAAACCATCGAAATGAATAATAACAACGCAAATTACAATTTGAATACGATTCGGTTTATTCAGACTATGCATTGCCTCATTCTAATGATGCCCTGATATAGCTTGGAAGATAATTCCTGATGTTAGTGGGATTCATTTTTACATCTGTTATATCGTATATTTGGGCCTCCAAAGTACAGGTACAAATAAATGTAACAAAATATTGCATGCCATGGTCATCGTTTTAAACACCTTGCTTATTGTTACACCCCTCAGACGCGGCGTACCTCTACACCTCCAATTATTTCGCTGGTTCCCTTTACTGGTCGTTCGACACCTTCAACGAGACCGGCGATGGCAGTTATCCGAACCAAAATGTCAACATGAGCATGTACAACGCCATCCCCGGATTGGCGGTCCAACAAAACTACTCCATCGCGGGTAATTCGATCTGGACCCGTTTTAACGGCACCGACGACTGCATAGACTTCGGAGATTTCTCCGGTTCGTGCTTCAGCGATCCGAGTCTGTGCACAGACGGTTTTGCCATGGCGTTCTGGATACGTCTAACCGAGGACGAAATCAAAGAATCCGGTCCAGTATACATCATGAGTTCCGGTAAGATCCGTTGGGATTGTCCAAGACTTCTAAAATCCTATCGACCTTACTTCCCTCAGACCTTTGTTTGATCTCTTGCGACTCTCGGTCTCGGTCTACCTCTTCCATATATCCCACTCTTTCTCCTTGTTTCTCCTCTTTCAATCTTGCAGTTTCTCTTCGCATCCCCCTCTATCCATCTTTTCCTTTCTCCATTTTCTCCTTCTAACGCCACGCCTCCTTTCCCGTTTGTTCTCTTTATCACCCTCCCCCATTTGTGCTTATAGTTGTAACTGTCTTAGTATTCGTAGTAGACTTTATTGGATAACTTGTTGAGCTTAAGCATGTTAATGTGATGAAGGAAACAAGACGAAGATGATGACAATGATAATGATAATGATGGTGATGACAGTGTGGATGATGATGTTGGAAACAACATGATGATGATGATGATGTTGATGATAATGATTATTTGGGATATGCTATGATGGCGTTTTGAGATCTGAAGATCAATTATTCTCTTTTTTTCTCCAGGGATGCCTGATGCTCGTGGGTTTGGTATCTACCGTGAGGCCCGGAAGATAACCGTCCAAGTCAACGATGGATCTACAACCTTCACGGTGGAACTCAACAACCTGATGCCAGCGGACCTGTGGAAGAACCTGGGATTTGCATGGAGTTCCACTGTCGGGTTGTCCGTAAGTCATAATAATATTAATAATAATATAATGGTGGCTTCTTATATAGCGCACATGTCCGTCACATTGTAACGCTCCTGGCGCTGCCCCGATTATTACCCTGGCTTTAGCAAGGCAGCCACTGTGGCACACTAGCATTTTAAGGAATTAAATCCTGCCAATAATAACCGAAGCACAACAATTTTACGTTCAATGAATGATGCCTATATAGCGCCGAATTGTGTCAGTATAGACGTAACTGTTTTGGGCAGGAGGCGCATTCCCCAAACAATGGCAAAGGGGGAAAAAGGAGGGAGATTGGGAGAGAGAGAGAGAGATAGAGAAAGAGGGAGGAAGAGATAGAGAGAGAGGGGGGAAAAGAGAGGGAGAGAAAGAGAGAGAGAGAGAGAGAGAGAGAGAGAGAATACGAGAGAAGAAAACACCGAGAAGGGGTGTGATCATGGTAATGAGTTTCTGGTATATTGACCCTCCGTTTCTCATGTTTCCGTCGTTTTGCTCGTTCGCTGTTTGACTATGTATCAAGATTGTAAATCTATTTCTCCTTTGCATTACCCTATAATATTATGTAATATTCTTAATTATTCTTAATCATGTCTATTTTGACTTCATCGTAGACCTAACTTTCGACAGGCCATTGGCTTCTGTTGGCTCCACCGTCCTGTCCACCCTGAGATTAATTTCTTTTTCATCCATGTAAAGTTACAAGTAAAAGAGATAATGTTCTTGTTCATGTCATGACGATAAATTCATCGGTTAATACTTTATCTTATTTCTCTAGGTATTCCTAGACAGAGCGAGAGTCGGAAAGGACCCCTCCGGCAGCTCCACCGGTCTCAGCGATGTCCTCAACACCATGACCATGGGTTGCCGCTACAATGGTGGCTCCTTCACCGGCCACTCTACGGGGATGTTCGATGAACTGATCATCTTCCCCGTGTGGGTTAATACAACTAATGAACTGATTTGGCTTATGGGAGGATGGGGTGAGCATGAGTTTTCTTCTTTTTTTCCTCTTTTGTTGTTGTTGAAAGAATTCAAGCAACAAAAACAAAAGATAAAGATCCAACTGAAAGATGAGAGAACCTGTTTTGTAATCGATGTGCCATAGCGACATTTTCAGCATTTTAAGTCAAGAATGACATGTTTTAATAAAAGAATAGAAAGGGTATATAAAAGAAATCGAAGCGATTTGAATTTTTTTAAATGCAAATAAATCAGGTTGAGTGTACATTACTGTTTAACAAACTTTGTTAAAGCTAACCGCGAACTAAAAAATATCAAATAAGAATATAAATGGAATATAACGATATTTTGTGACTTAAAGAAGTGAACGTTATAGCCTTTTTTTTTGGGGGGGGGGGGTTCTGGTATCATGTAAAACACCTCGTAATATGTAATTAGGATGTAACATCGTCATAAATAGGCATTCATACTGAATAAATACATGCTTTCATTTTATCAATACTTTAGATGAGGATGACTGCGTGATTGAGCCGTGCGTCCAAGGTGACTGTTACGACGCAGGAATAGCTGCCTACATATGCGACTGCTTCCCCGGATATAATGAAACTAATTGTGACATGGGTAAGAAAAAATGCAAATAGTCACAATCCCGTTAAGGGCCAGCTACAGGTTTTTGCTCATTAAAACTGTTATTACACAAATGTACATCGTTAAATGTATAAGAATTGTCACAATAGACCAGTTCACGGTTAGCACATGTCCCAAATGGCCCTGAATATACACAGATCTCAAAACATGAAGAGGTCCCACCGTACATTTTGTAATAATCACTCCTACAGCGATCGATGGAGGTGCTACATAAAAAGCCTTTGTTTCCCCCTTTTTAAAGAATACTTCCACCTGTGTATCATGAAGTGCACTGCCTGTGCATAAATGATAATGATTACATAACTTTCATGAGCACGTCAAAAGTATTTTGTATCTGTGTATTTCACAATTCGGTCTGCAATGACCTTTAACTGCTCATGCTCAGACTGCAGCTATGAACTTGCTTATTCAACAGCACATTTCTATATTGCAAATGTTATTTTGCTTTAACCCAGAGGTCGGTTACACCATTACATGTAGCCTTCAGAATAACTATTCTTTTTAATATGAATTTATATTGATTCTCACTAATCCACGGAAGCACTTGGGGCTAACAATAGATCATTCCAACACCTTAAAAACGAAAGGCTCTTTTCACCTGCTTCGAGTTTCAGTCTTTCAATAACCCTACTGGATTCGCATACATTAACTGTTGCTATGTCGGGAAATCCCATCCATGCCTCAGCATATATGTAGTAGAGGCCCGCATTAACTTCAATATTGAAGTTAATGCGGGCCTCTACTACATATACGCTGAGGCATGGATGGGATTTCCCGACATAGCAACAGTTAATGTATGCGAATCCTACTTGTTGAGATTAATACAGGTAATTGGTGTCGGTGTTAACTATGATAACGTGTTGGAGAAGTTGACTTATGTTTGTATTAATAAAGTATACAGTTAAACAATCCATCGTTTCATAACGTGTAATTAGTTGAGTCTCCATAGACTGATGCAATACAGTTACTGTATTATGTCAATGTTGACATTTTCCTCTTTCAGAAATCGACGAGTGTGAGTCCTACCCTTGTCAAAATGGAGGAACATGCACGGACTGGATCGCGTACTACACGTGCGAGTGTGCGTTCGGTTACACTGGATATAGCTGTGAGAAAGGTAAATGGTGATTTATTTGTTCGTAATAGCACATAACATTTTAGGATTGGAAAAGTATATTCGTTAAATGACAAATGAGAAATGTTGTCACTATTAGCAGATTTGTATACATGTACCTAGAAATATAATAAAGTTGAAGATATGAAATAGCGCATAAATTCGTTTTCTTTAATGGGCCATGTAGATAATAAATGTCAAAACCGAATTTTTATGAAAATCACTTCATAATGAAGTTTGCATATTGCAGATTTGAATGACGTCAAATTTATCTGAAGTAAGTTGTATTAAATATGTTATATTATTGCAGTGAATAGTCATTAGCAATTTTTATTTTGACAAATCAAAGGAATATGTGTGTAAAGCAATTTAATGTGCATAACATTCGAATTTCAAGGCACCTCCTATAACCCTGAGTTTTAAATTATTAATCAGTCTTATTAGGAATTCCACTCTGAATGTAAACCAAACTGGATATGATTATAATACTATGCTTACTTTATTTTTATGCTTTTTCTTTTCTTCAGATTTGTCTCCCAACTATGATTATTCCAACGTCAAGAGTTTGAAGGCGCAGTTCCTGTGTAAGTATATCACTTTAAATAGAACTTATTATAAATTACAGGCATATTTCTAGGCATTTCTATCCCTAGGCATATTTCATTAGGCAAATACTATGACAGTGAATTGGTTGAAAGTGCGTTTTCAGCACATACGTTACTCTGTCGCTTGATCAATAATTATGTAATCTCCGAAAATAAAGATATATTGGCGATTTCTCTGAAAAGAAATCGTTGTCAATTAACATCAACTCATAATGTTTCGTCCGAAATGTTTGTATAAAATAAATATGAATTTTCTTAGAAAAGCATGTGAATCATCATCGCAACCAGACCATTTTCTGTTTTTCAGTGATCACACCCGAGATCAACCCTTACTACGCGACGGTGGCCGACCACTACTTCCCCCTCAACAACTTAGGCGAGTTGGAGATCACGGGCGCCAACATCTCCGCCGCCTTCGGGCGCGCCGAGCTCGGCCTCTATCCGTCCATTGACGGCGCCGACACCTACGTCGAGATCGGAAACTTCACCGACGGCTGTCTAAGCGACCCCAGTTTGTGTCCATACGGCTTCACGCTGGCCTTCTGGTTCCGTATGAATAAGAATTCAACGAATATGACCGAGGGTGTGGTCTTCTCCACCGCTGGACCGGTCAACGGCGAGAGGGTTGGGATTAACATCGTGCTCTCTAGTAACAAGTCATTATTGATAGAAGGTTTGCCATTATGTTCATGTCATGTTTGCATGTTAATCGTTTTTTCTTTGCCTAACTCTATTATAGAGACCAATTGCTTGATCTTTAAGCCTCATGAAACTAAAAGCAAATTACGATCAGCGTCAAAAAGTTATCATTTCTGCACGTTAATTGAAATCAAGATATTGGAAGCGCATGAACGAGATGAAAGGCATAAGAACAATATAAAATATCATTCCATCCCTTTTTTCACTAACCCTATTGCATTTCCATTACATATGATTTGCATTTATTCTGGTAAAACCCACACATGTATTAAAATAGATAATGTTCATGATGTTATTGTCCTTTTGCGGCATGTTGAAGACAGTTTCTTCAAATTTAACGTGCTTGTTAATATCTTATCATCAGTTTGCGATGGCTCAACTGTCAGTAGTGTGGTGATAACCAAAACAGAACTGGCATTCGAGAATTGGCTTCATATTGGGGTTTCCTGGTCTGCTGATCAGGGCTTGATCGTGTATTTCGGCGGAAAGACGCATACAAGGGAGACTACAGTGGAAGTAAGCATTTTAGTTCAAAGAATAACTTCTAAACCTTAGTGTATCTTCCAATTTCTGTATTTAGTTCAAAGAATAACTCCTGAATCTTAATGTATCTTCCATTTTCTGTATTGTTTATATAATATTCCCATATCCCCATCTTTCCCCTATTTTTTTCTGTATGGAATACATCTAAGCGGAAGAAAGACTGCAAAGTAACAAACAGAAAAGGCGAATGAAATGTGGAATACAGTTTTTAATAATGAGTTTAATCATCTTTCCAGTCCCGTATTACAGAAAAAGATGTGATGAATTTAAACTTTTCGCGCTTCATCAAAGTCAGCACCGAAGTAATGCTCATAAAATACTTCAATATCATTAATAATATCACAGTGGACAATATAAACCGATATCAAAACAACGTACATTGTACTAAACTATGGTTTATTGCCAAATACACGTAAACCCCATGATAAAAGACATTTTGTTACATAGAGCGGTAGAAATCAATAGCTATTATTTGTACACATCATGTTGTAATCGAGAACTGAATTTTATTTTTTAAATTCTATTTAGAACGCCAACGCGACTAACACCTTTGACACCATGACTCTCGGATCCATGTTCGGCTCCCGAGGATCGGCCGACTCGGTCGTGTTCAACGATCTCGTCATATGGGGTCGAGCGATCAGGCCATACGAGAGACACATCCTATTTGGAATGACACGTAAGTAATCTATATATGGATGAAATAACGAGAGTGTATTTTGCAGTTTTCAAAATGTCAAATTAATTAAGGAGACAATTAGAGTTAGGCCAAGATGACTCTGTCTTTGGAGGCCGAAAGTATTCTATTTTGGATACGTCCACGACGTGCAGACAGAATGTGTTGTACATGTGAACCATTTACAATCCCACAAATAATTCAAAATCAAAAGTAAGGAACATGAAAATGTATGCTATTTTTTAGTGACAAAATCATATCATGACGTATGGCATGTAAATATCACGAAATTATTGAAAGTAGAATGATGTTTTTCTTACATTTCTGCTTTTCAAATCCATTTTTAACCTATGATGATTACTAGCCATTCTTCAAATTCTTTTGATAATTATGTCGATATGCAACAGAGTATAAAAGCGAATGACTGATATCCGTCACAATGATGATTTTTTTTCCCCTCATGTATTTATAAAAACAGGGCGTGAGTTCGCCATGATCGAAACATCGGACCACTACTGGACCAGCGACGGATACGTCCGGCGTGACTGGGCGACCCTGGCTGAGTACATGCCAGAGTACGCAGCCAACTTCCACCCCATGGACCGAGCCGGTGAGGCCGATGTCATCCTGGGTCATGGACGAGATGAGAAGGGCCAGTCGGTCATGGTCCTTGGGGACGGAGATGGGTGGCTGTTTTTCGGTAATTTGGCAAATTCATGAAATAAATAAAGATTTAGAATTGCCGTTTTTTTTCTGAATAATTTCTGTATGTTTCCCCCTCTCAATCTCTCTCCACCTTCCCCTCTTCCTTTCTATCCCTCTTTGCTCTCTCTCTCTCTCTCTCTCACACACTCATTAACTCTCTCTCTCTCTCCCTCTCTATCTCTCTTTCTCTCTCTCTCAACCCCCTCTCTTCTTCTCTCACTGAATCCTTCTGATTCTCCTTTTCTCACCCAATGCTCTTAATTTTTAAATTACAATTTTCAGACAATTCTTTATTTATTTTCATCAGGTTCATGGCAGGGTATATGGGTACATCAACGTTAGACTATATATATTACTGAACCTGAATTCTATTCCTAAATAGTAATCCAACGTTTGAACAATTCAATGTTATTTCCTTCCTGCAAATTCGATTTTGTCTGATTTTCCAACTTGTCTAATTTTCCCATTCACAGGTGACTTTGCTGGAACGTGCATTAGCAACACCCACAAATGCTCGGACGGGTTATCCGTTTCGACCTGGGTTAGACTCTCACAAGTCTTTGACAACGAAACCCATTTCTTTATAAGCTCAGGAGAGCAGGTAACCCGTGGGTTCTCCATCTTCCAGCGGGAAGTGGATCGCCTCGGAGCGGCTGTCACCGACGGCTACACGAGATGGGTGACCGAGATTGTGCACGTCCCTTTCATCCAGAATGAAGGTCAGACCATCATCAAAGTTGCAATACAATATATAAACGATGGAAAGCTGGACATAGATCATTGGTTGTCAACGGAGTACAATCAGCTAAACATGCTACATGAATTAAGTACATGTATTAATGATGTAACCTAATCCAATGAAATACTTTTAAGTTTGACGGAAAATTATTATTGTAACATTACTGTTGTCAAGCTTCTACTTTAAGGCGCTTAGCCAATCCATGAATCGTGTTCTCTCCAATACCAATGTAAATGGCCCTGAGTTGAGAGTGGTAAAAAAAGTAAAGTTATGTACCTAGGTAGGAGTATATGAAGTTGGATTAGTTTGTCTTATTGTCAAGAAAAAAAATATTTACTGCCCGATAACTATGTTTTTAAGGCAATAGTTATTCAATAGCTAAAGTAGCAGTATTATGGTATATACATGTAGATGCCTTGGTTAGATAATATGAAAGCGAATGGAATACAATCACTTTGCCACAATGGTTTGCCCGAGCAACTACATGTATTACTCAGTGATCATAAAACAGCACATTTTACAAGTAACAAATTAGTTGTTGCCTGTGCTAGTGTGAGCTAGCTGCATGGTCTGATATCGTCCGACTGATCTTCTTTTCCTCCACACAGACAACATGACAGTGACCGACGCGCCCGGGTTCGACTTCATGGGGGAGTGGACCAACCTGGGCTTGACCTGGACACAAGATGAGGGTCTATTCTTCTACATGAACGGTCGGGTCGTGGCCCACGATCCGATCGGGTACCAGAAGTTCCGCGCAAGCGACTTTGAGACCGTATTGATTCTCGGCAGGAGGAACGACTACCTGGGCCATGCCAGTAATATTTCCTTTGACGAGTTGGCCATAGCGGAGAGAAAGATGGAGCCGTATGAATACCGTGATACATTTGCCAAGATGGGTAATATATGCGTTTCCATTTTTATATTTAATAATGATGTTCATGCCTGGGTACATAGTCGTTCACGAAGTAGGCAATTTGGCGATCGTACACGACGCTGAGCCAACGGTTATTGCGCTCCCCTGCGTACGGCCGTGTGATGTCCTCTATATACCCACGCATGAGCACCTTTAAATCCATTTTGTTGTGAAGCACTTTTCTTTGCAGATGAAACATTAAATACATGCTAGGTATCTTATTGAGGAATAGATAAGAGAACCCCTTTAAAAGGATTTTGTAGGTGATTTCCCTTCCAGAAATCAGCCTAAATCTTTATGATGCAGATCTAAAATTATAGTTTTATTAAAGGTCTCAATTGATTTGTCTTTGATATCTTGTTTACTTATCCATGGGAAACTATTTTAAAACACAACTTTGAAATCTCTTAGAATTTCAAGATTTTTTGTAAAGATGCTTACTACAATAAAACTATTAAACAAATGGAACAACATACTTGAGATCTTAACGAGGTTAATACTCCCAACAGCCACATAATCAAGTTTCTTGAAAATGATTGGCGTTCTATAGTAATTATCATATTATTTCACCTGGATATTAATGAGCAAAATCTAGGAGTTGGTCATCACTCATTTCATTCTCTCTTTTTTTCGTCTTAAAATTTAGACAATCTTCAATATACGGACGCACAGTACAAGTGGGGAACCCTGGACCTCATCAGTGGTAACCCGCACGTTCTCAGCGCCCATAGTCTTCCACCAGGCTTCGTGTTCAACGGTACTGCCTATCCACGTGTGGGCTATGTAGGTCCCACACCTAATATAACCCTTGAAGATGATTTGACTGTAAACCTGCCTGGATACCCAGACTACATCACTCTGGGTAAGTACACCTGTAACACTTAAAATTTAGAGTTATATTATGCATCCGTGAAACTAAGCTAAACATCAAGAAAATGGAAAAGTTGTGACGATTGAGACAATGTGGTAAATGCATTACAGTTGGATTTCTCCCATAAGGACAGAAGACAGAAAATTATACTGTTCTAAAAAGCTTTAGAGAGATAGTTTGTAGTTAAGAGATGTGAAGCTTCTCAATGAAATCTAAATACAATGTCCATCACTTGTATAAAAAAAAACCTGAACGTAAACTTGTATAATAGTTTACTTATGTCACTTACCGTAATATACACTTTGCAGGTGATTTTAGGGAGACCTTTGTAAGCAAACCTACTGGAAAGGGCCTCAGTGTCTCGTTCTGGACCAAGCTTCATTTCGACGTCGTAGCCTCGGCTAACGATGCCGCCAACGTGGTGGTCAACACGCCATCGGAGAACGATACGACCACGATGCCCCCACCCACTACCCCTGCGCCACCGGTAGAGAAGCAGTTTCTCTTGAGGTATGTTAACCGATGAAAACAACTCGGCATGCCCGACACAGGTTCCTTGCAATACGGTGATGCCCTGTAACAGTCGCATGCCCTGTAAAGGCCTGTATTATACCCAGGCTACACTTCTTGTACATGATATATGATTTTGATACTCCCGCCAATTATCACCAATGACTGGAAGAGAATAGGTATAATTTTGAATTTGGATATGAATGACTTTGAGAAGAAGACAAAATGCGAACGAAATTTAGAAAGTATATGGGCTTATCATCATCATTTCGACAGGCAGTTACATTTTGAATAAACTTGCACGTTCTTGTTTCTAAGCTATAATATAACTACTTTTTCAGATGCTTCTTGAAAATAGTCCGTTGAGTACCTCGCTTTGGGTGACATCATAGTTATTTATTTACTCATGAATATGAAGTTTGTCATGATTATATTTTACAATATTAGCCTTTTGATTTGATTTAGTCTTAAGAGTTTTTCTTAACAGACTTCTTTGACTTCACTTTAGATTAGAAGTACGAAAACTCGGCGATTTGGAGAACATGTGCAAATATATCAAGAAAGGAATATTATGCTCTTGTCATTTTCACATATTTTGCTTGTTCCGTTTCCACAGCTCCGGAGGACAAGGTTCCACCAAGGGATTCAATATATTCTTAGAGGGCGAAGGTTTGAACTTTGTGGTCGATGACGGCATCACGATGTCATGGAAACGAATCAACACAGCAGTGAGTATAGCTAAGTTCTCATGTTTTAACAAAGGAAGTGAAGTGAACCATGGTCGGGTTTAACTGAAATAGTAGAATACGGACGCAAGTGTTTAGCTGTTTTTGAAAATGGCAAGTTAATGGTTGTGAAAAAATGGTGATTCGGGGCCAATCGTTCATACAAATAACGTTGAAATCTCGCTATCTTTCCCCCCAAATTGACCCTAAAACAAAAAGGTTTTCGTCAATCACAATGAATTTATTTTCTTATAATTAAAGTCATGTGACAACCTAAAGATAATTGCATCTATAATCTGGGAGCGAAATCAAAATTTGAGAAGTATGAATTGAACATTTACTCGCTTCTCTTAGCAAAGTAGTCCCGTTTTATTAATAAAAGTATAACAAAAGCTTGATACTTATTCTCATTGACAAACTATTTTTATCTTTACTTTTACAGGAAATTAAATCAGATACATGGACGAACATTGCCTTTACGTGGCATAGGAGGGAGAATTTCATCATATACATCAACGGCAAGGAAATCGCTCCCATTGACGCCATTGTCAATGTGTCCTCCTGTTGTCAAGGCAACCAGACGCTCTTTACCGTGGGACGAGGGATGCAGGAGAATTCTGAGTATGCCATCTTCAAGCTGCATAATCTGGTGATCTGGGAGAAATACATCCATCCGCAGCATGTCTACAAATTACTTGGAGTGACGAGTAAGCATACAATTATTCATTCTTTTGTTGATGAATCTGATTAAGTAAAATGTCATGAGTCAGTGTAAAAATTGGCGACTATATAAGAAAAAAAGATGAAAATAATGTGTGTAATTTAGAATACGTGCAATTTAAAAGAATATATGATAAGTATCACGATGATCCATGTAAGTTGATTGATTGGATCAAAAATATCTCACAAATATGTTTTCCTCAATAAGGCCCTATGTTTATTCACACCATTATCGCATCATATAATCAGATTATTATCGTCATTCTTTCGTCAAACCAACACAGAATAACATAGCAGGAACACTACTTGATGGGACCTGAACAAGGAGAAGCTAATATTTCTTGCAACCATTGGGATCCGTTTTGATTTATTCAAAGTCTCAACGCTTTAAAATGACAAAGCAAAGCAAGTGAATTCAAATTATATGTTTAGTTAGTAGGACTCGTAAGAACGGGACATATTAACAAATATCGCTTTCTGCCAACATTGACATTTCTCCAATCCACTTTTCCCATACAGCTATCGAGAAATACTACATGGAACTGTCTGATTATTACTGGCCCTTCGACCCACCGGCGGACTTCCCCATGCCCGTGCTCGCTTTCGAAGGCAAAGCCCGGCTGAAGGCCGACCGGCATCACTTCGGCCGCAGCGTCTACACGAACGGCAAGAAAGATTATGTGAGGCTGCACGACTTCGGCTCGACGCATTGCGTGACAAACCCGGCAAGGTGTGTCAACGGGATGGCGATGGGTCTGTGGGTGAAGTTGAGGGATATCCCCAGTGGCGCCAAATGCCTTCTAACTTCGGGAGCAGACGTTGCGGGTATGTCGGGTCAGGCGATCCTCAGTGTGCGCTTGGTTTGTGTGTTAATTTTTGCCGTTGTAGTAATTAATTCTTCTCCCCTGGATGATATTGGTTCCCAATGATATTCGTCGGGGTTTTATGATATAAGGTGGCGTTTATCGACTGAAAATAAGTAGGGAGAAAGGAAAAATAGCTTCAAGTTTCTAAACAGAAATTTGCTCGTTCATTTTTTAAGAACATGCAGACTATTTCCGCCAAACCAATTATTCATTTAAAGCTTATCTGCCGTAGTTTACAGGAGGGATTAGACCGCTCTGCAAGGTCACTGGACAGGTGGTTATCTCATCAACTCAGCTCTCAGTTAACATAAGAAAAAGAGGATCATGGGGGACCAATGGTCACCGATTAGGCATTGTTTGTTATATAGAGGGCGCAAGTAGCTACCAGTAGTGCAGTGGGCCTTTAAGCTGCCTAATTTGTTCATCAAATATAAATGGAAAAATAAAGAAGTATTTGCCTTCGAATTTCATAGTATATCATGGTAACAATGTTGAAGTCAGGGCCTATTTTGAAATCATGATTTATAAGCATAATATCTTAGGTCTAATGTTTTCTATCAGGACAAGGTCTGTACGTCTGAAATCACATGGGTTACACTAAAAAGAATTGTGCTTACTAATTAGCTCCACATCAAATGATTTTCATTACATCTTTACTTTTTTCAGATGGACGTGGGGTTGCCATCATCCAAACACCTGACTACCTAGAATTCGTTGTCAGTGATGGCCGAAACACCTGGACGGTCAAGAAGTTCCTGGACAAAGATCTCTTTAGCGTTTGGTTCTATCTCGCATTTAGATGGCGCCCGGAGTCTGGTCTAAAGTTATTCATCAACGGACGAAATGAAGGCGAAAAGGTAAAACAAAAAACGATATAGCCAGAAAGAGAGCTCAGTGGATAAAGCAATGCTCTTGGAACTGAAAGTATGCCATTACCCTTGACTGTTAGGCAAGACATATGCCCTCACCCAATACCAAGTCCATCGGTTGGGACCTATGAAGCACTTTGCATTCAGCTCGGCTAGAACAGATCGCCTCAAAAACATTGTAATGATATAGGCGCGCGACAGTCAATCTCAAGAGAGGTTGATGACAGAGATAATTCCAAACATAAAAATGCGTATCGGTTCGATATATGCCTCCAAACCGAAAAACAACGTTAAGTCTCTCTATAAAGATCACAATGGTCGTGCCGTTTTTTTTTATTAAAAAAAAACCGTGTTCCATATCATGTACCACTTACTCCTCCGCTCAGGTGTCCGGCGTAGAGGACGAACGATCTTCCGTGAAACAGACAGAGCTTCTAATTGGCCGATGCAGCTACAGTGCCTCATCTAGCGGCTATCTGGAGGCACATTACGATGATATCATTGTCATGACCCCAACTGCCGACCAGTCCCAGCCCGGTGCGTCAGTGCTTCACGGAGATCCAAGTAGGTCTATATCGCATAATGTTGTTTTTAATATGCTGCATGGAAATAAACAAGTAATCCTACCAATAACCAATTAGTCTCAACAGTCGTAGGTCATAAATCTTTCCCCATTCATGCCACGATTTGGATCCGCCTGATACAGTTTGAACAAAATAACGTGCTTATTTTTGTCCTCAAAGAAGTATGGAAAGGCCATTAGGGTAATCGAACTCTTTAACCTTCAGACATTTGTACCCGCCTTGTCTCAGAACAAATGACCACCACTCACATCTCTGTATTTGTTACTATTCTAAATATACTGTTTCGTTGGTTCTCTTTCATTATGTTTTATTAGTCTGTACCGGATATGTAACCCCTGACCTGCACTTCAACTTGACCTCGCCGGACAGTGGAGTATCTCTCTATGATACAAAGGCAGTCAGAAGATTCACCAAATACGGGGGTGACAAGAGAGGAGTTTCTCTGTACCACAAAACATTTAGTAGAGGACTAGTAGATATAGGTAAGTATCTCCATATTCTATGTTTATTTTAATTCTAGCACTAGGAAGGCAATTTGTTTGTAGGTTGTATGAATTCCACGGAATAGGCTATGACTAAAAACTAAAAACAGTTCACATGGTTAAAAGTTATTCAATCTCAGAAACATGTTAGGGGAAGCTTTATAAAAGTTAACAAAAATAGTCACTGTTTTCGATAAATTGGTATAACTAACAATTGGGTATTATCTATTTGGAAATGCAGTCATGATGGGTGATGTCATCAAACCTGGAGAACTGTCCTCCTTTTGTTTCTTCACATTTTTACAAAATACTGCTTTCTTGAAGTCGTCGTACATATATTGAAGGACATCTATAATTTATTCCTGTCCAAGTTTTTATGACGAAACGATCATTAGTTAATGGAACGGTCGTTATCGTGGACAATACCTTTCACCTCTCCAACGGCAATTCTGAAGAGAATGTTACAACGATCATGAGACCGCATTTCTCAGGAGAAATGGACATAAATAAATGAAATATAAATGTGTATTGATACCACGATGAAGTGAAAAGCTCATCAATCACAACATTTACTGTCAATTTCTATTTCACCAGGTAACTTCCGACATGGTTGTTTAAGCTCTCCTTCTGGATGCAACAGAGGCGTCACCATCTCGTTCTGGATGAGACTTCTAAACATCGACAACCTGGATGATCCAGTGCTTAATCCGCGAAGGAGGGCTTACATACTGAGGTAGACGTACTATAGTATTATTGGACCTGGGGGTGTTTCACAAAGACTAGGATCAACTTTAAGTTGGACTTAACTATGGCAGAACATTAATGCCACTGGTTGCTCTCTCCATTGGTCTCTCGATTATGATCTTTAGATATTTTATTTTCCTTCAATAATGAACTATCAAAAAATGAACATTCTGTAGATGTGTGACCATGATTGGTACGTCCCTTAAAGAAACCAATGCTAGTAAATGATGAGAGAAATAGTGGCACGAACAGTCTGCCATAGTTAAGTCCAACTTAAAGTTGATCTTAGTCTTTGTGAAACACTCCCCTGAATGATACACTAATCTTCACTTTATTCTATTGACATGTGTTCTCATGGTTTATATAGGCCATGTGAAATGACGGAAAGGCTCGTATTAGGCTGCTTTCTTGATGCTAATATTGAAGAAATACAAAGAAAAAACAAATATTTAGGTCATTAATAGGAATCTTAATAATTTTCATCTCATTTTCACATTATTATATTGATAGCGAAGCAATTTGGAGAAACAATTTGTGATTATTTACTTCCAAAGTCAGAGATATCGTAACAATTTATTTTGGGTGCTTACCAGAACTATATATGCTTACACGTCTATGCCTAACGATTCTATATCAATACGTTTACTCAAGATGTCTGAGCTTACAGGATGACTTGAGAATCGTATTCCTGAAGACACAATACTCATGAATAAGTTAAATGAATCCGTTTAGTAAAAAATATATATATAATACTTGGGAATGAACGATATAATTTCTGTCAATCTCATTATCTCATTCGATTTCCTTTTTAACACGCAGCTCCGGCGCGCATGACATCAATTCCACGGGCTTTGCCATCTTCACGAACAACGTGACGACAACGGTGGAAGTACGAACCGAGCACGGTGTCTGGAAGAAGCATTACATGATCGGCTTCGTGGACGAATGGACCAACCTTGCCCTGACGTGGGGCAAGCAGGATGGTCTCTCTTTCTTCGTGAATGGAGAACTTCAATGTGAGTGTATAATGAAACAACGAACTATTTTTGTATAAACATAAATTTTGACTGACAAAACAGTATTAAATCAATTCTTTAAGTGAAATGTAGTTCAGTATCTTGTATTCAATTGGCATTAGGGGAGCATCATCACTATGAGCGTCTAGATGTACCGTTGAGATGTACAAAACCATTGCTCGTAAACTCTCTACGTTTTTCAAATTAGAAATCATAAATTATGCAAGGAACATATCTGTTAATGATAAATCCACGATTGTAGAACAAAATAGTTTTGTCAGGCAAATGTTATATCAAACTTATCACGTAAGTATATAATTTCTGATTCTACTTCCGACTAAAAAAACTTTTCTCTTCAAAGTCACATGAATGCAATGTGATACCATCATGGTGTTTAGAGTTCGATAGAGTTTGCAAGAGGCAATTTCATGAAAGCACAAAACTTAATGTGGGGAGGCTACTGCTACGGACAAAGATTTAAAAGTACATTCATACAATCTGCCGTTTAATCCTCCTTCAGATGATTACGAAATGCCGACTACCGTCAGCACCTATAATTCAACTGACGACGCCACGACTTCGGCTCCTCCGACCACGGATCCTCCGACTACGACTCCCATCCCGACGACCACCGAAGCGCCGACGACCACGGTCGTGACCACTCAAGCCGTGACCACTCAAGCCATGACCACAGGAGGCAACGTCACCAACGGCACTACACCGGCCAACGTGACTTACGAATACACCACCGACCTCACGACCACGCCCTTCGTTGAGAGGGAAACCACCCTAGAGGTGACGACCACGCCCATTTGGACCACGCCGTATCGGTGGAGCCCACGGGAGAACGACACCTACTCTCATCTGGTGCTCGGGGCTAGGAATGACCGGAACGAGGGCTACACCAGGGCAGAGTTCGCCGATCTGGCTGTCTGGTATGACCCCATTGATATGATGAATCCAGAGCTGGCCAAGATGGTGACAGGTGAAGAGTGCCACGAGATCGGTACGTATTGATTCTCCCTTTATATGTCATTAAATCGATAATTATTAGCAATTCTGTCTAAAGTGGACAGGTCAGATGTGAAAAGATCAAGATTATTTCTTTAACATTTTAACTCCTATACTCGCATATTATTTATTCCAATGATTCTCAAGACAACTGATGACACATTGACATAATTTGAAAGATTAGATGAAACAATAATTTCAGACAACACACACTCACTGTCAAATTTACTCATAAGGGAGTCAAGAGACAGTTTGCATTCCCCAATCTCTCTCTCTCCCCTTCCTCTCTCTCTCTCTCTCTCTGTCTGTCTCCCTCTTTATTTCTTTATTTCTATCCCTGGTATTCATAGCGGCTCTAAATCCAAAGATTACGACTATCAATGCCAGCGTAGTCCTATATTGTCACATAACGATAATCCGTTTGAATAGAAATGTACAAACTTGTACATGAGTTAAATTTGGCCTTCACTCAATTCGCTGTTCACAGTGATCACTGACAACCATGACGAACTGGCAGGTTACGAAGTGTGGACCGGAACCATCGAATGCGACGACCGCCATCTTGCGGACTGTACCGATGACCTTGATAGTTTCTTCGAAGTTGTAAGTATTCTGAAATATGGACTTGGTATTGGAGTTCAAGAATTCGGATGGATGTAAATTGAAAGAAAGCACTGAATATATCAAATTTAGTGAAGTCGTCAAAAGAATATCGTTATCATCATTTCATTATTTGTTCTTTGTTCTGTACACAATGACGATTTTCATGACTATTCAAAATAATTTATATTCCCTATTAGAATCATTTTATTCATCTTAAAGGCCCACTGCACTACTTGTAACTACTTGCGCCCTCTCTATATTAAACAATGCCTAATCGGTGACTATTGGTCCGCCATGATCCTCTTTTTCTTATGTTAACTGGGTGCTGAGTTGATGAGATAACCACCTGTCCAGTTACCTTGCAGGGCAGTCTAATCCTTCCTGTAAACTAGTACTAATAAGCTTTGATAGCAAAATGTGCAATAAAATGTCATATTTCCGACGATATTTTTACTAATGTAATTGGTTGTCGATTATAATTTGTGACCCAGATTCTATCTAGACTAAGTAAGACGTGATACTGGGGAAACATATTTATCTTTACTCCATTCAAAGACGGCTACCAAAGTCTGATTGCATGTGTAGTTTCTTTGTTGTCAATAATCTTGAGAAGGAAAAAAAAACAAGAAATCAACTACAAAACAAATGATGAAGACGCATTTTCCTTTTAAAATCACAATTGTTTTAAATCTTTAAACGCTTCATCCATTTATGACTTCTCTAGATCTCGAAGGCGTCTTTCGAAGACCCGACCGTTTACGAGATCGCTAAGGTTCGACTGAAGAACTATACACAAACAGGGATCTATATGACGGTTGATGAGATGAAAATGACCACCGTTCTCCTCGAGAAGGCTTTGACGAGGACGTTGCCTGCGATGATGATGCCCGAGGAAGCAATGAGCGACATGGAGGTTAGTATACCTATCAAAATGGCCATATTATATACACGCAAAGCTATCTACCTGCAAATCTTAATTTATAGATTAGTAGGCGCGACATAAACGCAGAATACTGCTATAATAACTATAAGCGGGATTTATATCATGAAGGTAATGTCTATTTTATTTATACATGGACTATCTTAAGCAGGCCATGAAAAAGGTTATTCGACAGTCAGTATTCCTTTCAATATCCACGTGCGTCACGAAACGTCACCTTTTTGTTTCGCAGTACAGGTGTTGTGTATTATTATTGGAAGTAAAGCTCTAATTTTAGTGCAATGAAATATGTGATAATAATACACACATCATTTTGACGGCTTTATATTCTTGAGTCATAATGTTTATTACCAATGAAAAACAAAACGGTTCATTTTTTTTATCAGGACCTCCTGTCCGTGACGAGCAACTTATTCAATGATAACCGCCGACGACGCTGGACTACTATTCATCAGGTAAGATGATTTTAAAGGGCAAAACACTCCAAAAACTTGAAATTCTAGTTTCAACATGAAATGTGATGTACCTGTATATAGGAGAATCGAAATTTGCACAGACATTTTCCGAATATGTGAAGAATATGCGTACACCTGTCACCTTATAAAGATATATGGCACGTTTAAAAAGTCAGCCACAGTGTTTACGAACAAAGCTCACCGTTTCGACTGAAACTATGTAATGCATTTTCATCCAATGTCTTCAATGGTGAAGACAAAATATCTCTCTACTTTGTATACCTATAGCCTTTCGCCATCTTTTCTTTACAATAAGTTGTCCTATGAATCGTTTTCTAACGATTCTATAGCCAATAGATATATCAATTAAATTGTATCCGTTCTAAGGTTTGATTGGCGGAGCAGGTTTAGGAAATGATTTCAACAATAAATACGGAATTAATGTAAACGTTGCTCATCATCACCAGGCTCGTCGACGACGCGGTACATTCACCACGGACAGCGCCATGGGACTCGCCGTCAAACTTGAAAACTATCTGATGGCGATAGCCAAGATAGTCGAGGGCGTCAACGGAACCTGGACCGACATCAATATGACGATCGTTACTGACAACATAGGTAGGGACGGATGAAATACAGTTGCATTATTATTTATACATCGGTGGTGGTGCTTGCTATAGTGGTGATAATGATGAGGAGGAGGATGACTAGTAGTAGAGGTGGAGGAATGTTGACGAAGACGACTTCGATAGCAGGGTAGTCAAAGAAGGCAATAAGGAGGATGATGATGATGATGATGATGATGATGATGATGATGATGATGATAATGGTAGTAAATAGCAGGAGAAACTGTGAGGAAAGAAAGTGCCCAAATCAAGCGGATGACGATAATTACGAGGATAACCAGAATGACGAGGACGACAATAATAATGAGGATGATGATAATGACATGTGTGACCAGGGTGGCGAGAATGACGAGGTTGATGTAAATAACGAGATGGAATGGTATGACGAGAGCGACGAGGATGGCCAGGGTGACGACAATGACCATTGTGCCGGGAATTACCACGGTGATGATACTGACGGTGTTGACGAAAGTGGCGAGGATGATGTGAATAACTAGAAGGAATAATATGATGAGTATGACCAGGGTGACGAGAACGACAAGTTCGACGAGATTGACGAGAATGGTGTAAATAGCGAGAAGGAATAGTATGACGAGTATGACCAGGGTGACGAGAATGACGCGGTTGACGAGAGTGGCAAGGATGATGTGAATAACTAGAAGGAATAATATGATGAGTATGACTAGGGTGTGGAGAACGACAATTTCGACGAGATTGACGAGAATGAGGTAAATAGCGAGAAGGAATAGTATGACGAGTATGACCAGGGTGACGAGAATGACGCGGTTGACGAGAGTGGCGAGGATGATGTGAATAACGAAGGTAAATATTATGACGAGAGTGGCTTGTATAACCAGGGTGACGAGAACGACAAGTTCGACGAGAGTGACGAAGATGATGAAAAAACGAGAGTGGCGAGGATGATGTGAATAACGAGCAGGAATAACATGACGAGGGTGACGAGAATTACCAAGAAGACGAGAATGACAAGTGTCGAGAATGACGAGGTTGACAACAGTGACAAGGGTGACGAGAATGACAATGTTGACGAGAGTGGCGAAGATGATGTGAATAACGAGAAAGAATAGTATAACAAGAGTTACGAATATGACCAGGATAATGAAAGTGACAAGCTTGATGAGAGTGACACGAATGATTAGAATGATGAGGTTGATGAGGGTGATGAGAATGACGAGGTTGACGAGATTGTCGGGTATGACCCGAGTGACGAGAATGATAGGGTTGACGAGAGTGACGAGGATGATGAGAATGGTGAGGTTGGCATGGGTGATAGGAATGGCCAGGGTGACGATTATGACGATGTTGACGACAGTGACGAGCATGATGAGAATGACGAAGTTGACTATAAATGGCGAGGATAATGTGAATAATGAGAAAGAATAGTATGAGAGTGAAGAGGGTGACGAGAATGGCCAGGGTGACGATGATGATGGGTATTACTCGGTTAAAGAGAGTCGCGAGGGTGGTGAGAATGACACGGTTGACAAGACTGGCGAGGAGGATGAGAATAACGAGAAGGAATAATATGACGAGGGTGACGAGAATGGCCAGGGTGACGAGAATGGCCAGGGTGATGAGAAAGACAATGGCACCGAGAATCACCAGGGTGACGATGCTGACGATGTTGACGAAAGTGACGCGGTTGATGAGAATGATGCAATTGACGAGATTGACGAAGATAATGTGAATAACGAGAAGGAATAGCATGACGAGAGTGACTAGTAAGATTAGGTTGACGAGAAGGACGAAGTTGACTATAAATGGCGAGGATAATGTGAATAATGAGAAAGAATAGTATGAGAGTGAAGAGGGTGACGAGAATGGCCAGGGTGACGATGATGATGGGTATAACTCGGTTAAAGAGAGTCGCGAGGGTTATGAAAATGACACGGTTGACAAGACTGGCGAGGAGGATGAGAATAACGAGAAGGAATAATATGACGAGGGTGACGAGAATGGCCAGGGTGATGAGAAAGACAATGGCACCGAGAATCACCAGGGTGATGATGATGACGATGTTGACGAAAGTGACGAGGTTGATGAGAATGATGCAATTGACGAGATTGACGAAGATAATGTGAATAACGAGAAGGAATAGCATGACGAGAGTGACTAGTAAGATCAGGTTGACGAGAAGGACTGGGTTGACGAGGATGATGAGAAAATCGAAGTTGAAGAGGGTGGTGAGGATGTTGTGAATAATGAGAAGGAATGGTATGATGAGAGTGACGAATATAACCAGGGTGACGAGAATGACGAGGTTGACGAGAGTTAAGAGGATGATGAGAATGGCGAGGTTAACGAGAGTGTAGAGGGTAATGATAATTGCCAGGGTGACGAGAATGACCATGGTACCGAGAATTACCAGGGTGACGAGAATGACGAGGTTGACGAGAGTGGCGAGAATGATGAGAATAACGCGGTTGACGACAGTGGCGAGGATGATGTGAATAACGAGAAGATATACTATGACGAGGGTGACGAGAATAACGAGGTTGACGACAGTGACAAGAGTGACGAGAATGGCGATGGTGGTGAGAATGAGGAGGTTGACGAGAGTGGCGAGAATGATGAGAACACTGAAGTAAAATCGCATTTTATTCTTCTCTTATTTCAGTTGTTCAAGTGGACAGGTATCGGGCAGATGACGTCATTCCAGGTACTATCTACCAGTTTCCTGACTATGACAACCCACTGATACTAGTTCCCAATAGTTCGTGGTACGGGGCAACTGATCAAATCACGTTACCAAGAAATGTTTACGACTACATCCCAGCGAATAGAGGTAATGCATAATGCCAAGTTGAATTTCTAATAATTTATTTGATTCTCCTCTTTTAAGCACTTTTCCTTGTTGTTTGCTCTATTCGTAGATCGAGGTCTTTTCTTTTTATTTGTACTTCTCTGTTATTATAATTGAGTAAAAGGAATAAATAAAAGAAATGAACAATAGACAAATGCTTCTGTAGCAGATATAGGGTGCATTCGACGGGAGCGTCTCTGTGCGCTTAATATGCGTTGTATTTGTCTTGATTTTTGTTCGTATTTTCATAGATATTAATGTTGTAGCGTTTTCTCTCATTTCTCATCAGATAACAACGGAGTGATAATCATGATTGGCATCATGTTCCATACTTTGGATGAAATTCTACCAGTCGTGAGCAGTGAAGAGTAAGTGGGATCATTTTTTTGAATAATTTCTGATGTAAACTGCTTCTAATGTATCCGTTTTTAAACACTCTCATAATATCTGTATATACTACTTCACGATCGCTCTTATGAAAACATATTATTGATGCCAAAACTAAAATGTCGATCAAAAGTTGGTAAAGTAAATTGAAACCAAGTTTTTCCTGTACAATTTCAGCATTAAAGTTTGTTTCCATAATATCCATAACATCCAAAACAACACACGACAGTTTCAAAACACACACACAAGACATAAAAATGTATGGAAGAAAACGGGAAAAGGAAAAACTAGGTTCTTATATTTCATTTCAGGTACCTTTTCTGTCCTAAATTTGAAATGGGGCATAAGAACGCAAGAAGATGCACATTTTTCTTTACTATACTTAGGAATGCAAGATTGGTTTGTATTGGGTTGTGCCCCCCTTAAATGTGCCACTGATGAAAACGTCAGTTTTTAATTCGTTATCTTCCTTATCTTGTTTTCAGTGCAATCTACAAAGAGTCCATGCAGGTTGATAGCCGTATCATGTACCTCCGCACAGAACCACCACTACGTAAGGGCCTCTACAACAAAATCGTTATGCAGTTTGAACATAAAACGGTGAGTTTCGTTACCCAAGCCTTTTTACTGACGTGAATTATCGAAATTCACATTCATTTCTATTCACATTTATTTACTAAGGAGACGAATACTTGAAAATGGAATTTGTGATAGGAGTGTCAAAAAGAACATGGTGATAAAACAAAAAAAGGACAAAAGCAACAACAAAAAGTAACCATACAATATCATTATAGACATCTCTTGCGAAACCAGGAAATCTTTGAAAGAAAAAATGGGAAAGGGTGGCATTAGTATTTACATTGAGGTTTAGTACAGAATCCATTTTATACAATGTGAGAATAGTACAAAGCGATAAATCACCATTTCAATGTAGAGTAGCGTATAGTGTGAAGATTCGTTGCTTGAAACGTCATGTGCCACCAGTCTATAAATGGCGACACTGCAAATATAAGTTCAGGAAATATATTCTTCTTTGTCATGTTCATTTGAAACATTCACTGGTGTAATACTTTACCCTGATACTTGTTTTTCACAAATGTTTATCTTACAGCCTCTGTCCTCCAAAGATGAACCATTCTGCGTCTTTTGGGATTTCAATATCCGGTAAGTAAAGGGGGAAAGAAGGATTTTTTATTTTCTCTTTTCAGTTGTCATAGTGATAACAATTAGTACTTTGTAAAATATATTGTGACTTTGTGCAGGTCCAGGAAACGGTTCGGAGGATAGCACACGCGACAGTAGAATGTATGAAAGATTAAATTAAATAATTTAGTAGTAACAAAAGCAACTCAATAGATACTAAGAAATATAGTAGAAGAGATAAAACGACTAGAAATATACGGTTGTTGAGTATGTTGATCGATGCATAAGCATAAGTCAATCTGAAGTATCAAATATGATATCCGAAATCTGAAACCTGATTGTATAAAATAATACGAACAAATTAAAGACTGACGCAAAGTTTCCATTATTTAATGAATTACCTAGGTACACGAAGGAGGGTGCGTGGAGTATGAGAGGATGCACACTGGAGGAAACCAACGACACCCATACCACGTGCCACTGTGATCACCTGACACATTTCGCCATCCTGATCCAGGATAGAGATCAAGTGGTACGTATGATTGGATACGGTGACGTAGCTAGGGAAACGCCCCCATCGAATCATAATGAAAATTTTAATGAAAAAACAGTAAAAGGGATCAAGGGGAAAAGAAAATAGAGAAAAAGAATAGGTAGATTAAAAAAAAGGATGAGAAAAGTATTATGAAAAGAAAATGTGGAGCCCCTTCCTCCCACAATATTTGACCTTGCTATCATTCACGTTTCGTTCACCTCATACGATATATTCACTCTAATGCTGCTAGTGCCCCTAAATAGTTGGGGCCATGCTATGCCACTGGTTTGATAAAGGGGCTCTTTGTATTGGGATAACATGGCAATGAGTTCATCAGACATTCATATGTATACATTCTGTTTGGGGTGATTAGATGAATCTTGGGTGAATCTTTGTCCCCCAAAATGATTATAACCTCTTAAATACCTGCCTCTTTAGAGAGTATGATTTGGGGAGTTTCTTCCCCCTCCGGGAAGGGGGGGGGGGGGGGTGGGGTGTGGTAGCGCATTGAGTTTGACCGGCACTTGCTGTAGAGTCTTGCATTCTTACTAAAATCACTTACGTCTTGCTATTCTTTCAGGTTGAGTCGATTCACGCTAAATACTTGAGCTACATCACGTGGGGAGGTATCGTCTTGTCTCTTATCGCCCTCATCCTTCTCTTACTCATCTTCATATCAGTAGCGTAAGTATATCACCTCTAGGCATTTATCCAAATACTTTGTTAAAAAAATCAAGTAATTTTTGCGTGAGTCAATAACTTACATCTACACCGCATGATATTAACTTATTTGAAAAGGAAACTAGCTTACAACTGAAACAGTCAAGGACTCGAGATGATTCAAGGTTTTTTCAAGAAAGTACAAATGTTCCCTGTGAATAAATGTAAATGAAGCCTTTGATTTGCCTTGGCAGTAAAGATAACGCTAGCAAAACCTTGGTGTGAGTTAGTATCAATCCACGCTGAAGTCTCGGGGAATGTGTAATTAAAAAATATCTATATATCTACCTTGACACGATAAATCATATAAAGCTGATTATTACTTTAATTTTATTTGGTTATAATTAGCTTTTAAACATGATTATTTAAAACACCAATCAGTAATTAGCGAATTCGAGATATTAATCTTTTATAGATATTAATGTTATAATGCTGTGAGTTTTTATTGGATGTGAAATAAACTGAACTTGAACTTGAATCTTTCCAATATCCTCCCATGCACTTTCCATTTACATACACAGAGACTTGCATACCGTTCGTAACTCCATCCACATCAATATGATCTTATCCATGCTGTTTGCCAAGATCACCTACATCCTCATCGACTTCTTGGACCCCGCTACGATCGACTGGGTAAGTTGGACAATGACCGAGCCCAAAACTTTAAGCAGGACTGCACTACTTGTAGATACTTGCGCCCTCTTTATTGCAAACAATGCCCAAGCGGTGCCAGTTGGTCCCCAATGATCTTCTTTTTTTAATGTTAATTGAGAGCTGATTTGGTGAGATAACCACATGTCAGTGACCTTGCAAGGAACTAGTGCAGACGGGCTTTAATATACAAAAGTCTTTAAGCTGCATTATACTTACGCTAAACATATTTGAGAAATCCTCAAATCCTTTGAGCTTTTAATGCCATATCACATTAAAGAGATTCTAGTTTGCATTTTTATTTTGTACTGATTTTCAATCATTAATGCCACTGGCATATTTCCCAATTCTAAATATATATATTTCATCTATTCAATATGAACTCGCGCATTTTGATAGTTGTTATTGCAGATGTAAACCGACACTTACTATCATATTTGCTTAGTTGTTTTACTTCCTTAATATCATCTATCATTCCTATTGTTTGCCTGCACATATCTCTTATCATTAGGCTTACTTTTATATCAATGGATTTATTTTTTCCAACAGGAATGAATAAGCATGTGGCACGAAATTTAAATTCGTTTTTCTCCGTACAATCGTTTGTCAGAAATTAAACCAAGTATCACCCATGCTTTTTTTCTCCAGATTTCCTGCAAGGCGATTGCCTGCGTGATGCAGTTCTTCTATACGGGGGTGTTTAGCTGGATGTTGGTCCAGGGTGTCCATCTATTGGTAGAGGTGTGCAACCCTAAAAACGTCCCTTACAAACAGAAGTTCAGATACTACTTCCTAGTCGCATGGGGTGAGATTCTTAAAATATTTCAAACTAATTATGTCATCATTATCATCATTGTCATCATGATCATGATGGTGATGATGATCATCATCGTCACCTTTATTCAGCTTGTTATCATGATTGTAATTATTATAATTGTAATTATTATAATCATAATCATTGTCATGTTTAATATCAGTTAAAAGTACATGTATTCGTAGTAGTAGTAGTAGTAGTAGTAGTAGTAGTAGTAGTAGTAGTAGTAGTAGTAGTAGCAGTAGTAGCAGTAGTAGTAGTAGTAGTAGTAGTAGTAGTAGTAGTAGTAGTAGTAGTAGTAGTAGTATCAGTAGTAGTAGTAGTAGTAGTAGTAGTAGTAGTAGTAGTAGTAGTAGTAGTAGTAGTAGTAGTAGCAGTAGTAGTAGTAGTAGTAGTAGTAGTAGTAGTAGTAGTAGCAGCAGCAGCAGCATAGTACAGTAGTAGTATTAGTAGTTTTTCATTTTTATCATTATTACTAATATCATCATTGTAGTTGTCATTATATTTATTCTCATGTTTACTGTACCTGTAGTTATAATTAGAAATTGAAAATGCCTTTCTACACTTGTAAAACACTAATATTAATATAAGTAACATTACTAAGATTTGTAATCATATTTCAATTCATGCTGATTTCTTGAATATTGCACATTGCAGTCCCATGACAGATTATGGTAAATAGTTGCTCTGCTTTTGATTTCGATACTATATCATTCATGCGAAGGAAATAAATTATATAAAATGTAATTTCTTTTCATTTGGCAGGTATTCCTTTCATGATTGTTGGCACTTCTTTTGCAATGGCGCATCAGGGTTATGGTACAACGGACGAGTAAGTTGCATATTTTTCCCAAACAAGTCATGTTTAGAAACGAACTTAGTATTCAAAATTATTTGCTTGTTCTTCCAAATTATATGATTGCTTTAATATACTCTTCTGGTACAACAGAAGACTATTTCTAGTGGTGATGAGTATTTAGAATAATGGCACAAACTACTAGTTTTTTCTTTGAGCGGAGTTTACGTATTAATCAATCACAGACAATTTCCTAAAAATTGTATGATCAGGGTTTTGTCATCGACGTAAAATTTGTTATGAGCAACGAGAGATGCATTTTTTCATGATGAATTTACTTTGAAGCTTTCAGTGTTTTGAGGATTTTCTCTATTTTTTCTGTTGAAGATCTGCATTTCCTAACAGTATTCAATAGTAATGAAATGTAATTTAACATTCATTCATTAGTAAAAAACTACACATTACTAAAGATGTAATGTTTCATAAATGAGATAGATGGTGTGATGCTTTATGCATGAAAAGCATAACTCTAGAAAATTCGTAAAAGCCGAAAACATAGTGAAACTTCTGCTCCCTTCTTAAAAATGAAACTTTCCACTTTCTTTCTCCTCAATATTCAGATGTTGGTTGACATTTGAGAACAATGCATTATGGATCTTCCTTGGCACCAGTTTGACAATAATCTTTGTAAGTATAAACAGACAACATTGACAAAACATTTTTTATGGGCAAAATACGAAGGGACAACAACACAAAGTTTAAATTGCAGCACTTGTTCTCTCCCCCTTTGTTAGCCAAAGCAAACCCTGGTTGAGTACTAAAACAGATACAAAATCTGTCAATGAGAGGGAAAGTATTTGTACTATTAAAAGAATTTATTTTTCTTTCTCTTTTTCTTTACTGAAATGGGATTGAAGACAATTTTACCTGATATAAACTTGCTCTCTATTTTCTTATTTTATTTGGGTGGGTGGGTAGACCCTTCGGTTCCGATATTTGGACTGTTTATTCCAAACTGCTCAATAAAGATTGTTTCAATATGGGCATTTAATATCTTTAATTGTTCATTTGCATTTTGATTCTTGGATAATTAATTTAACATTGAGAGGTTGTCATTTACAAACAATCTTATGTAGGTATTTAGATTTTAAATTGTACACGAATATATGTGATCCGTTTGTCGATAGTATTCAGAAAAAAAATATTAAAAGATATATACTCAAATTGGGTCTAAAGTAATATGAAGGAAGCCTGTACTCCATCAGTATTTTTTTTTTTTTATTTCACTTTCAATATTATTATTATTTCTCTGTTCTTTTTCCAGATCAACATGCTGATCATCATGTTTGTTTATTGTAACACTTCCAAGCACTCAAGACGATCGGATCCCTTGAAGTCAAGAAAGTAAGTTTTATTTTAAAAGTTCATAATATATTAAAGAAAATGAATATAATCCTATCATAAGAAAAATGCTTGACTGACAACCGATGAATCATTTCAGGATGAATCATTGTCTAAAAAGTGCACATATAAATAATTAACATACATATTTTAAAAAGTTGAAAATGTAATTCCTCCTTCCATTACTACAACTACTTCATACAACGCAGGGTCATTGTGCGAGTATTTAAACTTATGTACACTGAAATGTTAAATTTTGAACAGGCTTATGAATCATGATAATTTCATTTGTCAAGTTTTAAGTTCAATCATTTGTTCCATTTTCAGGGCAAGCTTACGAGCAACATCCATCATGCTACCGTTGCTAGGAATCACGTGGTCGTTGTCTGTTGTAGAGGTCAAGTATGGTCTTATTGAACTCACCTACGTCTTCACAGCATTGCATGCATTGCAGGTTGGTAGAATAATATTGAGATGCCAGTCTGTGTAAATCAATGTAAGAGCGCCAACAGAAAACAATACAAATGATGGGAAGGCTTGAAGCAATAGTAACAGTACACCTTTCAACCTCTAAAATATTCTCAAAATTTGCTTGAATTTGCAGCAAACTCCCATCCCTCAGCATTTCCCATAGACCTGGTTTTTAAGGTTTCTTTTTTGTGTTCTGCATAATCTACGTAACTTGAAATAAACCGTCATATATGTACACTTATCACACTATTCTGCACTTGTTAGTTCTTTTACATGCATATCAATTGGTGTCGCTTTCTTGTTATCTGTCTTATGACTCGAGTATTACATCTAATTGACTATTTTCTTCTTTTCCCTATTTTCCTATCGTAGCCCCCTATCTCTTTCTTCCCCCTGTTTGTTTCGGTCCATATCGCATTATTTCTCCTTCTCTGTGCCCAAATATTTCAACCCTTTTCCCGCTTTAACCGTCCCCTTCTTTTTTCCCCTTCCCCCTCTCGCATTGAACATACATGTCTAGGTTCACTTATAACAGATTATTTGTTTTCAATCGTTTAAACATCAATGTTGCCTTCATTCATTTTCTCTTTCCGTCTTATTCACTTTACTACAGGGATTATTCATAGCCATATTCTATGGTGTCTGCAATCCTGAAGTAAGTTTTCAATTTTTTTTTTTAACACTGTAAAAATCAAAATCTATTGAGATTTGAAACCCATGCTTAATATTATTCTCATTATACATACTTCCTTCATGATAAAGTTAAAACTTTGTTATTGTTTATATTTGAGATATATATGCCCTGAAACAAAATAGCCGGTTATACATGTTTTTCCATTCACACCTTTCGTTTCGTAATTTAACATCCCTCCAAAATGGGAGATCGAGGTTAATTGTTACCTCGATAAATAAGACTTACAATTAAAGCAAAGATTATTACAATTCAAGTATATTCAGTCGGCCTATATCGAGTTGATATAAACCTGGTTTTGATCTTGATAAGCTTTATAAAAACATTTGTTTTCCATATATATTAGTACTAGTAGACGAAATTATAATAGTGTTTTTTCTCTCTCTCTCTCTCTCTCTCTCTCTCTCTCTCTCTCTCTCTCTCTCTCTCTCTCTCTCTCTCATACAGGTACGGCTAGCCTTCATGGGGCACGACTTACAGTTGGAATTCTCAAAAGTGCAAGAAGTGTCAACTGTAAGTTGGTCTGTTCCTAATACTGCTGTAGTCTGCAGATGGTTGATCCATTGATATTAAAGTGGATACAATTACTTGTAGATTAGTGGATCAATATTAAGTTTCTTTCAGAGTATTTCAAGGAAAGTTGAATATTTCGCAGTTATATTGGTTTGTTCGTAGCTACTGGTACTATGCGGGTGTTTGATCCATCGATATAGTTTCATTTTCTAAAGGATATATTCATTGTTGATAAGTGGATCAATATCAAGTTTCTTTCAGACTATTTCAAGGAAAGTTGAATATCTCGCAGTTATCTGTTACTACTTTTTTTTTTCCTTATACAGACACCAGAGCCAGAGGAAATTGAGATGGAGTCGGTTGCTAAGCCTTCATGTAAGTATTCATTTACCTTCATGCCTTTATTTTCAATTGTGGCCATGTCTTCTTGGGTATATATAGTTTGTTGAATGTACATGATCCTGCGACGATCGCTCAAAGGTCAATTTTCTATATCAACCAAATCATGACTTCAACCTTGGCCCAAAAACTATTAATGCTACCCTTTTCCTGAACTTACCCTAACACCCTATATCCTAAACCCAACCCTTATTTTTAAAGTTTAGAGCCATTGTTGCCAGATCCAATGTCGGAAATAGTATTGTGCTTTACTTTCATAACTTTACCATTATGCATTCACGTACATTTAGCTAGTCAATATTTCATGGGTTTTGGTAATTTATCTTAATACAGACATGTTCATTTTAAATGTCCTTATCTTGTCTCAGTGACTTTCGCAATTAGTAGTATACACTGTTTATAAATATGTATCCATTTTTTAATATATGTGCTGTCTTGTTTGTTTTTTCTTCAATGTATGACTTATTTTCCGATAAACGCATTTTTTATCAAAATCAATAGCTTAACGAGATATATTCTTCCTTCCTTATTATCATTGCCCCTTACAGATAAGGCATAGCACTCTCATTGTCATTCTTGCATCCAATCGGACCCCCTTTTCTTGGAAACTGAGGGGAAAAAAAGATCGTCCTCTAAGATTTCAAAGGACTTTCCAGATCTTCAATCTCATCACTACTTGCGTATGATGTCATTCAATGAAGTCCGATGTATACCCATGGCTTGGTTTATTCCTTCCACATTTGTTCAGTATTATTATTTTTTTTCTTGTATGTGTAGTCATTCTAGTTTGGCTGTATGACCATAAAATTATATTTCTTTGCTAGGTATATGAGCATGCAACCGGCACCAATTTACAAATTGTTTACCAAAATAGATATATGTAATGTTATGTCTACACTATTTATACAGTATATGAGCATTATTGTTACTAGGTACAGAGCATACGGCATTCATCGAATTTCTATTATTATTGAATGTATTATAGTACTACATAATAACATTTTGTATTATTTAACTGTAGATATATGAAAGTGCCAATAAATAATATTGATAACTTATATGTTTGTACAAAAGATAGACATATTTAACGTTTAAAAAAGTATGTAAATGTATGTAGTTATGTAGAAGGACAAAACTAAATAATTGATTCTTTCAATTGGTATTCTATATTTTCTAATAATTCAATTCTTTAAAAAGTTTAACACTTGTTTTGATGAAAGCTACATGACGATCGAGAGCACGGATTATTCATATTTTCTTCTTGTAAATTCGGTAATAATATATAACAATTTCTTTCGATGAAAAGCCTCTAAATAAATGTATCAATCTGAAACAAACTTCCTGTGTTGCATTTAGTCATTGGTGCACTACAGTATATGTTCGAAGTTGAAAAAATCACTCATATACATGTACCATGAGATGATAAAAAATGAGGAAAAGAGAAATGGATGTAAGAGAAAGACGGGTGATGAGGAGGAGTGATGAGAAGGAGGAGGATATTGAGAATGGTGATTATGATATTGATAGAAATTATATGTAATGATGTACACAATGAACTTGATACTGATACTGATGGTACTGTTGAAGATGAAAACAATGGTCATGATGATATTACCATGATCATCATGAAAAGAATGGTGATTACGAAATTAGTGATAATAATGATATGGATACATATGAAAATAAACAGACAAACTTTCAACAAGTAATAAAGTTCATAAATAGCATCTGATTTATTATCATACCTTGGACAGAATCGTCAAGTTTGAATATTTTTCAAACAGAATACAATTAACATAGTACTGAGTCTTCTATGACAATGGAAGCACAGTGTGTTTCAAAAATGTTTACAATAATAAATATGTGTACAAGTATATTAATTTTTCTCGAGCCATCCTTCAAAGAAATAACTACTATCCTCTCCCAATGCAGTAATTCATTCACTTTCCCTTCAATACCTAATTAATGAAACCTGCTGTAATTTGCATTTCATTCCAGAGCACATTTTCTCCATAAAAATACTCTCGAGCTGTGTGGTAAAGATACTCCCCGAGTACTGATAATGCTAACCTATTTTCATGAGTGACTGGATAAAAGTCAATCTGATTGTTAAGAGACAGCAATTAGCACAAACTTGCTAAAATTCACCAACACAAAGTATCAGCCTGATCTTTCCGTCTCTCTTTGCTCCCTACTTTGCAATTGCATGCTCTTTTACTATGAATTTACAGATTATTGAGTTCTTAACTTTGAATGAACATTCGTTGGATAATATGAGCATTCTGTTTTGAATCCCAGAATAGAACACTACCTTAAAAAGGGATTTCGAATTCACATTCACCACTATTTAATAAAATGAGTTGCCTTGATAAAATGTTTACAATTCACATTCTTTCTAGTCTAACAAAATTACAGTGTAGTAAAATTTAAGATAATTATATAAGAATCAAGATTTATGCACACTTTCATTATAACAAACAATTAAATCTCCCTATTAAGTCAAATCATTTTGTTTAAAACCAAACTATGCAAATTGTGTGTTCTTTACACTTTGTATGTCAAATTTTGCATTAGTGGAACTATTTTTACGTGCTCAAATAGATTCAACTCATGCAGGGTGTAACCTAGAAGCTCAGAAAACTTCCAGCAGTACTTGATCACGCAATTATGACATTTGGCACAACTTGGACTGTAAAACATGGGATGAAAGTTTTGTGATGAACCTTTAATGTTTTAGCCAGTCAAATAGGATGGAATAAAAAATCAGCATCAATATTTTTCCATAGTGTTGTCATTATGAAAAATCATTTTACTCATCAAACAAAGTGAATACAATTCAAATGTTTGTAGAACTTCCAATCATGTTAGATAATCAAAATCTAAACAAATGTATTATATCTATAAAAGACAACTTTGAAGCTCAATATGTGTTGTTAAATTATGGGACATTCATTTCTTTTTCTCGCTTTTGTCAAACTGATATGAAACTTGAAAATTGAACATATGATCTGTCTCCTTTTACAATAAAGACTATTTAAAAAAAAAATGAAACATCATTTTTTATATACATTATCCATATAAGGCTGATCATATTTAAACTATTTTCTTTGGTTTATTTAATACTGTAAACAATTTCATGTGTAATTTGTTGTTAAGACTAATCGCATAGACTTCAATATTCAAAAAGTGTACTTTAATAAGTATGATCCATATGGAAGGCTAATCAAAATATTAGACACAGATTCATATATTTCATAGGTATTTTTTGCATAAATAGTACTACCACAATTATAATAACAATAATTCAACACCCAATGGTTCATTGACTCCATATAACAAAATCAATGCTAGATGCAAAATGGTGTAAAAATTATGTTATGCAATAGTTACCCTGTTCTAAAAGTTTATAATACAAAAATGAATACTGGTTGCATAGTATTAAAACAGCACTTATTTGTCAAATATCAGCCTTATATTCATGCATGTGCATCAGCCATAATTGTTGAACATAGTAGAAAAATGGAAGTGTATCAAGATGTCATGAGCACATATTAATTACATTTGTATGTTTTGGAATAATAAAAGTATTCTAAATATAGAAACATTTAATGCTTGTTCACAATTTAATGCTTGTTCAAAAGAACTTGCAAATAAACGATACTCAAGTGATACTGCAATTATTTTCATTAAATATATAATGCATTTTGCTAATACTTGAAGGAGAGAGAAGGGAATACATTTGATTATCATGGCCAAAAAAATTTGTCATAAAACGATTGCTTATTATAAATATTCTGTTAATTTTACATGAATAAATTATTAAAAATCCATGATTACATACATTTCATATTGATTGGATAAAGATGGTAGCGCATGGCATTAAGTATTAAGGGACACATAAAATACCTGAAAAATAAATTATATACAGTGTAGATAAGACTACAACACTGTTGTTTGAAATTATCTATACAAAACCAGTTCCAATAATACACAATATAAGTTTTATCATCCATCTGCCTTTTTTTTTAAATATGGCAATATCTTTGATTCTGATTGTCCAATACTTTTAATGCTGTGATAGATTAAACACACACATTTCATGTTATGCAATGGGACTTTCCTCTCTGTTAAATAAAAACATTAAGCACAATTATGTGGTATATGTGAGAAATAATGACTTTCATCAACTTTCTCATAACTATGAATAAGTAAATTCAGAATTTTGCTAAATAATGAAGTGTGGTGAAAGGCAAATTTAGCCATGGAGAGAAGAGTAGTTCTCATGTCTATCTTATTGCTTACAGCAGTTTATCTGCATGACGCCCCTTGAAATCCAATATGTCTCTGGAATATATATTTAGTCATTGAGGATGAGAAGTTCTCATGTCTCTGTTGTATTTAACAGAATTCACCTGTGTGCCAATGTCTGTTTGATTCAAATCCCCTCTGGATGCATATCGAGCCATGGAGAAAGAATAGTTGTCACAACTATCTTGCTTTACAAGAGTTCATTTGTGTTGCTTCCATTGAGATCCATGCCTTGTCCATCAAGATTTGAATCACCTCTAGAATGCATACCTAGCCATAGTCATAGACGGTGAACAGTTGTCATGACTATCTTGTCGCTTACAAGACTTCATCTGTGTTTCGTCTATCGAGTTCCGTGTGTTGCCCATCAAGATTTGAATCACCTCTGGAATGCATACCTAGCCATAGCCATAGACGGTGAATAGTTGTCCAAGCTATCTGGTTGCTGACAAGACTTCATCTGTGTTTCGTCTATCGAGATCCATGTGTTGACCTTCAAGATCTGAATCCCCTCTGGAATGCATACCTGGCCATGGAGGGAGAGTAGATATCATGACTATCTTGTTGCTTTCAACAGTTAGTCAATTTTTTGTCTGTCCAGATCCATGTGTTGTCCATCAAGATTTGAATCACCTCTGGAATGCATACCTAGCCACGGAGGGAGAGTAGTCGTCATGACTACCTTGTTGCTTACCCGAGTTCATCTGAGTGATGGCCGTTAGGATCTGATTCCTGGGCTCCTTGTGTCGGATACCCATCTCTTTCAGATCAGAGTCATTCAGTGCAAGAAAGGCTTCCATATCAACCTACAGGTAATTAGACAGAAGCAGAATTTTGAATTAAATCAATTTGTGTAATAAGTGTTGAGAAACATGATAAGAATAAATGCTGCAGCTGGTGCCATTAAGGATGTTCATGTGTGGGTATATAGTTGTTTGTGATGTAGGCAAGTTGGTGATCTCTACATATTACACAGAGCCAACGGGTATTACGCTCCCGTGTGTAATAAGTTGTGCTGCCCCTCTATCTTGCAGATAATAAGTACTGTGAACACTCCCACTTTAGGTGGATATATATGCATGGAGCACTGTATAAACATTCATATTATCATCCATATTATCCAATAGGCAAGCCCTGGAGGCATGGGAAATCAGAATAACTAAGTTGAAGAAGGAACAAACATGTCCAAAACACATTAAATAATTGATGATCACTTGTCCTTTCAAATCATCAAGTTGGAATTAATTGTCTAGTCATTTTTTATGTACTGTAACACATAACAAGCCTACTAGATTTTTCAGCCATATACAGCCAGTAAGTGCAAAATTACAGACAAATGAGATGATCATACATACCTCTTGTTCTTCAAATATTGGTGCGTATTTCTCTAAAGAGAGCTTTCTCAGCAAGTTGGATAGCTCATCTGCAATGTAAAACAAAGTCAGAAGAGTAAAAACTTTGAAACAGAAGAAGTAGAATTTAACATTGTCTTTCGGCAGAGCAGTGATGAGTGGCCAATCGCCTTGGAAATAGTTACACAAATTAGGGATTTTGTAGAAATGCGATGTTTTCTATTACAGTAGCTATGTGTATTTACTAGATTAATAGCAAGTGGGAATTTAAAAAAAGGTGTTGTGCGCACAAATGGTCCTACACGCACTCACTTATCTGTGTGTTATGATATAAAAACGTGAAGTGCAGTATGCTTAATGTAAATTATGCTTTACAAACCCCTGCAGTTTACCACGGAATATGGGAACAAGCGTTTTAATGTGCAAACCCATTCACGTTTTATTTATCTTTAAAAAAAATGAGGCTGAATAATAATATTAGATATAGGCACTCCAACATTACCCCAGCTCTGCTAGGCAGCCGATTTCAGCTGATTTCGACTTACAGCCATAGGTACCGTGGAGCTGTGAGCATTTAGTTGATTTCCAAACAGTCCAGTAAACTTTTAAATAAATACACAGAGAGTCACTTTTTTTTACTTGTAGAGATAAGCTGAGTTGTGAAATACACTGTATCTTACCTTCTTCACTGATACTGCTACTACCAGCACTGGTCTTCCTAGCACCTTGGAAGGCCCCGCCCTCTCTCTGCACCCCTCCAGCGGTCCCTCCTCCTCCTCCTCCTCCTCCTCCACTGTGACTGGACCCTCCTGCGCTCATCCTCCCTCTCCCCATGGGGGTGGGGGACGGCGAGGGGGTGAGGGTGGATGAGGTCCTGGTAGAGGCACTCCCGCTGTGAGACCGCGCCTTGGGGCGGTGGAGGGAGGAGCTGGAGCCAGTGTTTGTGGTGGTGAGGTTAGCTGAGTGACGTCGGTTAGGGGCGCTAGAGGTAGGGGTGTGAGATTCGTTGCTAGGCTGGGATGTGGGCGAGGATGGTATCCTGCATAGAATTTTTTTTAAATGAAAATAAATGATTTATTACAGGTATATAATGAACCGATTACATGAATATAAAACACAAAAAATATATCATGCCACCCACTTAAAAGAATATATAATTGTGTACATTATAACAAACAATCTTTGTGCAACAAGAGAGGTTAATAATATTTCTTGATAGATGAGGCACGTCCAAGTTTATATCTAACTACTAGAATTTTGTGTTTCATCGTACCATTCTTTGGCAAATGTATGTACCCATCATTTTGTACATTTGCTTTATATACTCTTTTATGCTTTGAGAAATATTAAATAAAGACTTTATATGAAAAAAAAAAGAAAAAAAAAATCTGTGCAAGAAATTGACTACACTTTGAAAGGACAGAAAAAGAGCTTGTATCTGAAATATTTTCACATTTTTTTAAATAGGAGGGTGCCTTACTGTGCTAGAGATGGAACTGATGATGCAGAAGGATATCTCTTCCTTGTTCCAAGCTGGTCTTCCACTGGGGCAATAGACCCATAGCTATCACCTGCAGGCAATGGAAAATATGAATAATGAATGAATGAATGAATGAATGACAAAACTTCATGGCAAGGTTGATGATCCCACTCTCAGAATGGCAATAAATGAAGGACAAATAAAGAAAGGCTTGTGCTTACATCAGTCTAATGTTCATCTGCTTTACCCTCCAAGATTTTCCAAGTTAAAGCTAATTCAATTTTCATTTACCTCATAATGAAGTCTCTCTCTTCTAAGACAAAAGAAGTACTAAAAATAAACTAGAAAGAATCTCCAAGAGAAATATATATGTATCACAATAAAGACTACCTTTCTTGAGACCAAAAGTGGCACATATACACATATATCATATCATTTACCACGATAAGCAACAACAGCACTTTTGGCAAGAGACTACCATTATTAATCATCAATCAACATCACACAGAACTTAAGCCAGTGATCTACATGGACACCAATTATGTTCTGCTTCATAACCAGGGGAGTGTTTCACAAAGACTAAGATCAACTTTATGTTGGACTTAACTATGGCAGGCCATTTATGTCACTGGTTGCTCCCACTATTGGTCTCTCAAGTATAATCTTTAGATAATATTTTGTATTTATCAAAAAAAGGTGAATTCTGAAGATTTGTGACCACAATTTGTAGGTCCCTTAAGAAACCAATGCCAGGAATGGTTTGAGGAACTAGTGGCATGGACAGCCTGCCATATTTAAGTCCAACTTAGAGTCGATCTTAGTCTTTGTGAAACACTCCCTAGCAATGTAAAGCTGCATGTCTACAGTACCTGCTCTGCTCAGGGACGACCCATGAAGCACCCTGCTCGACAGCACAACCGAGGACGTCGAATACCCTTGTTTCCGTGCCGACAGCAGCCCCCTGCTCAGCGCTGACGCCTCCCCAGAGGAGCTGGGACTGATGGTGCTAGTGAAGTGGGCGGAGTTGGAGGGGCTGATGCCGGTGCTTCCGGGCCGGCGGGTGGTGAACATGGGGCGGTGCAAGCTACTGGTGCTGGTTGTAGAGGCGGCGGTGGTGGTGGTGGTTGAGGTGGTGTTGGTGGTATTGCTTGATAACGTGGTGCTTGGCCTACCAGGACCCATGCCCTAAGGGAAAGACAGACAAATTCCAGGGGAGTGTTTCACACAGACTAAGATCAATTTTTAAGTTGGACTTAACTACGGCAGGCCATTTATGCCACTAGTTTCTCTCACCATTATGATCTTTAGATATTTTTTCCTTCAATAATAGATATTTAAAAAATGTAACTTCGGTAGATTTGTGACCATGATTTGTAAGTCCCTTGATAGACAAATGCCATTAAATGGTGAGAGAAAAAAGTGGCATGAATGGGCTGCCATAGTTAAGTCCAACTTTAAGTTGATCTTAGTCCTTGTGAAACACTCCCCTGATGCTTTATAATCAAATCCAACTCGTAAGAAGAAATCCAAGCCAAGGTCAAAGTACATGTACATGTTTACAGGTTATGAATTACATGTACATGAATAACATATGGCCTATCAAAATTGGAATTATGAAATGTATACATGTACGTCTTATTGAATTTGGTTTCTCCTTAATATGCATCTGTACTAATCCTAAGGGAGGAAATTGGAGGGGTTGAATGGGGATAGTGAGAAAAGAACGAAAGCATTTGTGAAGCTCAAAGTTAGATGGCATTTAAATAACAAGAGGGGATTACTGAAGCCCCCTATGGTATGAAACAACTGCAATCTGGTACTGGAAAAATTGCTATACCAGATAAATTCAAACATATAAAACTGTCCTGAAAGCTTCGTACAGTTACCTGAATTTAAAATGTACTGTGGATCTTCCCATCAAAGGAACCAACTGGCTCTTACCTAACAGCAAACTCCAAGCAATACCATATCTCTCTTTTCCTATCTAACAATATTGCAATTATATTCAATCGGATGAAAGTCAGACCCCACATACCTGTGCTTTAGAGTGAGATCTCCGAGACTTGTCGGCATTGTGAAGCTCAAAACTTGGAGGCGGTAGGAAGGGCGGGATCACAGGTAGAAGTTTGTCACTCGTCTTGGAGTGAGGTGCTTGCATGTCCTGATTATTAAAAAGGAGAAACAAAACATGTGGAATACAGGAAACCCCACTTCCACACTTCCTTTGCATGTACAAGGTCAAAAGCAACATGTACATGTGTGTTTGACGAAATGAGTGCATGCTACTGTGTGCAGTCAATGAGTGATGTGTGATTTTCTGTTAATGCTTACGCATGTCAAGTATTCTAGAGGTAATGATGAGTTGAGCATTTGAACCGGAATCATGTTGTCAGAAAAACTGCCTCTTGCTAATTTTGAATTCCGATCATGCAATAAATGAGAATAGATGCAAATGTATTGTATACATAAGGATGTTGGGACCAGCAAAATATCTGACTTCTTATTTTGTTTTACCATACTCCCGCCCCTCGTTTTAAGTTGAACTCCCATTTCATCTTATGATATCTAATCATAATTATTTTCTTTTCTATTTTGGTGGCTGTCAGACAATAGAAATACATACATGATACATCTCAAAGAACATGATGAAAGATTGTGGAAACCAAAACTTGTAAACCCAAAATACAGTGATTGTTTTATCTTGTTATTAAGACCATTGAGCATATCTTTAGGGGAAACAAAATGATGTGCACGGTTGGCAGTTCAAATGAATAAATGAGTACAAATAAATGCAAAAGTGTTTTCAATGATTATTGATACAATGGAACATAACACAAATTCATGGTATTACATATAAAAGAAACCCCAAAGAAGAATGTCAATCAATTATTTACAACTACTCACCAATGTCTGAACAGCATCTGGTTCTGTTTTGGAAACAGAACAGGGAACATGAAAGAAAAGAATACCAAATTCAATAGAATACCACAAAACTACAAAATATCCCTCAGAAGTTAATACAGATACATGTAGTTCAAGTAGTTTCAGTGTAGAAAGAGAAATCATTTTCACAATAAAAAAGTAAAGTTTACTTGCACAAGCAATGAGATAATATTTAAGAAGTTAAATACACTGAACCCAACGGTTTAACAATTTAGAGTCATCATGTAGAATTTACACTACTGTATAGGAAACCTATAGCATTGTCCCAAAACTCAAGAGAGAAGTCAGTTGTATTGTTACATATAATAAAAATTATTTAAAAAATGACTGATTGCCATAAAACACTAACCAACAACAAAAACAACATAACCTAAAACACAAAAAGCAAGAAAAATGAACAACTTCACAAACAGGCTCCTAAATTCTACCCGCACAGTCAAAATCACACCCCCATTGAAGAAAAGAGGGAAAACCCCTTATACCAAACTTGACAAATATCATTACTTACTGATGCTTGCCTTCCCAAAGGAAACCCGGGATCCTTCTTTCGATTTCCTCCTCTGACTGGGCTTACCCCCCTCCCTGCTGGCTGAAGATGGTTCTCCTCCGTTAAGGTAGGAACTGCTGCCCATGCTCTTCAGGGTCTCGTCTGGGAAGGGGCTGAGCTTGGTGGTTGATCCGAGCCCTCCCCGCAACGTGCGGGTCAGCTTCAGGTTGCGGAATCGGTTGGACATGCGAGACCACCATGCCTGACCGTAGGAGAAGTGAGAGTATAGTTGTTACAATGCATGCATCATCAACGTTATCCACAAGACTGTCCTTAATCGCCTTTTGACCAAAGATAGAGCTTATGTTTTCAGCATAGCTAGCCTGTCAAATTGTTTTGTCTCCATGCAAAACAACTCCTTTACTCATTGAGAGACATTTACACCCTGCCTATATTTTTTGCCCAGGGCCTTCTCTTACAAATAGTTGATATCAATCGCAACTATGTACATAAGAGATAGGAGACTGCAAACTTGCGATTGATTGGAGGATTTGCGATGGATTTGGATCAATCGTAAGTCCTTGTAGGACAGGGCCCTGGACCCCGTCTTACAAAGAGTTGCGATTGATATCAACTCTTTGTAAGACGGGGCACAGGGCAAAAAATATAGGCCTATTATTAACAGTGAATACATATAATTTCACTTATTTCCTTTTTAAATCTGTCTATTAACCCCATATTGATTTCCTCCCAAAATCGGCTCATACTTGTTATAAGTCTTCTGCAGACCTTGTTTCTAAAATCTTCCTCAGTAATTTCCGAAGAGTGAAATGGACGACCATGAACTTAATGTTCAAGGACATGATTGAATGTCCACAAGACCCCAAGCAGATGAGACGCATTGGGCTGTAGTAGCCATCTGAAGATGACCGGAGCATCACTACCATTGGATGTTTTTGACCGTCGACCTCACCTTGAGACCAGACTGTTTAGCAGCCTCCTGGTCTTCTATCTGGTCCACACTATTCAGCCTTGTTGACCACATCTGGCTATCTGACCCTTGAGCTTTGACCTGTCCAGCAGGTTGACCGTTGCCGATAGACAGTATCGTGATAGGAGCAAGTAGACGGGTCAGCTCACTACCCACTTTGTCCGTTTCATCTTGGGAGAAATTTTTTATAAATGAAGATAAAACAGTCTTCATCAACTTTGTGTCAAATTATATTCTTTTAAAAACATGTATCAGAAGGCTACAAATTGATAGTACTTGTACATTTACAAAGCAACATGAAGCAAACATAAAAACTGTTGTCTATTAATGACATGCTTTCTAATTCCAATAACACATATCAGGTTTGAAATATACAAGCAGGTACATTCTCCAACAAACATGAGTACAGCCATTTGAAAAATGGAGTGTGCTAAACTGTTTTCATTAAAAAAATATGTTGTACCTATAACTGTATAACAGAATGGTAATTCTATTGTTACTTTAAGGCTCATATTTTCAAGTCAACTTTGTAAAAATTTAAAATTAAAACAAATATTCAAGTATTGGTTAATACGCCTAGGAGTTGGCTCAATTATGTTGGATATTATATGCGTATGCATATGCTTAGAAATTGTAAATGTCATGATCGATATAAATATACAACCCACTGATTGAGCTGTCGGACATACCTGATACAATGACCAGAGCAAGATCCAGAGCCTTGCAGCCGTCCCGGGCCTGCATGTTGAGATCACCTCCAGCTTGGATCAGGTACTTCACCACATCTTTTCTCCTGCAAGAAACAAAAATAGAGACAAGCATGGAAATTATGTAACACGTACCCTATATCCATGGAAACCGTGCATTTATCAACACCCACTTCTTTATCTGAATAAGTTGTATTTCATGAGTTTCATGAAAAGATAATTACAGTCGAACCCTCTTTTAATAGCGCCCATCCGTCTTCAAAGACCATATTTTCATTTCCCTTGAATATGGTTTCTCACTCAAACCTGTACTTAAGGAAACAGTGTTAAACACCTTTAAGTGTGCCTAAACTTCAAAAGACACAACATGCGTTTATTGACAATTTAACATTCCTAGGCAGCTAGTGTGTCATGCACGTGTCATATTTTGGTTTACATATTAATGTCACTCTCCGATCTTACTTTATTATCTTTAGGGGCACAAAAGACGTGCATCCATCTTCCAAAATAACCTACATACCTGTGGAAGGTGGCCTGCATGAGGGCCGTCCATCCGCTCTTGACGTCCTGTCGATTGACCTCTGCTCCTCGCTGGACCAAGGTCTCAGCGATGTCCCTTCGTCCAAGCATGGCGGCTATCATGAGGGGTGTGGCACCATCCACGGAGGTGTAGTTGCTCTGCATAGGATCCTTGTCAAGAATACGCTGGACTAGCTTCAGGTCTCCTTAAAGTTTCAAAATGGAATGGTGAAATTTGACATGAAATTGACATGAAAGAAACTTGCCTACAGAACAGGCATATATCTACAGCCCATTCAGAGCATTACTTGTGAATCTGTAACTTGACACTAACCACTAGCTTAATGTCTCTTTAGTTTCAAATGGAATCATGATGAAATTTGACATGAAATTGACATGAAATAAACTCGCCTACGGAACACGCGTATCTACAGCCCATTCAGAGCATTACTTGTGAACCTGTATTTTAACACTAACCCATTCGAGTTTGAAAATGAAAAGAGGTACTGACATAAACGTGTAATTTCAAATTTAAGAAAAAAATAATAAAATTAAACACCTCAACAAACTATCGTCAGCACAATTTGAAATTTAAAATAACAAATTTAAAGTCATGTAGTTCAATCAAGCACACACCATACTTTATTGTGTCTGGTCCATATGATAATTATACAAAATGTTATTGAGAACATCACAAAGTTTTTTCATAACAACAACAATAACAACAACAACAACAACAATAATCCGGTTGAGTACTAACCTTGTTCAGTAGCTTCAATGATTTGAGACTCAGAACTATCATCCCCTATATAAAGAAAAACAGAATAAACATAATTACTGGTATGTAAGCAATAGAAAAAATACGGAAATAATGCATGTACATGTTTGTATCTGATCAGTTTGTCTTTTAAAAACCTCTTTTTCACATTGGTTAAACTTAAAAGTTGTGTTTCACTGCCATCTGAGAATTCAAATTCTCTTCTAAACATTTGCTGCATAAACTACTTTGATACTAGTTACATGATCTACATCATCTGCCTCTGTGGATAATGTTTAAACAGGAACAGCTGTTATGGTTTAAATCTTCATCATCATCATCAACTTCAGGTGGCGCTGTAAAGCTCTGCTGTGGCCTTCACGAGAGCACGCCATGCAACTCTTTCACCTGCCATTTGTGTTGCACCTTTCATTCCTTGTCCAGACACTTTCTTGATATCATCAGTCCAAGATATTGGTGGACGACCTCTATCCCGTTTTCCTTCGACTCCTCCTTGCAGTATTTGCTTCTCAATACCTTCTCAACAACAACAAAATCTTCAGTCACCTTAAATTGCTGGATTTGAAATCTGCAAAGTTATTTTGTATCAAAACTATTACCGGTATATATTTTAACACAACATCTAAGGATGTGCGCTTGCTTGATGACAATAAAAGACAAAACATTGCTTTTTGTAGAAATTTAAAAAAGATATAATTCTATTCACCTGCTGTTGGCCTGTTGATTGTCTTCTTTTCCAGGATCTCTCTGACTTTCTTGTTTTTACACACAGCGGAAATGTCACATGCTGTCATGTTATTGATATTCAAGGCATTTGGATTGCATCCTGAATCAACCAAGTACTGCACTGCGGCAACATGTCCACTCAGTGCAGCGACCATAAGCAGGGTCCAACCGGTTCCATGATCCGTGAAGAACTGGTCACTACCCCTGTCCATGAGTTGGCGCAGGATGGCTTGATGACCCTTCATGATGGCTGCCATCGCAGGGGTTAAGACCTGTCCATACATATCCCCTATCTGATGGTCATTGGCGTCCACTCCCGATAGGTCTAGGAATATGTTCACTATGTCTGAGTGTCCTTTAAAGGCAGTGAGTGTCAGGGCCGTTGCGCCCATCTTGTTCCTCATGGACGGATTGGCTTTGTTCTGTAGAAGTAGGACAACGATGTTGGTGTAGCCATGGTAGGCTGCTTGCATGAGGCCTGTCCAGCCGTAGTTGTTTTGGGTGTCCAGTCCGGCACCGCGCATGAGCAGCAGGCGAACGATGCTCTCATGGCCGTTGGCTGCCGCTATCTGGAGAGGGGTGAAGCCTTCCCCTCCATCGCAGTCGACTTCGATGGCAGCTGCCTCATCATCCAGAAGCTGTTGGACGGTGTCAATGTCCCCGCATTCACATGCTGAGATTAACTGCCTGGGCAGGTCATGGTAATCCCCATCCACCATACTTGGTGTTTCTTCTCATTCTCAGTTTCCTAGGGTTCTTCTCACTTGAAATCCTAGGGTTTGACAAAACAACAAAATACAAATGTAGATTATTACAAGAGAAAAAGTCAAGCAGTAATAACATGTACATAAGCACTACTCAAAGATTTGAAATTTTATGTCATAAAATTGCTGAAGGAAAATTTTGTTTATTTTTAACAACAAGTAATGCACTTTTTTGTAATTAAAAAAAAATTGTAATGACAAGGTTTCACCTGCTATTAACCTTTGTACTACAGTTGTCAGAGAGCAAATTGCATAAATAAGTTGGGTGCTTTTCTTGTGTGAAGGTTTCCCATAAATTACATTTATTTGTCTATTAACTGCTATATTTTAGTATTTTTAAATAAATGACTTAAACTTGTTCACCTGTTATATTTTTTCACCAAATGTGATTTTTACCTTCTCTTATCTTCCATTTTCCCTCATTGAAAAGAAAAAGTGTTGTTTTTTAATTCAAAAGTATTTCTAACTAAAGCTTGGTGCATTAATTCAGGGAGGCTGCTCTACCCACACATAGGAGCAACACTATCCTGGCTGTGTAGTAAAAGCTGTGCTTTTGATTCTCAATATTTCAAACACCACTGTACAAAACTCAACTGATTTCACTCAAAATCGGTACTTAAGTGACAATTGATGACACCTCAATAGCAGTAAAATACATTTTTTTTTAACTTACTGATGTTAAAAAGAATAATTAAAAATTCAAATTGTAAGTCTAGTGTCAAACTTTGCTTACAGCTGCATCAACACGATTGTGTACAGTCTATGCGATATTGTGTGGTGTGTGTATTTGTGTATAGACTTCTAGGTCCCTGCCTCACAGCATGTATGCAGTGCTAGAGGTCAATACGCATTAGCATTGACTCTCTATGGATGCTTTGCTGGAGTGGCTCTACCCTTCATTAGAATGATGCAATCATGCAGCCTCCTATAAGCTCTCAAGCTCGCATACAAAAAAAAGTTTACACCTAGACAATTGCTAATTATTTTAATAATCATCTATGAACAGTAATTATTATACATCTTATGAAAGAGTGTTTTATCCCAAATCATTTGGTACCATTTTTGTGTGGTATGTGTTCACGCTTGGATGAACACGAGGCATTGTTTGCGAGAGTGCAAAAATCGACTCGCGCCAAAGTTGCTCATGTGATGTTTGAATAAAACGATTTGGATTTGGGTATTAATTCGGTCTTTGCAGATCCAAATAACACCCCTAACAAAATTAATCATGCCACACATATCAAATATCGAATATCAAATATCAACAAACATTTGTGCGTGTGTGTATGGGTGGTGTGACTTTGCCCTTTGCAAAAAGCATATGCAATGCATTTCATTTGATACATTTAATTCATTCTCTGACTCCACTAATCCCAACATAATACATACTGTACGCATCACTTTGGCACTCTCGCAAACAATGCCTCGTGTTCATCCAAGCGTGAACACATACAACACAAAAATGATACCATATGACTTGGGATAAAACACTCTTTCATAAGATGTATAATATTTTACTGTTCATAGATAAATTTTAAAATAATTAGCAATTTTCTAGGTGTAAACGTTTTTTATGCTCACACGGTAGATAAGTTTACCTCATGTTTACTGTCATGTTTTTACTTGCACTGAACTTAGCATATTCTACTGTGTGAATTGACTAGTGGTATGTCCACACACCATTTCTCTACTTTATTCCTTGTACTCGTGGCACTCCTTGCAGTTACTCGCCTCACCTTCTCTCCCAGTATAGCTTCTTGAGTGAGCTGCCAAAGGGATAACTCCAATTACTCCATTAGCATGATCAAGTATCAAGTATGATACATGTACAAGTTCGCCTAGCCTGATATGTCACATTATGAATGAATGTGCCGTAAAGTATAACTTAAAAGTTTAGATCTATACCGTAACGTAAGGCAAGATTATCTTACCGACTTGTCTTTCAACATACAAACACTTATTCCCTTTAACACTGAAAGAAAACAACAATAAAACAAGAAGAATGCGGAATAAAGCGTCGTACACTTTCACCCCACGGCCCACCGAGGCCGAAGCCGGAGCTTCGGCATAGCAACCGCGCTCAATCGTGCACCTGTCTCGCATACCTACCGTGGCCGTTGCTGGGTCACAAATATTTCATTCACAAAATCACACTTTTACAATCAATGACATCAAAAATGACAATCACACATTCTTACCTTTGGATTAAATATACCAGTACCCAGTAAATAATAACAGGAACATGCATCAATTAAGGAAACAATGTATGGAGAAAGTACTCAAAAAGTAGCTAGGGACTTACAGTCTAGGCCGTTGGTGTTTCGACCCCCTCTCTCTGCGCTGGTATCTCTTTCAGCTCAGCTGGTAATAGGAATATCTAAAATGTGACATGAGATGGCGCACGCTACAAAATCCGCTACAATCCTGCGGCAGTCTGTCCTAATCTAATAAATCCTACCTCATTCAGTGGCATAATGAGCAAACAATTTTAGGGGAGGGGGGCAACAACAAAAATCCGCATCACCACCACTTTATACATGTTTCATGCAGGCCCCGTCCCCCCCCCCCCCCCCCCCCCCCCAGTGGCGGATCTAGGGGGTGTTTCGGCGGTTAACCCGAACAGCATATTTAATTGATACCTCATTTGTGACACTGGTAGGTCACTATATTTTCTTTCTTTCTTTTTATCTTTCCATTTCTCTTTAACATAGTTTTTTCCAAAAAGTTTGAATTTTATTTGGGGGCAACTGCCCAGCCCCCCCCCCCCAACAGTTAGCCAGTGAGTCCTCATTGGATCTATACATTAATTTTCGACAGGCCGGTGCGCTAAATACATTTGCGTTTCGAAGAGCATGAGTAGGCTTCCTGCTAGCAGCATTATCTGTTATAATTGTACTTGTGTAAATACAACTAACGTTAAAGTTTAACAAAGGAGCATCACACAGGCCAAGCTTAACACTGAGTTGGTAGACGTAACACGTAACATACACAGATTCCCGATGACTTCGGAAAGAATCTTGGACGTTATTGTTGTAGGAGCTGGAATCAGTGGTAAGAAATTATATCACTTTAATACACTGTTGGTCATAATGGTGGAATATTTATTTTTACCCCAGTTTAGGGAAGGATTTTAAAAATTATTTATTTCTAATAGATCTAGATAATGGCATACATTCTCAGATTTTATTGAATATTAATTTGCGAGTGTTTGTTTTGCGTGACTGCTTAATCATAGGTGTGCTACTATGCTAATCAGCTAAGGGACCTACGTCCTAACGTCATAATTGACAGTAATGAGGATTAATGCCTCACAAAAGGGCACTAATATAATTATAGCTGATCGACACGATTTTTATCCTGGGGCCTCACAGTAACGAGGCCATTGCTTAGCCCCTGAATCATGACTGTACGCAGTGTTTGCTAGGGTACGCGGCCCCTTCCACAAATCCCCGAAAACGAAGAAAATGCAATAAATTGTCAAAAATTCATTGCATTTTCCCCCGGCCCCCAACAGGAAAAATTTCTCTGTAGGGCCATGCATAATGGTTGAAGGCATGGCCACACATTATGACTAATACATGGTATTCGCATTATTTCTCATGATCTGAATATGGTTTCACTACATTGAGTGATATAGTCTACTGATATGAGCATAAATGTATATTAACTCAGCATTTACCTGTTTATTAAAAGGCCATTTTCGTAAAGTAATAAAATTTAATGCACACATGATAGTTTAGTGCCTCGTTACAAATAATTGTATTCACCGTTTATGAATAATTGTATTTCATTTATAGTCAGAATGCGAACTGCATATATTACCTGTTGTTATATAGGTAGATTGATTGATTGATTTTAATTCGCCAAGCTTTCAACATACAACACTATACAAGAATACCAGATTAAAATTTAGTCAGCTTGAACAGGATAACCCACGAAAGCTCGAGAGCTTATTTCCAGTAGGGTGCCCGACAGAGATGTACACAATTAATAAGTTAGAATAGTAATATTTACAGACAGAAAAGAGAAAGTTAGGACAATTAAGCCATAATGTTGTTCCTACCAGCAAAATTCGATGTATGCATTTCACATTCTGACTATTGAAGTACAATTATTTACAACAAGTAAATGAGCAAACAAAGATTTGTTCATTAAATTTGATATTTTGATTACACTACGAAAAATAGTCAATATAAAAAAATGACGATATAAAATGTCAGATCATATTGTGCGATTTGTGCAACATGTGATAACGATACAATTAGTAGTGATACTCAGTGGGGGAAATAAATACTAGACCTTGGATATTGGTTTCAATTACAATAGACCATTTTCGTAATGTAATCAAATTTAATGCACATATTATGTTTAAATGCCTCGTTACAAATGATTTCGTTCACCTGTTACGAGTAATTGTATTTCAATAGTCAGAATGCGAACTAACTACATATACATTAAATGTTGTTAGGTGTATAGGATAAGCCACAATTGTTGTCTTACCTAGCAACAGGCAATGTATTCAAAGCGCATTCTGACCCATAAGTTGGCTCGACATGTGCCTCAGAAGACTGCGGACCAAAGTAGAACAATACACACAAAAAAAGTTCTATAAAATTAAAAGGAAGAGACGTTATTTCCAAAATGAAATGGAAAGGGGCTATGGGACTTTCAAAGAGAAAATTAAAATAGGCCATTTGTAATGTAACCAAATTTAATACATAAGTCTTTGTGAAGTGCCTCAATACAAATTATATCATTCACATGATAAGAATAATAGTCTTTCAATAGTCAGAATACAAACTGCATATATTAAGTGTTGCTAGGTAGGTCAAGCCATAATGTTTGTTCTACTTGGTGAATAGTCTATTAGAAATCATTAAAAAACAATTTCAGACATACTAGTTTTCGTTATAAAATGCTCTATCAATATACCAAGTTTAAGATTTTGTGGGCACTCCATGACCGAGATTCCAAGGAGAACCCCCCCCCCCTATACAACTTATGTGTATGAAAATTCATAAAGTAAAAATAGTAAAATAAATTTGCCCATTATTTCGGACTTTAAGCTTTTATAGAAATCACATCTGGACCGTGTTTGAGAACCCCAGCCTGTACTGGCTCTCCCCGACTGAGTCATATTCGTTGTGTGCGTGATCGACCAATGAGGATATGAGAGTGTCTTGGCAGAGAAGTGACTTCACACTCAGTCTGGTCCATGCTTGTGATTGTGATTGGACAAGAGAAATGGTGTGCGTGAGTTATATTAGCAACTTAGGGGACGAAGGATACAAGGACCATTCCGTATAAAAGTGAGGCAGAAACCCATGTGAAAATCAAGTTTAAAACAAAAATGTATATCACTCCATCATAGATATTATGAAAATAGTATGGATAACAGGGTGAAACGGGACACAGAAGAAGTGGGACACACCATCTAACAAAAAATGATATTAACCTTTTACAAATTTGTTTAAATCCTACAAAAGGTCTATTATGTTCACAAATACATATAGAGCTAAACTACGATTTTGCTTGTAGGTTTAATTATAACTTTCTCCCCCCCCCCCCCCGTGTTTTTCGGCGTTCACTGTCATATCTGTACCCAGGTAAAATTTCTATTTTATTAACGAGTGACAGTAGTTCAGTGGAGACCAAAAAATAATCCAATCTAGCCGCCTTAAAGGGAGTAGGTTGCCGCCATGTAAACATTTTTTCCAGGACATGTAATTCTCTCCATGGGTCTATCAAATCTAAATCATTCTTCATTTGATCGACTTTTTTCTTGGCATTAGGATTATTAAGGCGAATATAATTATATGTATCTTTATCAAAATCTTGAACCAAGTTCCAATCTCCGCATAAAATTGTTAATGGATTATCAAAATCCAAAGCAAGTCTTTCAATATCTGCATAAAAACTAACACTATCGTGATTAGGACCATACAAGGATATTAATGTTATGTCATAGCTATATATCTGTAGGTCTAACGCAACAAAATTCCCTTCTTTTGATCGCTCAATCTTATTTACATTAAATTGCACCCCTTCCCCAAACAAAATAGCAACACCTCTGGCATTTGACGCTTTATGGCTGAAAAAACAATTATCTCCCCAAAATCGTTTTATAGAAGCTTCTTCCTCAGCTACAAAATGTGTATCTTGCAAGCAACATATTTGGAACTTTTTTAACTTAACAAATTCTAAAACATCATTTCTTTTTTTCGCTATTTCCCAAACCTCGACAGTTCAAAGAAATTATATTGAAACTAGCCATTGAATATTAACTTAACCTCGGTACTATGAAAATCAAATCCTGTGGAGTTTTTCTTTTGTAACATCAAACAAATAACACTGACAGCACTAAGCACTAGTCCACCGAAACAGCTTACATTGCAACACCTATGACAATTACAGCGATGTCTAGCACAAACGAAACTACAAAACAAAAACACATATGTCTCTGATAGCGAGACAAGACGCAATACCAAGAAAGCCACAGGTGACCACATATTTGCTGTGGATCCCCGAAACCCCACCAATCCAACTAAGAGGGAAAATATATCAAACGTTTCTCCCTTGAAAAGAAGGCACACCGGCTTAAATCACACACAATCCTGCTTATTGTATGATAACTTTTGTCATGTCCGGGAAATTGTCATGTCCGGGAAATTGTCATGTCCGGGAAATTGTCATGTCCGGAAAAAATTATAATCATTATAATCATTATTATTGTTATCATTATGATGAATATGAACATGATGATTTTGATGACGATTAGTATAAGTATATAGTATTATTATAATTGTTATCATATCATTATTATCATCTGTAGGCCTATTATCAGCATAATCTACAATGGCAGTAGTGTAGTATAGTACATGTAGAAGTAGGCCTTATAGTAGAGGTATCATTCTGATCATTATTATTCTGATTATCTTTTGCAATAAACTCATGACAATTGACAATTGTCATGAATCATTGTCTTTAAGTTTACCATTAAATGCATCTGGTTCGAATTTTGCTCAGGTATTTGGTACTGGATGATTTAAGTGGTTGAAATTAACTTGTGTCCTATTCATTCTAGTCTTATTCATTTGCATTATGTTTTATTCATTCAAGTTCTAATGTTTCTGACTGTTTTCAAGACAATATCTTTTGTGTCGATCATAGTTCTATGTAGCTTGATATCTCACGGTAATTTTGAGAGAAAAGCAATGCAAGCAATGATTTCTGAATTGTAGCGACTATCGCGTTCGCCTTTGCTGTTCTTCAATAATATTTGACAAGCAGTATTAATTAATTTTTCAAGGACTCATGATAAATTCGTTTACCCTCGGTTGATTCTTTTGTTCGGATTATTTGGCGGGGAAAATAGAAGTGAATGTATTATTATTCTTATTTGTTCATCGTCTCTACGATGCTCTTTGAATCAAAAACAGCTTTTAGTGTTAGGCTTCCTGAAAGAAATTTCAATTGTTGTTAAGAAATTTTTGGTTGCACTCTGTAGATTATGATGATGTGTTTGATCTTTTTTTTCAATACAAGATCAAACACATGATGAAAATTTACTGGCTGCATGCCAATAAGTTCTTGACAACAATAACAAAATGTGAGCTAGTGCTATTCGGTGTGGCGTACACATGGCAATCACATGGTAGATAAAATTATGATCATCAGTACTGAGTCAAATAAATTAAAAAGAACTGAATTTGAACCCTAGTACATGCAGTAGGAGTAGTACTAGAAGCAGTATCACAATAATAATGACAACAATGAATATTATGGTTGGTGGTGTTACTAATGCTATTTTTGTAATTATCAGGTGGGCTGTATATCGTACAGACCACCTTATAATTTCGTTAGAATTGCCTTTGTTTATTTATTTATTTATTATCAGGTGGGCTGTATATCGTACAGACCACCTTATAATTTCGTTAGATTTGCCTTTATTATTCATTTATTCATCAGGTGGGCTGTATATCGTACAGACCACCTTAAAATTTCGTTAGAATTACCTTTATTTATTTATCAGGTGGGCTGTATATCGTACA